CTTGTTAGCTGGTTGGTGAAAAATTGATTCCCGGCGGCCAAGATCATCAGTAAGTTGAAGCTGGGAGAAGTCGTTATAGAGCGAGCAATGCATATCAGATAAAATGGTTTGGACGGCAGAGGAAAATTGGTGAATTAGTTGCCTGGTAAGAGATCCTAGTTCCAAGTATTGGACGCAGTGAAAAATACCCCTGGCGTCTGGGATCATGACGGATTGGCCATCATCGGAAAAGATGAAACCGTATTCCGTGCGTTCAAGTCTTGCTGCTGATGCTGCCTTAGCCCATATGGTCTTGAAACGGGTATAGGGCGTTGTAAAACCCATATTGGTGTCATCAGAAGGGTGAACGAAAGCTCGATTTTCAGACAATAATCTAGCAGTAGGATTCATCATTGTATTAGATTCTAAACAAAGTTTGGAGGAAAACGCACCCTAGAACGGACACTGTATTAAGGTGCTGTCCTGGGCCTGTATTCTCTGAGTCTGCAGAGAAGAACCCGTCTGAAACAAGGACTTCGACATGGCCGCCGTTCAGATCATGGCCTGGCAATCCTGGCAAAGTCTTCTGAAAATCCATGTTCTCCATGGCATCCTCATCCTCGTCTTCTTCAATATCCTCGTCTTCCTCTGGTTCCCTGGCGTCGTCCTCATCTTCTACTGCACTCTTACCGATTTCATCTCCCATCACCACATGGCCGTCTGAAGAGGATGCCGTAGAAGGCATGACGGTTCTTCGCGGAAGGGTGGAATCGGAAGGCCTTTGATTGAAACGGTCGGGGTTATGTGGAAAAAATGCCATTTTTCCAGAGGCTTCGATACGAGCCCATTGGATGATGATAGCAAACCAACTATGCTGAAGCATGGCGCATCTCACAGTAATGACATTTCCCACCCGAAAGTGGTCGTTGTCAACTAGGGAACCTAAGCAAAGTGAGATATCTGACGGACACGCCATGACCTCGACGCTTGTGATTTTGTGTCGCACGAGAAGCACAGTGAAGTTGTGAAGAAGCTGCATTAGGATAACGCCGCTGTGCTCCTTGTTCACAACAATATAATCATATAGTGCTGTTACTGCAGCTACTTCCCCTCCAGTAGATGGAATAACGAAGGACGGAATCTTGCCTTTACCTGGTTAAATTTAAATGAGCCTGAGATTGCAAGGGTATTTGGTTACCAACGCACCAGTACGCGCTGCATGCTTATATCGAAGCATCATTGAAAGGCACTGCATCACTGGTATCGTATAAGTCATATATGAGGAGACCCGAGCGAGAGGATTAAAGTGAGCCCTGGTTCTGTTATTCAGAGTCAGTTACATTCACGCTGCCAATCACAACAATCTAGCGTACCCATGTAATAAAACTTGCACAACTTCGTCATTGGTTGCACATCGGTAATGCTGAACGTCAACCAAGTATCGCATAAAAAGTTTCCTGAGAATCAATATACCCTTCTCTAAACGCTTGGTGGCTCCAGGCAACATGGCGTTGACCTCGGCTGACGACCGTATTTGGACAAGTTGGCGAAGGAGTGAGCGGCTGGGGTTGTCAAATTTCGCTAGGTATTGGGGCCAATCTATCTCCAGAAGAAAATAGGCCAAAGGTGCAGCTGTAGTGCTTCGATGATAGACGGCTTGCGGCATTGGATTAATAACTGATGAGCCAGATGGACCTGAAAAGGACAGGTTGGGCGTCCACTGCGGGTGCAAGACAAAGACTCGACGGCTTAGGTCATCCTTCCTGTCAACAATGTGAAAATATGGGCGCATAATGTAGCGCTTCGTCAATAATTTGAAATGCTGGCCTTTTACTCCAGCGTGATGGTTGCTGTAGTGGTCCAACAGCGACCTTTGACTGCTATACCATCCTGGACAGCCTTCCATTGGGCATTTGACCGCCTGCTGTACCTGCAGTCCAGGAATGGGTTCAGTCAGATCACCAGCGGGTTCGGGAAGCTTTGTTTCTTCTGTGATATGGTGACTATGGAGGAGGTGGGCTATGAGCTCCTTTCGGGCTGAACAATTCTGAGAGACGTCGTGACTTCCGATAATATGGCGATGTAATATGGAGGGGGGAATTAGTGTTTTATGGGTATGGCATGCAAACCCATATGGTGTGAAGCTTATGCGAAGATCTTCTAGAATGGGGCAAACGCTGGTGTTCGGGGAAAACAAGCCGGCAGATGGGTGAGGTGCATTGTGATACGCCTCAGAGCATGTCCTATGCTGATGCTTGCAAATCACGGTACGTTGAACTTCTGGAGCCACAAGTTTCCTTGTGCATCGCTTTGGTCCCGGAACTGCCCTACTTGTCTTGATTTCATCAGTCTGAAACTGAGAATCCGTCTCAGATGACTCGGCGTCAGAAAGCTCAACCCAATTTTCGTCATGCAGAGACTGGGAAAACAGCGAGTCCAGCTCCGAATGTTCTCTGATGGGCAGTTTATAAGGTGGTGGTGGCACAGCTACGTATGCCATGAGATGCCTCTAAAGAAGGGGAATATATTTAGAGGCGCTTATATGAGACTGATAATCTGTATTACCTTCATTGCCTTGATTGGAGGGTCCTAGTGCTGGATTGCAATAACTTTCTATATTCCAAAGGTGGGGTGGAAAAGAACAAATTCCAGCCTCCGTAGTAGAGCAGAGCACGGCGTGCAGAAAAAAGTTGAGGCGGGACCGAAAATACTTACGGTATTCGGATCAAATGAAAGATCGCCAAGTACCTTAATTGATACCATACTGGCGGAGGCGAAGAGAGGCAAAGCGCTGTTGGGCTGCGCTTGTAGCCCTGAGTGCTTTGGGGAGTATTTCATCTTCTTGAGTGCCAGTGGCCGCTATTGAATTTTGTTCTTTCAGGGTCTCAGTCAGCAGGAGCATCGAGAGAAGAGGAGATACTTACTACATATTACAATATATTTGAGTTCATAGAAAAACTAGCCGTGCTATACGTAATACAAGGGTGCACAAAGAACCTTGTGCTCGACGGTTGTCACCTGTACTAAGCCCCTCTATTAAAATCCAAGCCGGTAAACAATCACAGCCGCATGCCTAACCTTGTTCCTTTACGCACCCATACATAGTTACTGGGACCTCGATGGCCGCAAATTTGTCACTCGGGTGTGAAGCGTTGCAATGTCCATCGTGACGCCCAGTCCGAAGACCATGAGAACGGATCCAGATGCAGCCTGACACCCAAAAAATAGTAGTAAAGCATAACGCTTATGCAGACATGATTATTGGACAGTCAATCAGCAGCAATCTCCCCGTTCATAGAATCGAGTACCGTCAACCCTGAGGACAGCCCCAACCACGACGTTGGAATTTGAAATCCATTTCGATGGCTTAAAACACGGCTTAATGATATTCCGTTCGAAAGTAACGACCTAAGACGAAGACGCAGTGATGACATAGCCACAAAGATAGATTCAGTAGTGATGTAAAATGGGTGAAGCTCGTGATAAACGAACGAAATTTGGGTGTGTGCGTGTTTCTGCTGTCACTGACTTTCGTCCTCCCTCTCACTAGCACTTCTTTGTAAGACCCTTCATGCCAGCACTTTATTGTGAGCTCCCAATGCTTCATTGTGCACGACGCTGACTTACGGGAACGTTGCAAGAGAGCAGTCGCGGCTTGAACTGCAAGGAGAAGGTATACCCCTATTGCGGCACATAACTCAACTTCCGAATCATCGTATGTGAACGAAAACACACCGTAGGTTACACGCCCCAACATCATTCCAACGAGACGAGACCTTTCAAGCGATAAATTTGTCTGCGGGTACAGGATGACATGACTCAAAATTTGGGAAGATGGGGAGACGTGGGGAAGAGGCGTCCTAATGTTTTGCACTGTGCGGTGAGAATAACCAGCAGGATAGTATAGGTGACCAGAGAATATGCCCGTATATAAACACTCGGAATAGAGCTTTCGCCTGGGAGAGAGAACGCATTGGCCGGGAATCCACAGTAAGTTGAGACCCTTTTGCGTAGAGCGATGAGCCGAGAACGACAAAGGGTTGATATATTAATGCGATTATCCACAGTGCGACGCGCCATAAAAACTTTGACGTGTGATCGCACGAGATGATAGGCTAGCCCCAGTCGTAGCCTCGGACGCTGCTTGTCAATGACCATAGTTCGAGCTTTGCTGAATTATGAATTAGCTGCTCGTCGCGCGGAGCAAACCAATGACGTCCGCATACATACCGTTCATTAAATTCCTCTGGTGTCTACTTCAGACTCGCTCTATGCATTCAACCAATGAGCAAATCCTGACCCGCCCTGGTAGGTAAACGTTCGTTCACCTTGTGCCTTGTGACAGGAACCAATATCTTCTGTCGGTCTGCCCTACCAGATCAGAAAATGATGTGGTTCAGCAATGCAGGGACGAACGAAAGGCTCTCGGCTGTCTCAGACATTTTATGTAGGTGGTGGCAAGAATGCAAAACATAGGTGTGACTCACTGGTCCTCAGAGATGACAAGCTGGGCTCGCAGGGCCCAGTAACGTGCGGAGATAAGTTCGTGCATGTTCTGCACGTACAGTGTGGTTTCATTGTGAATCAAAGTATGAGAAAGCAGGAGCCACGTCAGAACAATTCGAAGGTCTGGAATGGACGCCGCTGAGCGCCAGGGAGCGAGGGAATGAAGGTTGGCACTGACGTTATGATACTTGATGGAAATAGAAACGAGATTGACGCCCGAGCCCAGGAACTCACACATTCTTGAATCAACTTGCACTGGCGATGGGCACTCGTCAACAGGGTTTAGAGAGGGTTTTATTATCTTACACTCATTTCAACTCATTCCCTCTTATCTTGAATGTCCTCCGATTCTTTTCAACCTCTTCAGCTAAAGGCAAATAATGGATATCGAGTTCACCGTCAACATTCACCATTGCAAGAGAAGACGCAACAGAACTACCTAGTCATGTCTCAATTGTCACACCTCAAAGCGCAAGGCCCTTCAGTTGCACCCTTTCACAACATAGCAATACTTTTGACGCGCGCCATCATTGTGACAGAAAACGTCCATGTCAGCGCTGCATACAACTCTAGTATGTCCTTCCTTTTCGCGTCGTTTATCACTCATCCTTTTTCAGACTGGCCTCTGCGCCTATGAGATCGATGACCCAGTGCTCAGGCATCAGGTCTGCGTTTTCCCTTCGTTCATCAACCCACTTTGTCACTCATTTCCTGTCAACTTTTTTAACACCCCACCCTACAAATATGTTCGCTCTTTCTGTCCTCCTCATCTCCTTCTCGCATTCGTTGTGGGATCCACCCTATCTGCTCGTGACAACAGTGCTTACAGTTCGGGTGCATAGTGCGACGCGAGCGCCGTCTCATGCTGCCAAACCGCATATGCCGTGCGTAATTCCTCTTAGACCAATTCTTGACCGTGTCTGACTGCCTCAGTCCGGACCCCAACGACACCACGCATGCTCTTCTCACCCAGCTCGTCCAAATCGGACTCGGCAGCTTCACGGCAGCGAGACGGTGCGGTCGGTCTGACGACGTACTAGAGCGCACAACCTACGAACTCTGATGCTTGGTTTCTGCCACTGGTGCTCCCATCAAAATTGAATCCGTTACAGACATCTCTCAGCCCCATCTGTATTGCCTTACTCCATCCCCTCCGGCATCCTACTCTGCATTCCATTCAGATATCACTTCCAATCCCTCGTTAGGGTGGTGGACATGCTGTTTACATATCACTTATTTTTCTACGAGCGTGGTCCCTCCCTCGACAATTTCGCAGCCGCCCTCACAGCTGTACTCACACAGACTCCCAACCTGGAGATTTTCATTGTCGATTGGCCTCTATCAAGGGCATCTGGTTCCACTGCAGACACGCTGGGTACGCATTGCAAGAACTTGCGCACTGCTCATTGACACGTCCCTGCTGAACTCCTTCCAAAGGTCATATGGGCATTAGATGCCCTCCCGCTCCTCGTTTCCCTTGCCGTCGAGTTCGATGCACCGCTCAAGGATTGTGACATGCTCACCTTAGGAAGCGCACAAGATGTTAAGTTCCACCTCCCGAATCTTCAGCAGCTCATCCTGCGTGGTTACTCTGCCGAATTCATCGAACAAGCTAGTGGCTGGAGCCTCCCTCTTCTACGCAGCTTTTCCTTTGATTTTGGCAGTATATCTGGTGAAGGGTCGTCGATGGCCATTTGATTTATTCATAATTCATTGTATCACCATTCGTTGTATCACCAAAAGTCCAATTTGCTTAATACCGGCCTGTTTTATTTTTCGTAAAGCTATCATACAGTGACTTTGGGAGAATGCCGACATAGATTAATTAGTATCTGCTGTATTGTAGTTAGCCAAATCGATTATTACCGGTGCGCGTGCCATCGGTATATCTGAGATTTCCGAGTAAAATTGTATGCATGCATGACCTCTCTGATCTCAGCAGTTGATCCTCGTATCGCGTATGTACTCTCGTTAACTCTCCCTCTATTCAGTACCTCCTTCGGGGCCGCCGCCGCCTCTCCCCACTCTCATATGGACACCTGCGACTCCCGTTAGCGGAAGGAACAACCTGCACCCAATACTGACCCTTGGTCCCGCCTCATTCCTATCCATATACGGCCGCATGTTTGCTTCATATGCCGCTTCATCACGCGGGTCGCGTACATATCAATCTCGGGGACAGCCAGGGTAACAATGAATAATTGATGGTATACTAGATATGATAACATGCTAGAGAATAGCCAGGCGTTCTAGATGTTTGTGCGAACTGCACCCTCGTTAATACAGATTAACAATATAGGAAACAAATACACATAGATATCAAGAAACCAAGAAAGGAAGACATCACAGAATACCCGTTTCTTTGAGAGCATTCTGTAGGATTGTCTCCTTGACTGCAGCGAAGACGAATATGATATTCCTCGTATCAGTAGCTTGTGTCAAGCTAAGACGGTGTGAGTGGTGAGCAAGGCGTAATAAATCACACTTACTGAGGATATATGCCAAGGCGCGCCCGGTTGGCTTGCATGAACTTCCATAGAATATATTTTGCCGTTTTATTGATGTCTGGGCCGCCCGCATAATCCGACGCAGTGTGCAGGCCAGCTGTGAAATTTTGCAAGCGGAGTGATGATCCATGCCAGCGATCCAATAAGGAGTTTGTTGAAAACACGTGCACTCGTATTGTTCTTCCAAATTTCTTTCAAGTTCAATGCCAAGCACAATGCGACCAATGTCAAGCACCAGGGCCCTCGAACCTCACGAATTTTCAACTTCCACCTTCTGTCCAGGAATTCTGCAAGCCGAATCAGAAGACGTACTCTTGCAACCTTTCTCAGTCTCAGTATGGTTTTCCGGTGCGGTTCCTCGACACCTCGCTCACTCAAACATTGTATGTCGCCCAATATTTCTACATATAACCGCTACTTATGTCAATGGGTATTTAGCCCATTAAAATCAGTGTATCCCTGAACGAAGAGTATCAATTATTCACAGTACCTGTGATTGAGATAGCGTCTAAGCGCTCCAGGGAACCTTCTAACAATGTAAGTAATTTACGTTGATTTTTTGCGCCGTGGCTGACCTTGGTGCATATGAAGTCCGTAGCTTCCAGTCAATATGAACCCTTCTCCGCATCTGATGGCGACACGTCCATTCCATTCCTCCCCTTACCGTCGACATTCAATCATATGGACTCCGACCACTGGGCAGAACTCTCCAGCACTATACAGTCGTGGCTCGTGACGTTAGCGGATACAGTGACACCTGAATGGACTTGGGGTCGTGACGCGTTCTGGTATGCATTCGTCGCTGCCAATCCCGACTTCCCCAATGGCAAGTGGGCTTTCTGGAATCCCAGTATCCCCCTTGAGGGTCAATTCATCGAGGAGTGGGTGGGGGGTGACATCAATTTGGCTGCCGAAGATGCTGATGACGAGCTCGCTACCCCTTTGACGCACGATGACACCCTGGACTTCATATGGACAGAGTTCTCCAAACACATTGCGCTCTTTTACCCTTGTCCTTTGATTTCTGTTACATAGTTAGTTTTACTCCATGGAATGGGCATGTTGTATCATTGCGTATCTGTATATATTATCATGCCAATCTGCAATACAATTTCGTTTTATGGTTCGTTCTATTTGTGATTTGAACACGAAGTGTGCAATTCAACGCATGCTGAGTCCCAGTGAAAATCGACAAGAATCAGGTAGATATGTGTAAATAGAGATCGAAATAGATATACAAACATATATGTATCTAAAAGAATCGAGATATCAAAAATGCAAAAACAAAAAAAAAGATGCAAAATGCAAACATTTCAAAATTGCGAAGTTCACTTTGCACGTTTACAAATTTCCGTGAAAATTTGCCAATGAAACTTTGCAAATTCCTAGATCAGATCACTTGCTTGAACAATCTCAGATTTGCAAAATGCAAGCTGGTATACATAGACTTGAAGACGGCACCAACACATATGTCTGCGATTGCCCCTCCTGCCTTCTCAAGAATGTAGGCAAGCCTAAGCAGGTACACCGAAACACTTACTTCAAACACAAACGCGGACTCGGAAGACTTGCAGATCTCCCTTCATTTCCTCCCTCTGTTCCACAACCTATCACTCCTGGACCTTCTAAAAAACGACTTCTGCCTAGTGCTGCCGTGGTCCGGTTCGGTCCGGTTCAGAGGGTCCTTGACAAGAACCAAGAACCAAACCATGGTTCGGTTCTTTAAAATTGTCGAACCCAGAACCAGACCATTGAGAACGGTTCTCAATGGTCCGGTCCGGTTCTTGTCTGGTCCGAACGCGAACCGAACTGAAATTTTTTCAAGCAACGGAAAAAACATTCACAAGACATCTACATGACATTGGGTAGCTAGTCTAACTGCATACCAACTGCATACCCTTCTGCCTCTACTGCTGCTGACACATGTCCATTCTTATAGGCTGCCTTCATCAATTGTAGCGTGGAGAAAGTGGATGATGTGAGTGCGTTGTGGTGCAGAGTTGATGTGATGCCCGCGCTGGAGAAAGCGCGTTCAGAGGGAACGGAACTGCCTTGAATGGGCAGGTAATCACGCGCAACACGAGCTAGTGTTGGGTACTGCAGCTAATGTAACTAATCAAGAATGTAAGCGGGGAACAATGAATTTGAGGGCTGACTTACACCCCACCATGCCACAACATCATCAGTCTCCTCCAATGGTGAAGTAAGGTATGCAGAGAGCTCTTGATGAGGATCGCGCGGGCAAATAACTCACAGTTTTTTGGTCGGCACCCCGTTTTATGCATGGCACATAGCCTAACACCACAGAGCGACAATATCCAAGGAGATCTGTTAGAGTTGAGAACCGGTGGAGGATCATGACTATCCAGGAAGCATATAGACTAGAACAAGTAGATATCTGTGATATAGGTAAACATATGTCAGAGTCTTGAGAATAAATTGATTAGTACTTACCTTCAAAAAGGCTAACAGTAGCCTGATTAACAAATAATGCAAATCTCGAAGACGGTGTTTTGATGTCGACATGGACACCAACGTCGTCGTGGTTGGTGTCGAAGTCGAGGGAATTCAAAGGTCAAGGAACGGTTCGGGAAGGTTCGGGAAAGTCGAACCAGAACTGGACCACTAGTGAAGGTCCAGAACCCAGAACCGCTTTCCGGTCCGGTTCTGGCTGGTGAGGGAACCATGGACCGAACCACAGAGAACCGGACCAAAAGTCCAGTTCGAACCGTGGTTCTGGACCGGACCGTGGCAGCACTACTTCTGCCAGTGGATGTACCTAATGATGAGGACCAAGCCCGGAAGAGAGGCCATGTCCAACTACCAGCGGATACTCGTGATATACATACATTTGCAATCAATACGAAGGTATCTGATCTGATCATTGATCACATAGAAGGTATGTCGAATTTCAATGATGATTCAATTTGAAGATAATATAAAATAGATCTAGATGACAATGAGGCTGAGAAGGAGGCTCGAGTCGAGCACGTTGCAGGCCATGATATGCCTCAGGTTACTGACTATGGCCCAGAATATGGTAAGCTTCATCTTAGTACAAAGACCATGATAAAAGTTTATAATGACATCCAATACATTGTAGATGCTACATATGAAGCTGCAGATATCGCAGATCCTGATGCACCCAATGGGTTCGAAAACCTTCAAGTTCTGGAGGCTAATCTTGGTGATATCACAGGGACCGGCGAAGAAGCACTTCCTGGGCCAGGTGGTTCGGAGGAAGTTGGCCATGAAGAAGAGGATCGAGATGGAATAGATCTGGACCGAGTCCTCCCTGATCATGATCAGAATCAAGCAGATATCGCTCCAGCACAAACAATGGGTTGGACGGACGAAGATTTAGAGGAATTGCACCATATGGCACGCCTCGGAGATGCACAAGACGCCATGACTTTCATTAATGCCTTATGACAAGCATCCCTTGACGACATACACTCCCAATTATCCTCAGACGCATTAGATAGACTTCGAAATCCTCCCCGTGCACTCCCTGATACCACTGATCCCGACCTCATACTATCCTTAAAATATTACTTCGCTGATATGACAATCAAAGCATATAATACCATTCGTGAAGCCACTATGGAACAGCACCCCGACGACGACATATACAGCTACTACCGCATTAAGCAGGCCATTGCTGAATTGAGTGGTATTGACCCAATCACCACTGACATGTGCATCAACACATGTCTCACATTTACAGGTCCATATGCCGAGCTCGATCACTGTCCTCGATGCGGAGAACATCGCTGGGATACTAAAAGGGGCACTGATGGAAAGAAGGTAGCTCGTCAAACCTTTGATACATTCCCAGTCGGCCCACAGTTGCAAGCACTTTGGCGCCACCCGGATCATGCAGAGAAGATGCACTGGTGTGAGCAGCGTACCAGGGAAATTTTTGAGGAGTTAGGCATGACGGAGGGGATTCCTAGCGTCTATGGAGATGTTCTCCATGGCAAGGAGTATCTAGATGCCTGCCAATCGGGAAAAATTAAAGAAGGTGATCCAGTCCTCATGTTCTCAATCGATGGGGCGCAACTGTACGAATCCAAGCAGTCGGACTGTTGGGTCTACATTTGGGTACTATTCAATCACTCTCCAGATCAACGCTATCAAAAACAGTATGTTCTCCCCAGCGGCATAATTCCTGGTCCAAAAAAACCCAAAAACCTCGACTCATTCATATTCCCTGGACTCCATCACTTGTGTGCAATCCAGACCGAGGGCCTTCCAATCTGGGATGGTATGCTGAACAGATTGTTTACCTCCAATCCTTTCCTTTTCATCGCAACTGCAGATGGCCCCGGCATGGCATTTCTCACAGGTCTCGTCGGTCATCATGGAAAAATGGGCTGCAGGCTGTACTGTGGGCTTCCAGGGCGACATAAGCTGGGCGCTCCGACTTACTATCCTGTGCTACGTCAGCCAGTCGGTCACTATGATCACCCCGATATTCTGATCCATCAATTACCTTCTGTCGGATCATTCAATTATGAGGAAAATCTCCGTCGTATTGTCTGCTGTAGAAATGCAGCAGAATACGAATCCGCACGCCTGGATACTGGCATTACCAAACCAAGCATCTTCTGTGGCTTCCATTCTGACCATATTCTCCCAGTTCCGCACTCCTTCGGTTCAGACATTATGCACGTGGCTGCCATCAACACTGGAGATCTCCTCATACCACTTTGGAGAGGGACATTTAGAGCCGACCCAACGGATGATAAAGCAACATGGGCCTGGGCTGTACTAACTAAGGAAACTTGGAAGAAGCATGGATCGAGTATCGCTGATGCAACTCCATTCCTCCCAGGTTCTTTCGATCGACCCCCTCGTAACCCTGCAGAAAAAATCAACAGTGGTTACAAGGCTTGGGAGTGGTTACTCTATTTCTATGGTATGGGGCCAGCAACACTCTATGGGATCCTTCCAGATCCCTACTGGACCAATTTTTGTCACCTCACTCGAGGTTTGCGCCTTATGCAACAATATCATATTTCCCACTCCGAACTTCTTGATGGCCATCAGCACCTCCTTGACTTCGCCAATGAATTTGAAGAAATCTATTATCAGCGGTGCAATGATCATCTTCATTTCGTCCGCCCATGGATTCATTCACTAACTCATATTGGCCCTGAGACTGTCAACAAAGGCCCTCCAATCTGTTCTTCTCAATGGACAATGGAACGAACAATTGGTAATCTTGGGCAAGAAATACGCCTGCATAATTCTTCAGTCTATGCTAATTTGTCTCAACGTGCCATCCGACGCTGCCAAATCAATGCTCTCAAGGCCATCATTCCCACGATCGAACCCTCAGCCAACGTACTCCCAAAAGGATCGCTGGATCTTGGGTAGGGCTATGTCTTACTCCGTCGAAGGGAGAGATCACCTCACGCAGTCCGTCCTTGTGAATCTGACGCTATCCTTCAGTACTTGGCCACCAGCGACATTCATATTCCTTCTGCTCCTCCTGTGACTAGATGGGCTCGACTGTGTCTTCCTAATGGACAGGTTGCACGATCGGCCTGGAAGGAAAATGCGATGTCAAAACAGCCAAGGATGGCACGGAATGTGAAGGTAAGTTTTTTTGATTGATTGATCGCATATATTGATTCCCATTAAAGTTGTTAATTGATGGGCATACGAGCATCGCTGAGGTCTATTTCTATTTCAATATGACAATTCACGATCAGCAGAAGACATTCGCGCTGGTGTCTGAATTCAGTCAACCACACCCGGAACTCGAACATTCTTTCCAAACAGTCTTCGCATGTCGTCATCATGGCGACAATTCATTAAAACTAATTGAAGCATCTACTATACAAGCTGTGGTCGCAATGGTTCCCCATCACTTCCCTGGAATTAATGGCACTCTCTTCTACCTTATAGAGCGCCCAGGTTTGGACTTGTTGACCATGAGTGGTGCTGGGGAAGATATACTGGACGAAGAATAAGGTATGTACAGTTGTTCCGCAAAAGAAAAGAAGCTGATCACATCATAGAGAAGTTGATTGCATCGGAAGAGAAGACACATTTTTGTCGATTAAATACTCTAACTAAGGTCTTTGAGCTCTTGCTTGATTCGATGCACTGTAAGAAAACTATTATCGGTATGTGATCGATCATACCACTTTGCATCTTCTTCTTGTGACACATACTTCCAATACAATGAGTCAGGCCCTGGGGGACTCGGAGTGTCGAAGAATCCTCTCTTTTTGGGGATGGTGATTGTGCTCTTGATCGGAGTCTTGATCTGTGGTTCTTCAACGTCATTTTCCGGCTCTGTGACGCTGCTCGGATCGTTTTTTGGAGGGGGAAGGACAGGTGGTGGATTCTTGGGTTCGCTTTCCGGCTCTGTAACACTGCTTTGATCATTTTTTGGAGGGGGAAGGACAGGTGGTGGATTCTCGGGTTTGCTTTCTGGCTCTGTAACACTGCTTGGATCGTTTTTCGGAGCTGGTGGTGCAGTTGTAGCAACACTATATCTGTTCAAGTGAAAGAGCGTGAGGGTAAAAATAAAAACTCACTGTGAGACTTGCGGTAATTCCATCAGTGATACCAGACGTGCCCGAATCCTGAGGGCATGGGAAGAAGGCCAACATGCAGGATTGCAAAGTAGATCATCGGACAAAGTCATGACCGGGGTACTGGAGCGGGTGTCATTGGAATCATATGTATCGATACTAGATAAAGTTGTTAGATCTCAAACCGAAAACATGGGTCTGGCTCACCTGGTATCAGCTTGATAACCATCAAGATCTGGATCTGAGGACATGTCCAAAAAATCCTGGATGGCTGGTGGTAGCATAATGGTGTCTGGTAGTATTGGTAATGTGCGGACTTGGTGAGTTTCCTTTCTCAATCGGATCCAACTATACCTTTCTTATTCCTATACCACATCATGTCCATCGACAACAACTCGGACATGACAGCGATAACCCCCGCCGGATACACAGAGTTTTTAAAGACTCACATTAATTCTTCCCAGTTATTTTTCCCGTCTTTTGATACAAGTGTTTCACAACAATTGTATGCACACAGCGACACATCTGATCCAACTAGCGTGAGTTGTTCTATAATCAGAGAAATGACACACCGACTCAATATAATCTCTCTCTTCTGTTACAACAGGATGACTCCTTGTCCTTCAGGGATTCCGATAATGATGTAGTTGTGCAACTCAAATGCCAACTTATGGAACTACAACACACAGTAGCAAGTCTCCGCGCAGATTTACTTAAGGTCACGAATGAGAAAGCATGTTTGAGCTCAACCTGCCAAGCATTACAGTAAGTGCCATATCATTTCATGCGCATATATCCACTAAAAACATGCATATACTACCCATCAAAACTTGTACAGTAATGTGATTGTGAATATACGAAGCTCTGCGAGCTCTGTTGCATCAAGCTCCTCATCCTCGACCCCCTCCGATGCACCCAATACCACAGACGAACGAAAACCGTCTATCATACTGGATGGAATGACTGACGAAGAGTGCGATCGAGAACTCGACCCGACAGACTATCGATCGGTGAAGTCATGGACAAAAAAGGAGTGGCAAGAACACTTCCCACCAAGCACGTCAGCCGTACCTGGTTCTTCTTCGAAAAAATCAGCACGTGGATCCAAGCGTATGGCACAAGGTATCAATGTATCTTGTACTTACCTCCAGAACGAGGATGGCATACCTCTCTCAGCTCAGCGCGCCAAGGTAATTCAGACAACAATGTTGTCATGCTTCCGTCAGCTACATAACCAAGGACTGGCACCAGAATCGATCGGACAAGCTTCACTCGATGTCATCAAGTGGCTGGTTCACACGTTGCGGAAGGAATACTTCGAACTTCGTCTTTGTGCTGACAATTGGAAAACCACCAAGCTTATGACCGACAATTACTCCCAATGGTACAACTACCACATCAAGAAAAAGGGCAGCAAGCGCGTGAAGACTGAATCCGAAGACATGTGTTTTGAAGAAGAGAGCACCTCCGAGACGACGCCGATCATTACAAAAAGAAGTTCGCCTGATCCTGACGAGAATCATATGACAAAGCGACCACACATTGATTCCGATATGTCATCCTCCTCATCGTTGGATGAAATCGCAAGTTTTGTTTTACGTTTGTATTGCTACTAACATAATAGGTCTATACTAGCCACTAGCGTCACCCCCTTCAGCATCAAAAGAAGTCGTATGTTCTAATATTTTCATTGCTTACTGCTGACATAGTCGGTCGACAGTTAACAACACTCCCTTTGCCACCACACAATAGCACTGCACCTGACCGTGAGCCAACCCCACCACCACGAACGGACAAGGGCAAAGCAAAGGAAGTTATTACCATGGAGGTGAGTTGTTCGTGGTACATTTTGTGCTGATGCTAAATCCACGTGTCTGATTTTATAGGTTAAAAACCCTCTGTAAGTTCATTTCATCATTTAATTGTATGGTTGCAATACACTGATGCGATCATTTAACTTAGTTTTAATCTTGTTCTCAAACCTCGGCCCAGACCTATTCCACCGCAACTTCCTCCGACTTCTATCAATTCTCCACCTTCTGAATCCCACTCTGCTATGATACCGCCCTCCAACGAGAACACACCAGTCTCCTGTGCCAGAGGTCCAATCGAACACCGATGCAGTTTCACTAGCTGTGAAAGTGGAACTCGTTGGAACGACTCACACTGAACAAACGAAGACCGTGATCGTGGTCGGCGACTCGAAGCCTAATAGCATTAAGAAGCGCCAGCCAAGCACCAAGCCAATGCGGGTGAGCCCAAAGATCACTGCGCGGTAAGATATTCTATTATTACCAGACCAATCAAACCTGATTCTATGATCCATATCAAACAGAAATCTGTGTGCTCTCGACTGGCAATCAAACGGCCATCAAAAGGAACCAGCGACCATTTTCGCATCTTACTGGAATGGGCTATCTAAAGCCGACAAAGAAGTGCGTCTTCTTTTGTTATATTGATATCTATCTAATACCATTTACTATTGTAGATATACAAGTGCAAGGCAGCTGTTCAGGTGAGCGCTACCCACTATATTCTATTTCACCATACTACACTAATGGCCCTGTTCTATAGCTCAAATCAGCTGCCAGTGGAGTCAGTACTACCAGCGATGATGTGGGCGTGGACGAGGAGTAGTGGATGGCAGGATGGCGGGCGGGCGGACGAGGTGCAGCGAGCAGCGATACTACATCGAATGATGGTGATACCACCCTAACCCAAGCGATACCCGTAGATAGCCTCATTTGTCCGCATTAGTTGTGTATCAATATGTTTTTGAGTCAAACCGAGTAATAATTTGTATGTAAATGTGTATCTAAAAATCTAAAGCCATCGAAAATCCCATCTAAACGCTAAAAACTTGTCTTGATGTCTATATTTTTTTATCTCAAAAAGTGACATTTTGGCAAAAGACCTCGAAACGGATTGATAAATTTCATAGGGCTTATATTTTTCGATTTGTATCTACGTATATCTGCCTCTAAATTGTCGATTTTCACTGGGGCTGAGTACTCGGTGAGTGTTGATGACGTACTATACTTATTGTGCTGTATGGTAGCTAGTACTACTTGTCATATGTATATCCTATATCTTTCATCGTAGGATGTACCGAAACAAGGGTGTCGTTATAGATCCTATACTTGCCGTGTGCCTCTCCTGTACTTTGGGTATATAGATCCTATACCTTGGTTTGTGTGCCACCGGTTTGTTGGTATTGTTGCTGTGCCGATACTTCGCTCCCAGTACGGAAATAGAGCTATTTCACATGCTCATTCAGTGCGCGTCCAGGCTCTGGTCAATATTCTGAACTAGACCTCTTATGGTGACTGGATGTTGGATAATTTTCAAATAACTGTATTATTTATAAGAAATATGCTATTTATGTACAAAGTTCTAGCTTTATCATACACATCTAAATCATTTTTCGTCAATTACACAACGTGTGAATTTGACAGTTGGTGGTGTAACCTTTTTCTAAATGTACTTGATGTGGCAGTTTGAGGAGAACGTAGTGCACAAGGATCTACGCTCGGTAAAATAGCCGTCTGCACCACCTACCTCATTTGCACGATTCGAATCAACCTCCATTGATGAATTTAATTCTACGAGATACAGCCTGTATTTGGTGATTCCCTTCTCTTTACTCTGTTTCTTTCACAATTGACTCAACAATCACTCTGCACCCCATTCCATCATCCTTACCTCAAGCACAATCCCTCTCCCTCGTCGAAGTGCACACTCTTTGTTACAAGTAACATCGGTCACGTGGCCCCCCTATCATTTTCCTCTCATCCTCGCCCTCACCACCTACCGGCTCCTCCTCCTCTACCGACTTTCCGTTGACCGGATCCTCGGGACCGTTCCCGTCCCTCGCATCATCCGCCACTATGCACGTGCACTGCACGTTCCTCTTCTGATTCGACCACCAATGTGGTCCCGCACCTCTGACTCGGTCTGACTCGTGCCACCAATGTGGCTTTCCTCTTTCGGTTTCCCCTGACTGCGGATTCCCTCACGTTGTATTCTTACCGTTGGTCCGTTCCAACGTTTCTCGGTCTCATTCCACAATTCGACCATCCATCACTAATCCGGCTATGTTGCCAACGCACCTATACCATATTCGCATCCCCTTTACCCTTACCTACTGTGCGGTAGCCTTGCCCTTAACCCTCTCCACTTAGTATAAGTAGTCGGTCACCCTGTACTAGATTCTCTAACTTGAATCTACTCAATCTTCCCTGGAACATACTTCCCTCTGAAGCCCCCTCAGCTTCAGTCTCTAGTATCTTTTCTTAGTCGCTCATCGCAGCTAAGTCTACCTCGATCGACCTCATCGTTCGGACAAGACTGTCCTTACTTTGAGTGACTTCTTAGACATCCGTCTACCAAGTCACGTGACACGCGCGTACTGTGATCACTGCCGGCACGACCGTCGCCAGTATCACTTGCTATACCGGACCCTTCCGGTTACGTCACGAACGTTAGCGGACGACGCCCCTCTTAGGGCTCCACCTAACAGATCTATTTGAGTGCGTAACACTCTTGGGACATTCACATGTTTACCGTAACAATCCTGTCCTGTACCCCCTGCCATTTTTCAGTCAAGCGACTCAAGCCACACCACCACCAATAACCATGCCTCGGCCAAAATATGTCTCCATTACCTATATGGTGGACTGCTAGCCTGTTCATAGTGGATATTCCTCTCTTGCAGGGTTCCGTTTGATATCTTGGTGGTGGGTGAATCCGGTAGCAGTCACAGCTTCTTCAATACTTCATTTGTCAATTATCCTTCACTGAATGAGCATACAGTTGGTTGCATCCTCGCTTTCGAAGTCAATGTTCTTTTCTCAGTGCAGGCAAGATCATCCTCACCCTGTGGCACCTTCACCTCAGTCGGATGAGCCGTATAGAATCTTTCGGCTTTTCTGTGCACTGTCTTCAGTGGTGCAAACATTGTTTGCATTCGCCATTGCTTTATGAAATACACCTCATTCTGCATTTTCTCCCTCATGTGCTAAATGAGCGGTGCGATACAAGTTCAGGAACAGCAATAAGCGTAAGACTTTCATGTCCCCTTCAACTTCAGGGGGAGGGACCACTTTTGCTGAAGACTGATCATGACATTGATTCTTCAGCTAATCCTGGTCAGTGATCTCGATTCCTGGCGCTTGGTCCAATCATACCAGCATCCATCGTGCCAACTCCAGCCCTCAACCACATGGAAATACACGTGCAGCATGGCCTGAACCCTCAACCTCTTCTCTCTCTCAGCCACACTACATCCACAGTCTGACTCATTCCACCCACCCTCCATCTTCTCCTACTGCTCATTTTTAACCCATCTCAATTTCTGATGCTATGTGTCATTCGTTGTTTGTTTGATCCCACAATCACACACAGTAGCCTAGAAGAACGACATATCAGACTTGAAGGCGAGTCCCTCCATTATTTATATGGTCAAAATAGAAATAGGTTTCAAAATTGTGAAAAAAAAACTTCTTTTGTGCTGGTACATTTCATTATATAGGATATTTGTAAATGGGTTCGGTTAAATATATGGTTATGTTAGCCCCCTGGCCCTGAAAACAAAAATGGCAAGCCTGTCAAATTGATTTTGGCAATGTATCATTAAGAAATACAGCATATATATCATATATCAAGTGTAAAGATAACCATTTCATATATCACACAAACTGACCACTATAACCACCCAATATATCATTGATAGACATGTAAGTAACCTACTGTATCCCTCCTATGGGGTAAACATATGAACAATATATTATATATATGATTATATACTTTGACATCCGTGTTCGCAACAGTTTCAATGGCATACTGACTTAAGTAAATCAAATGAATCACACCAATGCACGTACAATGAGATGCAATCATATACGTATTGTATATACCATCAAGTTATGGCTTCTGCAGATGGAACAGTGCCGAGTGCGGAAGTTTACTATCAGTAGTCTATACAATGTATATAAAAGATATATAAAGATATATGGTAATTGTCATCTATATCTTTATATATCTTTTATATACATTGTATAGACTACTGATAGTAAACTTCCGCACTCAGCACTGTTCCATCTGCGGAAGCCATAACTTGATGGTATATAATGCACCAAAATATAAATGTTATTGTCAATATATATTATATTATATATAGGTTGTATAAACTAAGTATCGTAAACTTCCGCACTTGGCACTGTTCCATCTGCGGAGGTTATTACTCTATAGTACATACTTAGCATATATACATAAAGATATAATATTGTCAAGACTACGTGTATACTAATTTGAACATCACGTGACCATACCCATGTGACGCTCGCGGACCTCAAGAGAACATGAGGCAGAGGCACAGGGCGGAGGGCGGAGGGTACAGGGTAAATAGAAATTCTGGGAGTCGGATGTCTTTGTAGGATGAAGTCACATGATGGAATTTGAACTGCCAAATCCATTTCAACACTTGCTGAATTACAATGGAGCACGCTGGAGACCCGTAACGACGTGAATTCTATGTGTATTTGTATCGTAAATCATAGCAGTAGTCCATGTACGTTCCCCCTGTTCATATGAAAATGCAGTATGTAACATATGAAGTTAACAACCGATCAGCAAGATCATGAATGATTGTTACTTCGCAGAGATTGTACATCATTAAGCGACACCAATCTCTTGTAGTTGCTCCGCAGTCAGTGGCCACTGGTACCAAACGCGTCCGTAGTTGTACGACTTAGCTGCATGAACCCAAGTCGGACAAGAAATGTCCTTCACAACCGTCTGGCATTGAAGACACGTATATTTGATCTTCGTTTGCACCCACTGATTCCCATAATATTGCTTGCCGCTCGGATGGAAAATTATGTTGTAAGCAGGTGCCTTGCATGAAGCATTGAAACATCGGAAGATATCGAGTCCCCAAGGCCTGCCGTCTCTCAGATTCGAGAGTGCCAACATCCTGGTGTCGACCACCCATTGTCGTTTGTCGTTTATGTCGGTCTTGATATCTGCAAATGAGAGCAACACTGGCGAGTGATTCATTGCATGCCTATCCTCCCCAAATGACTCCTCCAGTGCGTCCCATATCTTCATGTCGTATATGTAAACGTTCTCTATAAATCGATTCAATGCAGGCACAACGACCACATCCATGGTGGATACGCCTGCAAAAGCGAGAACGAAATCGAATATATCTCTGAGGGATGGTAAGTTAGATCGAGCTTTCGCGCTTGCGATGATTCAGGTCACCTTTCAACAATAAGCTTCAATAACTGGGCGCTTTGATTGACCCTCCCAGTGGATCCGCAGGAACATATAATGAGTCCACGAACACACGGCCCAACTCCAGATTTTATATTGATGGAAGAAATGGCCTGCGTTGCAGATTTCAAATTCGTACCACCAATGTAATTATCGAGCAGCTTCGTGTGGCACATGTGAGTCATTTAAGATGCTTTGGACACGCAGGTACTGACCTCATGAATCGGCACTGATTTTGGATTCTTTTCATTTCCAGATACGACGAGATGTCCTGTTTCAGTATCGGAATGAGTGTTGACGAATATGAGGAGGTTTCCCTCGTAATTGATATTCCGGAGCCATTCAAAGTGTGGTGTCATGGCGCTAGGATTATTGTTACCAGACTTCAGCACCCGTGTTGCTGTGTGAAGCTATGAATGTTTAGAAAACATATTTCAATCAGATGTCATACATATTATTCACTTACCCTCATTGGATTGATGTTGAAGTGTTGCTTGAGTGTTGCTTGGACTAAGTTTGATGCATAAGGGGTGCCATTTGAAGGTCGACTCTGTGACCTTCGGTTGCCCTGTGAGCTCATCGGGAGAGCAATCGACACATCCATAGTCGCCTAAACCCTTACTGATGCACACTGGGATATGGCAAGTTGACACGGTGCACCTCCAGATGTACGATCCGACGTCATGACAATATATACAACACTGAAAACAATATTAAACACGTTATTGTATGGAGAGAGTGCTAAAATTCATACGATTGTAGGAGCCTTAATTTCATTTGTGACTTTGGTAGAAATCAAAGGTTTTCGATCATCTTCATCGACGACCATCAGGCTTGTGACATCTCCCACAATCAAAGTCAATTTGACATAAGGCACGCGCAAGGACTGTCTGTTTGGGTTACGGCATCTAGCGATGTTTCCTGGTGCCACTGCATCTGCAGGTTGAGTCTCTGTCCTTGCTGGATGTTGTTGCACCGCGGATACCTGTGATGGTGCTGATTTGGATGCTGATTTGGATGCTGATGCTGACGATGCCGATGCCGATGCTGATGCTGATGCTGATGTTGATGCTGGTACTGGTACTGGGGTTTGCGCTGGTTCTGTTGCATTGTCCCCTGCAACACCTCCCGCTGGTTCTACGCTAGGCACTCCATAGTGATCCGGTGCGATCAGCATATCTCAGGTTTAACAGTCGGTCGTGACGAAACCTTCAAGATTGGAATATAAAAACGAAGCTTGTAAGCTGTTCAGGAAAATCAACATATCGATGTCACGTGACCTACACGTGTATTGATTTTTAATCGGATTGTTATTGGCAAAAACATCAACCACGCCACACATTCGACTTCAGAATCAACCATGCCCTTCCCAACGTCAGACCCAATCGTTTTGGAGATAAAGCCTCGCTCCAAGGATGATATAAATGATATTCTATGTACATTTGGCATTATCATGCAGAATCAGACCAAGACGACACAATTTGTTGTTGGCATAGCTAACGAAGAAATTGTCAGTTCTAATTAAGTATTTTGTGGTGCAACTAATTAGGTGTATCTCAGGTGACCGTTCCGGACAAATGTGTCGACATCCTCAATGTAGTTGCTCACCAGCATTTGATTTATCGTGAGATCGCCTCTACATTGCTGAAGCTTCCAGAATCTGTTGGAAATGTGAGTTAGTTAGGGTTGATAGACGTTCGTAGACGAGGCAGGGCTAGGGTCCCAGTGCTTGAGACCTTAACCCTGGCCTAGGGTTAGGACCAATGTGGTCGGCGGAGGTCCCGAGACGGAAGTGGCCATCATGTGCCAAAGCAAGGCAGTTCCCTGGGTGGACTGTGTCAGTTGGTCAGTCATGGGTGTTTGTTACATGGTTGGTTGGTTAGTCACACATTCCACTACTGCATGACAAGTGGCTCCCTGGGGGGACTGCATTTCTGGAGATGGTGCATGCTCAGTAATACATTTGCACCACCACATGACATCACTCAGTTAGTGTTGACAGATGTTTGTGTTTTTGCGCATTGCTATACACTTGGTAATATATTGTACCACCCCATGAATGTGGCTCAAAGTGGCTCCCTGGAGGGACTGGCTTTGTGCACATTGCTGCACACTCAATAATACACAGGATCACCACAGGATAACATGCTCAGTAATACATTTGCATCATCATATGACATGGCTCCCTGGGGGGACTCTGTTTTTACATATTGCTCCATCCTGCCACTACAACACGCACAGTGGATCCCTGGTGAGACTAAATTTCTGGCATATTGCTACATGCTCAGTAATACATTATGAGACTGCCTGAATAGTGGCTCCCTGGGGGGACCACATTTTTGGATATTGCAGTGTGCTGCCACCACATGAGCAGCGGCTCCCTGGGGGGACCGCATTTTTGCACATTGCAGCATGCTGCCACCACCACGTGAACAGTGATTCCTCAGGACACTGTGTTTCTGCATGTTATTGTTCATTCTGCCACCCCATACACAGCAGCTCCCTGGGGGGACCACATTTTTGCACATTGCAACATGCCACCACCACCACATGAATAGTGGTTGGTTAGTTAGGACACTGTGTTTCTGCATATTATTGTCCATTCTGCCACCACATACACAGCGGCTCCCTGGGGGACCGCATGTCTGGAGCTTGGTAGATTTAGGTTTTTAGGTTTAGTTAGTTGTTTGTTGTTATTTGTTGGTGTTGTTGTTGTTTATCAGGTATGGTGTATTTTATTTGTTGTTATTTGTTGCTAATTTTATCTATTAGGGTTTGGTTTGTTGGTTTGTTGTTGTTGTTTATTTGTTTAAATTTAGTTATTTAGGGTTAGGGTCCAATATAGTTAGGGTTACCAATGAGACTGTTGTACATCAGCTGGACTTCTTCCCTCCCTCGCAAGCTTGGGGGGTCCTAGAAGTCCAGCTGCATGTACAACAGTCTCATTGGTATATGCATCATATTCTTATGAAATCAGAAATGAGAAAAGAGACTCAGTATCTAGTGTCATGCACTATAATCCACTTCTATATTAGAGACTGCATGTGCTATAACTATAACATCTGAGGTATGGCTAAATAAGATTTAGTGACATCCTGTTTAAATTAAGTAACAAGTTATTAAGATTGAAAGTGATGAGACTTAGCTCAAAATCCCTCCAGATCCCAAAGTAAGAGGTGCCAGTCTCTGGAGACATGGATAGCCAAGAAGGACCTAAGAACGGAAGGAAAGTAAGAGGCACCAGTCTCTAGAGACATGGATAGCCAAGAAACAATTGAAACAAAGGAAATGACCACTTGCAGCTGCAGTATGCAAGTGGCCAAAGGACAGGCCACAGGATATGAGTGGATGATAGAGCATTGAGAGAATGAGGTCAGAAACATGGCTGGTTAGTTTGGTTGGTTGGTTGGTTGAAGTTGAGAAAGACAAACCATGGGAACAATATTGACAGTTGATGTATTGTTTGTTGATTTGATATAACATCCTTCCTCTTTCACTTTCCGGGGCCTGGACGAGCACGAGGCGTGACGTCTTCATCCTCAGACACAATGGTCGTGCAGTCCGACATAGCTTTCCTCCTGGAAGTCCGAGAACCACCAGCAGTAGGAGCTGGCGCTGCGGCAGCAGCGATGGCCTTAGCCTTCTTGCCTTCTGAAAAACACAAGTCAGTTCCGAAATGAAGAAGTGACAAAAGAAAAGACTTACTAGGGGCTGAGGTGCTGAATTCACACCGAACATGCACTTCTCTGCACACATTACAACTCCGTCCGGTTAGTCCAATGCAATGAAGAGACTGCCAGGCACACTTTGCACAAGGGTTGTCATGACATATAACTGGCATGGGGCCAGTGGTCATGCAACCAGTCGGAAAATCGCAAGTCGGAAAAAGAAAAAGACATACCTTCTGTTTGATGACAATGATGTCGCCAGTCTTCTCTCCAGCCTCCGAAGACTCACCATCTTCCTCTCCATCTCCATTGTCACCCGCAGTCTCCTTTCCAGCCTCCACAATCTTATGGGTCAATGTGGCAGCCTCCGAAGTCTTCCTTGCCAACTCTTCCTCCTCCGCAGCCTTCTGAGTGATTTCCTCCTCCTCCTCCTCTACCCTCTGATGCTCTTCCTCTACTTCCAAGAATCCTCCACAGTTTTCTCCTCGGCTTTGCAAATCGCCTCCACCATGCACGGGCAGGCAGTAATGCAGTCATCACCCTTCTTGCCAATGGCGGCAGTCAGGGGGAGTGCGATGTGTTTTTCAGTGGCCTCAGTTTGGCATGCGCTTAAGTTTTCCTGAAACAGACACATTAGCATGCAGAGAAACGACAGAAGGAAAAAAACACACATACCATAAACGCGTCCCACTTGCGACACCTTTGTTCCATGTCGCTGATGGAGCACATCCTGTCAAGCAAAATCAATGTATGAAGCTGGTCGAGCTCTGTGACATATGCATCGAATTCATGCAACAAACATTCAGCATCAGGGTTTATGGGAATTTGCAAGAAAGACATAGTAATGATAGTAGCAATGAAGGAAAGAGAAGGAGTGAAGAGGGCGAGAATTTATAGGGAATGACAAATTGATCCACAAAACCACGTCCCATTGTTCCAACCATCCACAATTCCCACGATCCACCAGTCCACTGATTTTCGCGTCGTTCCACATATGGGAATCAGTCATGTGCGCTCAAATCTCACAGATTTTCGCTAAGTCTTTTTTGAGTATGGCTGACCAAGGACGGCCAGTATCTAAGTCCCCCACAGATGTAGTACTCAGATCAGTGTTGGGCTCATATCCTGCCAATCTTATAGGTACCTCACATTTTACTCCTCGACACTCCTTTTACCTTCCGAGAGTTCCGTGTGTTTGTCCAAGTTGTCTGAAGGACATCTGTCCTGTTCTGAGGCCTGTATACACTTCCAATCCTCCGTACCATATCCCGTCTGTGTCTGTTTGACTTCACTGGTGCATTTTTACCTTGTTCATCTATGATTGATTATGTCTTAAGGGCACATACATCATTGGCCCATTAGAAAGCTTGATTAATATGTATAGCAGCACACCTCGTGTGTTATTACATGGATATCTTTGTAGCAGCTCGCCTTGAGTCCTATTACATTTCGGATGGCTTATCTCATCACTGTTTTTGCCTACATAGTTTCTGGACCTTCACACTGTAGGATATAATCTGCCTCACTAGCTACTCGCACTTCACTTCACTTTCCATGCTACGAGTCATAGTTAGTAGAGTCACTTTGGTTAGTTGTACTTTGCACAATCAATCTTTTTGTTCATTCAGAATGATTATTTGGCTTGACCGCTGCCATTTCGCATCTTGCTATCTCTTAGTTCTTTCGATAGGCTTAGCTTAGTCATACTTTGGTACTTCTGCAAGTCTTATACTTTGACATACTTTGACATACCCGCTGTATTATTTCACTCTCAGAACATTTGCTGTTAATTGGAAGCTCTTTGGACGCTTCGCTCAACCTTGGACCTGCATTTCTTGATGTTGGACCACCTTTGGACCTCATCGGACAAGTACTTCAGTACTTCAGACACATCCTCAGAACATCGAGTGCACTCTTGGTAACTTTCTTTTCTGAGCCCATTCAGTGAAATAGTCCGTATCTCATGGCCAGCCCAATAGGACAATTCCCCATACTATATGAGCCATCCCATATGGGCCCATGGGCAATTGTAGCCATAAGATATGGCTGGGCCCATGCTTGACAATACACAAGAGTCTCTATTGGGCCCATAGTCAAATGGTAGGTGTATAGCACATTAGCACCATGGATAATGTTTTGGCCCATGAGTTCGTGACTCATGTCTCAGCCCACATGAATAATGTTTTGGCCCACATGAATAATGTTTCGGCTCATGAGTCCATGACTCATGTCTTGGCCCATGAGTCTGTGACTCACATCTTGGCCCACATGAATAATGTTACATATGCGACACCGGTCACTCACATTTCCAGTATAGTAATGGAACACAAATAATATGAAGTATGTGAAACAGAACAGTGAGGATGATAAAGTCTACATACCGTTTAAAATGTCTTCCACCTTGCTGTACTTTGCATGATTTGCCTCAGAATACAATAAGTGCTCCCCACAGGGCATCTTGAAATGGTTATGAACGCTGTCTCTCATGAACCATGCCCACACACATCTGTCGCCGGTCTGTATGTCTACTGCATGGTGGACAAGCCAACCACAGAACGCTATGATGAGACATGACTGACCTTGTGACCTTGTTGAAACCAGCATGGAGATACATTTATGCAGCCTGGGACACACCAGGTGTTTCAGTCAGTTAGAAATAGGACCTGTCTGTTCTCCAAATGCAATTGGCATTCACTGGGGACAGACTTTCTTGAGGAGATCATTGGCACAATGCATTGCAGCACTGATATCCTCCTGCAGCACAGCAGTTCAATGAATGACCAACACGGAAGAACATACTTACCTTCACCCAGTCCGACAGTGCCCTGGGCACATACCACAAGACGAGTTCTGAAGGGAAGAAAGGACCTATGTATCTTCCTTTGTGAAACTCTTTCTGGATGATGGGGTCCAATTCCGTGCGATACTCATTAACTGAGTCCTTATTTGGTGGGGTTTGTATATGCGTAATTAAAGGGAAGTTTAATTTAAAACCTGATCTGAAACCTTCCGGAACTTTCGCAAATCGATCAAATGTGTTGGCGCTACGTAGCTCTTGCTCCCATGCATCTGCGATATACGGGGTGAGAGGGTTAGTTCTTCTGTGCTTGAGAGCATGGTTGAGCTCCGTGGTCGGACGATCCACATCGCGAGCACAGGTGCTTGCTATTGTGTTGGTTGCTAGAGCAACCCTCTTCTCATTGCCATGAGGTACATAGCTGGCATCCATTCTTGGCCCATAGCGCCTTGTTGATGCGTTCTGAGAAGGTGTCAAAGAGGTTGTCCCATGTTCTGAGGGCATTGCATTCAACTGTGCAGTGGGAGTTGCATCCAAGACAGATGGCGCAGCATGGGAGTTGGCCAGATGGGTCAGCGTGGTCTCGAAAGAAACATGTTTTCTTCTTGAAGTTGCTGCTCTCCGTGTTTGGAGATAGCACTCTCTTCTGAATGCTGCCGGGGCGGGCATTAGGTGTCTGTGTGTTGCGACTAGCGTTGGTATTGTTAGTAGCAGCAGCCTGGTGTGCGTGCGAATGGGAGGTTTCGGTGACACGATGTCATGGGTGATAATGATGGTACATGATGACAGCGACACAATGTCACAAGCGATGATAAAGGAGCGTGATGTCTGAGTAATGATTCTGTGGCGATTAGAGCCAAACAACGTGTGATGGTCAAGGTAACGAACATTTTGTTGATTGAATGTGATGTCGACAAGGTTTTAAATCAATGAAGCAAGCACGATCCATGCGATTCATGGAAAAAGGAATGAAAAGGGATGACTCAGTCAGATTTTGCAAGTAGACTTCGGAATGAATGTACCTGTCTGAGCACAGCGAGTGCTAGGTCGTGATCTTCATTGAAAATCTCTTCTCTAGCCTCCAGGATTAAATCCTGGTTGAGTTCAGCTATACTCCACCCAAAGGGGCCACCGGCTGTGAGGTGCCACAGTCTACGCTGCTGGCTTTGATAAAATAGCAGCGCTCGTTGCTTTAAGGTGTCGAAAGTGTGTCTCCATCGATGGTTCTGGAGTGCAGTCCAGAATTTGATGTGCATGTCGACTCTATCCTCTGGCCACTCATGTTGCTTCATGGCCGTGATCATACATGGGGCAGCTTCATTGAAATGTTCCCAGGACAGATTCTCGTCCTTGGTGATGACAGCTTTGGGGTCACGAGTTTCGTCAGAGTTAATCCACGTTTGTTGTCCATCAGTGTTTGTTGTTAATGTTAGACCTGGTGATTCGGTTGCGAGTAGACTCTTCTTAGCATCCTTCAAGCCTTTATTAGTGAAATAGTAGAGCTCACAATACTCTCCTGCTTTCAACTTCTGCACGGCATAGTGAGACAGGATGATGACTGGTATGGAAGGAACCTTGGAGTTGCCTACAGGAACGAATTTGGACTTGTTTTTCTTTTGTTCCTCTTTGTGAGCTGCTTCTTGTTCATCCGCGATGGTTTGCTGTTGGTCTCATTCTTTTTCCATTGCTAGCCTTCAGACTTCTTTGGCATCTCTAGCAGCTTCTTCAATTTGCTCTGCCCAGAGCTCTCTGGCTGTATTGTTGTTTAACGTCCACAAGGTTGCTAAAAGCTCTGCTGCTTGAGCATCATTGCCGACACTGTTGGCTACGAGTCTAGCCCTGGCTGTTGTGTGATCAGCTGTCCTGAAATCTGGTAATACTGCGTCATTTGGGTTGTCTAATAAAGGAGCCATTTTAAGGAAATGTGAGCAGAAAACAATAGAGTTAGGATTGGAGATTGTCCATGACGTTCAGAAGCTGATGTGGTTCGAGAAGAAAGTTGCTGCGCCACAACATTTTCTCACATGTAGACTATATTCTACGTTAGCCTCGCTAACTTAGAAATTGAATCGCTTAGTAGGCATGCAGCGGTTGGGGACATATTTTTCCTTGCTTACTCGCATAGAAAATGCATGATGTTTCAAGACAAATTGTTTCATACCATGTCATTTGCTTAGGGAAAACCTGTGATTCCTTTCAACCTCAAGGTGTCCTTATATAAAATATTTGGTGAGTCTGGATTTGCTCATCAGTTATTCCTCTCTCAGAGTCTCTCTGCTCAAATTCTCTGTAGCTCATCATGCCTCCTCGTGTTGTTGCCAGCCCCAAGAAGAAACAGACCAAGCGCAAAGGTTTGGAGGTGTCTAAGCGTCAGTCTAAGAAGCCCCGAGCAGCAGAACCTGTCAAGACATCTGGCACGCCACTCATGTCACTCCGTCTAGATAGAATAAGCACTGATGAACCTGATAGACATTCTGGCCGCGCCAATGCAGGAACGGGAGGTGGGAAGGCTCAATTGGAGAAGATTGGAGCATTGTTAGAAGCTCTGTCTTGGGTACACCAACCTAAGGGCTCTATATCCCTTGATTCTACTGTTCCCGTCAACCCTCAGGCTCCAGAACCACCTCACAGCAAGGGCTGAGGTCGTCGTCCAAAGGTCTGATGCATAGTTGTATTTTATTTATTTATGTTGATCGTTCGCATATAGGTTGCACCCCGCCATATAGTTCATCAGCTACTACAAATGTTCCTAACACCTCACGCGCAGATGTCAGTACCGTGGAACCCTTACAGCCTCTAAATCTCTTGTTCTGTCAAGCTGGAGGAAGATTCAGGTTTGCTATGCACACCACTGCTGTCCCTCCTGACCCAGGTCTAAACACTGTTGGGAGGAAAGTTGTTGGGAAGCAACCTCATAAAACTGTAACTGGTCCTAGTGTAGCTAATTCAGTTGCACCGCCAACTGGCTTTCTGGACCAGAACATGTGTGACATCCCTGTGCAAGGATTCATTGGTTCTGATGACAAAGATGACAAAGATGACAACAACAACGAGGAAGACGAACAGAAGGAGAAGGAGGAGAAGGAGATGAGTCACCAGCAGTTTGGCTGGGGAGAGGTTGGTGGACATCACACTGGACATCCAGGTAATGTGTTTGTGACTCTCCTGCGTGCTCAGAGGCAAACTACCAGGATCAGTCGCCTTGTCTTTCAAACAATCTTACTAATACTAATCACAGGATTTTCTGGGCAAGAGCTTCCTTCGCAACCTCAAGTCACTCATCCTCTTACACCAGAATTTGAGTTTCAATATTCCCGCGATGAAGATGACGCGGTTGCACAGACCAATGTTTCATGTGCGGCTAATCCTTCCACATCATCTCATCCAGCGGTCCAACAGTTCACATGTATGATGGGTTGACTTGCCAGTATTGTGCTGACAGTTACTTGCCTTTCAAGATTCCTCTGGATACCTTGCACATGCAGCCACAGTCACAGGAAGTTCAGGTGAGACGATGGAACTCATCCTTGTCGAGGCTCACTCTTTTTCTTTATAGATCACGATGTCACAACCCAACAACGTATTAAGATGCCATCACAAGATGAATGGCCGGCCACGCCTTCCCAATCCTGGAACCCTTGAGTTGTTGCATCAAGTCGAGTCTGACGAGGACCAACCAACTCAGCGGTCTAAAACCAAACAATCCAGGAAACTTGATGGGCCAAAGCCCACTCAACTAGCATGGTATGGTCCACGATGGAAATGTTTTCTTGAGGATGCTAAAGGAGAATGTCGTGTGCAACATGCCCTGGACAATCCCTTCCCAGCTTTAGTTGCCAATTTACCGTCGTCTGTAAGTGAGGTTCTTGTTTCAGTCTTAGTTGCATGGGACCAGGATGGTAAACAATTTGAAGCCAATAAGCATTTGTTCCCTCTTCAAACCAATCTGTCTCATGTCGCAATTCAGGGATTTGGCCACAACAGAAATCTAACATGGCTCGGCTGGTAGGCATAAAACTCACATTCCCGCTGCTCTCATTGATTCAGATCTATACTACAGTTGTACAATGATCTTGCAACCTGGCGATCCGACTTGAAGAAATACGTTATGAGCCTTGCGCCCCAATCATACTCGCTCATTCCCCGCCTTCGGTCCCCATCTAAGAACGTGCAGAGTGGGTAGAACACACTGCTGCAGACTTACTGGAAGGGTCACTCTTCCTATGCTTTGAATTAGATGAATATGTAAGTGATCTTGCGCTGACAGGGTCTATTCTCAGGGAATCTTTCTAGGGTAAAACAAGGAAGTTTGCTCATTCCGCACTTTGTGACGCTGTCATCATCTTCTTTTACACAGGACCTTACCGAATCGCACACAGGCAACCAGACATATTCCACAACCAATTGCCTGTGTCATGTCTGGCTTTGGTCAGCACAGCAGTAGTATTTTTACCTCTACTCGACATTATAATATATTGATTCAAGTTTTCTCTCTATAGTACAACTGTGTTCTCAATGGTCTCGCAAAGAATGGCCACAGAAAATATTACCCAAAGTTTACTGCGAGGGAATACAGCCCTATCTACTCCAAAATGGTCCAAATGCTCAAGGACATCCTTCAGGATCTGTATCATGGCCCTAGGTTATTGGTGCAACTGCAAGAGTGGGCTGAAGCTGGATGGCGAGAATGTTGCTTTTGTGTGTCTTATTTGATACTAATTTCAACCATGCAGGACCGCAAGTTTGAGGGTCGACGGAGCTGTGGGGGCTCAACATGACCACCTGCAGATCATTCTTGACTGAGGCTTCATATTCACGTGTCCAAGTATTTCTGTTTCCTACATCTGTTTACTGTATTTTGTTATCTCGCTTATCATTCTATTATCAATATGATCTATTATGCTACTGCATATCTGGCTGAGTTTTGTGTACAAGGAGGTCTGTAAGCCTCTGTGCAGAGTGACACCTGAATTTGTGCACAAATTCTGTGCATGAGGCAGTCACTGGAGTGTCTGTGAGATTCTGTACAGTGTGGCCACCTGGCCTTCCCAATAAGTAAGCCTTATTAAGCTTGGTGATTACGCATATTGCCAAGCCTAACTAGGCTTGGTTGCAGTAATCCGTCAACACCAGCATTAAATATTGCCCCAAATACCTTTCTACCTTATAGCTAGTACCACCTACTTGTTCCCCGCCCTCCCTGCACATACGAGACATCCCGTGACCTTCCAGACTTACCTGAGTTTCACCCAATGACGGCTTCCCACGCCCCTTCCGCTCTTACTCTACACCGTCGACATCACTGGGCGGTTATAGCCAGTAATCCAAGTGTCTGGCAGGTGTTGTAGGTACTATTCCACTTCTTTAAGGCACCCAAGCTCATGTCATCATCCTAGATCCTGCCCTATACCTGCCTCAGCAGCCTGCACACCATCATCCATTGCTCATCTAATTACAGTAATACAGGAATATGTCAATGTTGCAGGCGATTCAACCAAGAACTGAAACTTCTCAAAGGTACATGCTGGGAAGCATATATTTCATGACATATGGGAGAAAGGCACTGCTCGGAACTTCAGCACTCGTCCCAATGAAAAGCAACATGGACCACTCAAACAGATGTATTTACGCCAGACAAACCACAAGGACATTGCAAATCAGGTATAATTCATTTTATCATTATCATTAATTGGACCACAGGACCCTTGTTTCCAAGCTTATTGCCCAGCTTGATGAACAGCATCTGCGGAAACTCAAGGACACTAATGACAATGATCCAGATGACATCAATGACCCTGAGGACACCGAAAACATTGGCACATCATTTCAGGGCCATATCTATCTCGGTTCTCCTCAACACCCTATGAGTTTTGCTGATGTGGAGCAAGCAAACAGCTCATTGTGCACTTTTGACCAATTTCGCAAGAAATTTTTGATATTCATCAATGAATTCCTTCCTGCCCACAACATACCATTGCCTGATGGGATGACGTGGTTGAGGCCGGCAGCTCAGGACAAGGTTAATTCAATTTTATTTTATTTTCCTGTGATGCTAATTGAACTACATTTCTTGCAGCTACAAGAATATCGCTACCTCAAGGTACACTACGAGTCCATCGTTGACTGGAAGCTTGCAACAGACTATCTCCATTGCAGTCCAAGCTTCCATGGGCATGAGCGCCATGATTGCGCACTAATTCATACTCACAACAAGAACGGCAACACCAAAAATATATTTGCACAAATCTTGTTCATGTTCAAGTATACTGTTGGCGACTGACATTTGGATCTCGCTCTCGTGCTTCCAATGGATGCTCTGATTGGCCCACGGCTTGCCATTGATCAGGACCTGCGCTTTACTCGGCTGCATGCATGGCCTGCAGCATCTTCAGAGTTCCTTTCCATTCATTCAATCATTTGTGGTGCTTTGCTCATTCCAGATTATGCCAATCCTCATCGAGACTTCTTTCTTGTTGATGTTGTTGATTCTGACATGTTTCTGCGCTCCCAGAAAAATGTTTTAATATAGTAGTATTTTGCAATGAGGATCTCATTCTCTAATACTCATTCTGCAAGCTTCCATTGTCTGATGGGGATCCGCAGATTGACATAATGTGAACAGTATTAAGTATATGAACTACTGATCAATCTCTGACCACCCTCCAGCACTTCTCCATCAAAGCGCACCATCCCACTATCAGAAGAATGATGATATCCCTTTCGTCGGCCCACCCGTATATGTAATACACCCCACGTCAGCCCACCCATCTATGTAATATTCCCCTACCTCGGCCCACCCATATATGTAATACACCCCCGTCGGCCCACCCGTCTATATAACAATATTTGCCTTACATCTCTCTTCAGCCCAGCTGTCTATAATATCCTACTCTACATATTACCCAGATGGGCCCACCCATCTCCATGAATGATCATATTCCCCCGGCCCATCCGTCAACATCAAGGATATATATATCATTGGCATACATGGGCCCACCCATCTCCATTGGAAATAATATGTTTCCTGGCCCATCCGTCATCATCAAGGATATACACAACATGGGCCCATAATCCGCTGGCCCGTATGATATGGAATTTGTCACTGAAGGGGCTCGCTGGCTGTGGTTGAGAGGGTTGACTCTGATATTAGAACAGAAGATTGAGTGCTCTCTGGAGTTTGTATTGCATGGGGTTGTGCTGAGCAACCATCTGAGTAAGATGGTGTGTGCAAGTCCTTGCAAAATATTTTTGGTTTCAGGGGCTTTGGTAGAACAATTTGATGGCAGCACTGTGAATTGGGAGGGGGTGGAAGACAAGTGATAGGGTAGGCATGGGGTGGTGTGTCAAGGCCAAGGTGATTTCTTTGTGGAAGAAGAAACTCAGACTGGTAAGAATTATGGTGGTGAAGATTCTGATTTGAATGAAAATTTGAAAAGGTTTCAAGAAGGTGAGGGTGCAGGTAGATGTTGATATTGGTGTAATCAAACTGAGAGGCTAGGATGCCTACTGCATGTTGTATATCTAGTTGATCTTGATAATAGTGGACTTTGTTGTGGACAACATGTGAAATGATAATTAAAATTGTTTTGAAAAGACAATAGGTCTGACTTACTGTATCCGTCCAGCTAAGGAAATTGAGCCCTGAATATGGGTGAGTGTAAGCCGGAGCCATCCTCATTGGACTGATAACCATCCCCCATCATTATGTCTTGTAGAAATCAAGCATAGATACCACTGTTTGTGCTGATGACCATAAGTCTAAAAGAATGAGTTTAGAAAGAAAATGGTAACTGGTAAATATGGCACTAATTTTCAATGCTTTACTATGCGAGACTTGTAAAACTTGAAGGAGAAACATGTCCCAGGACAACAAGCTCAATGACTCCCAAACTCATTACTAATTCACGAGTCAGATGAGGATTTGTACATACATAAGTACTACTAGCAAAGTGCCTAGCAAATTCATGTGTGACTCCCATGTACTAAGGGCTCTAATTAGAAGCATCAATATATAGCCAATACAGTGTGTAGAGTTGGTCCAATCCGAGCACCTGACTCTGTGACTATAGGATTTTCGGCAGCTTGTAGCACAGTGAATCGGTTGCAAACATGTAGCATACATGTAAAAATATCTACTGTATGTACCACCGATGATTTAAGGTTTCAGCCACTCCTTCAACTCCTTCCGAGTCAAGCTTGTCACAAAAACACTAAGTCCAGCAGTGACAGAAACTGCCAGTGTGGTAACACTGTCTTACTAGGATGTGAAAACAGTAAAATCACCAATTTTCAATATCCTACCATGGTCAATGGTTCAGACAAATACTAACGGTCGATAATGTGGTTGTTTGTGGAAAAAGTGTGTTGAGTTCTCAAAGGAAGTACACAGTGACTAAAGGGGGGACAGAATCAGTAACTGGCTTGATGCAGTGCTATGATCCTAAAGAAAGTCAATAACTGGCGCTGTGACACTCGGATCCTCCCTGGGCTGCAAATGGGTCATTGCCATATATGTGTCAAGGAGTACAGAGCACTATGAGTTTCCTTATCATTGTCCATCATTTGTCCAGCAAGTAACCTCTGTCCGAACCCGAACCTGCTTTTCCCGTGCTTTGTGCATCCGCTTATCCGCACTTTCCCGCGCATCGGATACCTCGGAAACGCATTAGGAAGGTCCCTTGTCTATCCATAGTCCATCCAAACTCCATTGGTATGTGAATTTCCTTACCTCGAGGCTTGTAAAATGTGTTGCAGCCTTATTATATGTCCTTACATATTTACTATATTTCCTATCCCTTCCCTCTCCGAGTGAGAGTTTAGACAGTATAAGTTGACTACTTCTTAGTATTACTTACTACACTTCCCTCATACTGGATACCTCTCCCTATAGGTTTACCTTCAAAGTAGTCCCTTGTAGTGTGCGCTTTTTAGCCCCTATTAGGTTCCTTATACCTCCCTATACCTAGACTTTCCTTACCTTGCAATATACCTTTGCCCTCATGCTCTCCGAACCTCGTTCCTTGACTTCCCTATACCTTGTCTGCACTTTCCCGCACTTTCCGCACCTTCGGCCACGCGTTCCCACGCTTTGGATACCTTTGGATACATCCCCACACCTCGCGCATACCTTGTCCGCTATTTTCCTGCGCTTAACGCGCCCTCGGGTCGCACATATCCATCATCGTTCTAGTAGCAAATCCCTTTAGGGTCGAACACGTCTGTATAGACATAGCAGCTAGGCATTAGCTTGACCCAACCTTTTCTTGGCCACCCAGCAAGATTGTTGTTTCCACAGCACAATGCAGTGCTATGACTTCAATGAATACAGATGTACGACTATGCGATAATTCTATAATGATACTCCCTATCTTCACAAACCAATTGGAGATCAAACTAAGCCTCTAAATACGGATCAGCCCGAACTAATATGTGGCTTTGAAACCTACTCTCTGCTGCTCAGGCACTATACAATGAGTGTGACACAGGACAGAACAGAGTACACCCTCTTGATGTAGTCTTAAGTGGGCCAAGTTTCTTAATATTAGTGACTGACTGTTAGTCTTATTTGTCTTCCCTTGCTGATGAAAATATGTATATTCTCCCCACAGAATAGATTTTCTGTGTCTAAAAGAGAACTGGAATATATCTGCACTAGATGACTGATAACCATGTACCAGCTAGTGTAAAAAGTATGGCTCAATGGTGGCCTCAAATATGCTTCTGTATGTCGTGGGAAACAGTGTCAAAAGTGGAATGAAATAACCTAATATTTCACTCAGTGTGTCACTTAGTATCTTAGAGGTGAGAATTTAAAAAAGAGCTTTATGAACACTCTTCTTATTCTCCACTCACTTATTCACACTCAAGCTTAGATAATATGGAAATGGGCTTTCTGTAACTTGGCTAATAGAATATTCCAGAATCTTTCAAATTAACATTAATGGCTGTGCTCTGTGGCTATGCTAACCTGTGATACAAAGCTATGTACACTGCCTCTCACTGTCTGAATGTTAACTTGTTGAATACCATAATGTTGGTCTTGCATATTTGTTATGATGAAGCTTTGCATGGGTGTCATGATGTGCCACCAAGTCACATGAGACTGATTGTGTAATGAAGTTTGAAGTCTTTCAAACTTTCCTCTCAGTACCATAAAAATGAAAAACCCGCGTATGTGAATATGTCAGAACATCACACAAAACATACCTAGAATATGTGAAAATGCATAAGCAAATTATAGGAGGTGTGAGAAACTGCTGACTAATTGACAAATTACAAGTTTGAAGGCAATCTTCCAGAAGGATAAGTATTATTTTAAACAGTTAAAATACGAATGCCGCATAGAAAATTCTGGGGTAGAACCATAGGCTATTGTGAAAGGTATTATAAGCCAGATATTTGCCATGTTCATGTACAAAACAGGTTTTGTGCATGTCAACAGACGATATACGAGATGTAATATCAACTGAGGCAGTCATACAATCATTATCTCACTGTACCCACTGTTCTGCTTATATAACATTATGGTAATTATACACTGCCGCATTTTTTGGCATTTTTGAAACTCAGCTATTTGTCATACCAGGCAGTACATAATTCACAAAAAACATATTCTATTTTTGTCACCTCCTCATATTAGGCCTTCCCACATTATTCCCACACTCCGCAATTTTCGCATTTTTAGCCACCTACTGTGGGAATAACCCCCACAACACCCCAAAACATCACCCAATATGATAGGCAGCTTCACCGCCACACCACAATAGCTCCCCCTTTATATATAAGTAGTAGTTTAGTTTATATATGTATAATAATATAAGACTGCTTTTTTGTTTGTTTGTGTGACTGCTCCTCCCCAGGGGCAATGCAACATAGGGGGTAGGGTACAGAACACTTTTGCAAGTCACATCACAAGACTTGGTGAATTTTTGCATTTTGCTTACTTGACCATGGAACATTTTCTGATGAAAATCAAAGGTTTAGCCCTTGGTCAAGGAAAGTCTATTCCATGGTCTTGTGATATATCAATAGGTCAAGATGTTAGGCAAGCGATAAACTGATAAGCAAAATACTTGAAAGTGGGATGGTTCAAGAAAGCACCTTGACCGTGGGAACTTTTCCGATGAAACCCCAAGTTATGCCCCCCTTGTCAACGTTGCCAGTTGCCATTTGGAAGCCGAAAATGGGTGAGGTTGTGTTTGACGTGATGGGGTCAATGCTGGCAAAATGTCTGCAAACATAATCCTTTGTAAGATCACATCTTGGCCCCGAGCATGTGATGCGGACATGTCGATGTACGTAGGCAGTTTGAGGGGGTGGGGAGTCAAAATGAGAAACATGAAAAGGACAAATGAAGAATAAACATGAAATAGAGATTTAAAAAAAAAAAAAACCGTGGGAAAAAAGGAGGAAGGGGCACGCTCCCATATGAATAATACCTTAGCTGACCTTGGTGCATCACAAGAGCAAATGGTGTGTTGACCTTGTGGTGCAGAGTCTCACACCTGTTGACATTGACAATAACAATGCTTGGGTAGGTTTCACACTCTTTGTGACTAGCAAGAGAACACAATAACCATTGATGGGCCCGCTCACAAGACAGCTGATGCCATAAAAGTGGTTGGCACCCAGAGCAGGCCAGCAGCACAATCAGCCAATAATACCCTATTTTTGAACATATGGAACAGACACTTTTCTCATCAAGTATTGGTAATTCAATACCAGATGCAGATCACATTGTAGTAAGTATTTATTAACTTGTTGATGTGTATTAATTTCTTACAAGACCAAGTGCGAGTGCAATTATATTCACAGGATCTCTATTCCAACATCTTCAGATGGCATTGACACTTTAATGGCAAAGCCCCGTATTAAAAACACCTTTTCAATAGCAAGACGGGGACTTGCAGTATTGTTTGCCGGAACTCAAGTGTGTTTATGCAAATTCAGAGGTGCTTGCGTGCGCCTTGCCAAATGTGGGAAGCAGGTATGTTTTTGTCCGACCTGGAAATTTCACAGTGGTCTTACTTTTCACAGAGACACGAGAAAAGAAGCAAATGATATGCAATCATATGTGATGCGCTACCCACTACACAAAAATCTCGATATTTCTGATACTTTTTGTTATATAATACTATACCAAGCGTGCAATCACCATAAAAGTAGTTGTATCATTACTAGTGTCTGACACCAATTACCATATGTGTCTGAATTTAATATATAAAATGACTTTCACCTTCAAGGAGTGTTTTATTGCTATTAATTACGGTCCATTTGTGACGGATCTTTGTCTTGAGAGACAAAAACAATGAAATTAATTGGCTATACACCGCTACTTAACAAGATTTAGATATTTGGCTCAGGAATGAGGAGTTCCAGTGATATAATTGATGAAAAAGGGCTTATCGATGTTTTGAGGTGCTCAGATACTAAGCGAATAGCACGGATCTCATTACAATCTACACAAAGTTTTTCTGAAATCTATTGACTGCAATGATTTCTTGTGAAATCAAGACATTGTTCTAACCCCATGCATTAGATGTTGATGAGAAATGGAAACTGAACACCAAGTCAAAAATCCTATCTATTTGGTCCGACGGGCGCACCCCTGTAAATGTCACCCCGTCACCCCAGCCGCAAATGGAAGTCCATCACGTAAGTGGCTGTCCGTCACCCCACCTTTTTTTTTCCCATCCGCCATTTTTTGCCCTTGGCGCTGTCAGCGTCACCCCTTCTTTTTCCCATGAGGTGTCGTAAGTGGCTGTCCGTCACCCTCGCTTCTTTTCCCATCCGCCAATATGTCCTCTTGGCACTGTCCTTGGTGCTACAAGCGTCACCCCGTCACCCTCGCTTATTTAGACCCATAGGTGTCACCCTGTCACCCTCCCTTATTTAGATCTATAGGCGTCACCCCGTCACCCTCGCTTATCCAGTATCTTGGGCGTCACCCTCCCTTATTTAGATCTATAGGTGTCACCCCGTCACCCTCCCTTATTTAGATCCATAGGCGCCAGGCGTCACCCCGTCACCCTAATATTCTGAGTCGAGGAGGGTGAGTCACCCTAGGGCAGCATGCTATCAGGTGCGCACCTATCTACTGGACTTTTGCACGCATGGTGCATCCGCGGGACTGATATAGTACTAGTGCTTTGCAGGTGAAGGACACATTTGAGGAGGATAAGAAACTAAGAATGTAATTACTCCCCTTTCATGCACGCATTGTAAGATCAGAAGGAAGAGTTTGTATATGTCAAACATAGCTGCATTGAGTGCGTTATATGTTCTGCTAGCCTCCTCATCTTCAAGTTTAATCAGACATACCGGGACTGACATCAAGATGATCTTGAAAGCGAAGCAACCTGGATGGGAAGTGCCAACGGCATTGCTCTTGAATAGCAGACTTGAATTGATAGTCGCAATAGCGAATGCAGCAAATTTATGCGGAGGCAACAGGTATCAAGAAAAAGAACAATCGGATACCTGTCGACCTTGAAAATTGAACGCGCCAGGACCATATTTTTAATTGATAGCATGTAATGGAGCTATAGTACAGTACGCAGTGGGTGCAGGAAGTGAAATTGAAAATTACAAACAACACAGTGACATACGTGAGTAAACCTGGTCAGCTATAGAAAAGTGACATGAGGAACACGTGCCAAATTGAGACAGAAGTAGGGACAGAAACATTCAGAAATTCAGACAGAAACAGTAACAGAATTGGGACAGGTTGACAGAAACGGTGACAGAAAAGGTGACAGTAACAGTAACAGAATTGGGACAGGGTTGACAGAAACGGTGACAGAAAAGGTGACAGTAACGGTGACAGTAACAGTAGCAATAATTGGGACAAAAACACTAACAGGAATTGGCACACAAGTAGCGACAGAAACAACCACAAATATGGCAACAGACAAATATAGGCCGTGACTTCTGTAATCTACATGATGTTTTGCGCTCAAATTCTCTGAGCGCTGAGCGTTCAAAAGAAGACCTCCATGAAGTGAATCACATTGCCCAATATCAGAGACTCCAGGCTATGCCACCTAAGATTCACATGACAATTTTCAACCTGTGGTGACATCAGTGATAACACGCCCCAAATCCTGAATGCGCTTTGGGGCCTGCAACACTCAGTTTGATCATATCTGCGGAGCATCCAAAATATTTGCGTTCGAATAATACAGATGTTATAGTCAAGTACGCGCTAGTGACCGTGCTGATTGACTGGATCGACTTGACCGCTTGATAGATGGGAAAACACGTTCAAATATCATGATTATTATTTATGATCTGTTGAATGTCTCTGAAAAGTAGTGTTGAGAGGGTGATTTGTGTTTGACTAAGACCTCTTCCACTAATGTGGGCATCAGGGACATTGTTATGGTCTAAGGGAGTGCCACATCCAAAACCCCAGTTGAAACATCTTGCCAAATGCCAGATACTCCAAGCTACCCCACCTAATATTCACATAATCACCAACCTATGGTGACCATGATATCTGACAGTGCTATCGCCCAAGGGAGTGTCAGATCCAAAACCCCAGTTTGAACATCTGTTCCAATGAGAGATACTCCAGGCTACCCCACCTAAGACTCACATGATTGCCAACCTGTGGGGACCATGCTATCTGACAGTGCTATTGCCCAAGGGAGTGTCAGATCCAAAACCCCAGTTTAAACATCTTTCCAATGAGAGATACTCTGGGCTACCCCACCTAAGACTCACATGATCACCAACCTATGGGGACCATGCTATCTGACAGTGCTATTGCCCAAGGGAGTGTTATATCCAAAACTCTAGTTCAAACACCTATCCATATACCCAATATCTGCCCATATTGTCCAACATGAGATACTCCAGGCCGCCCCACTGGAGAATTATTCAAAGCCATATTTTAAATACCCAACATTAGATATATCACATTCAACATACCCCAGGAAAGGCCTCATAGAGGAGACAGAGCCAAACTAACAATACCCCAGGACAGGCCTCATAGAGGCACCATCCCAGGAGGAGTCCAACCAGCCTCATAGAGGCACAGTTCATTGGACAGGGAGACAGAGCCAAACTAACAATACCCCAGGACAGGCCTCATAGAGGCACCATCCCAGGAGGAGTCCAACCAGCCTCATAGAGGCGCAGTTCAGTGGACAGGGAGACAGAGCCATGCCAACAATACCCCAGGACAGGCCTCATAGAGGCGCCATCCCAGGAGGAGTCCAACCAGCCTCATAGAGACATAGTTATACTGGACAAGAAAGGGAAGAAGAAGACCACATCCAAGGTCCCAGGCCAGGACTCATAGAGACACCAACACAGGGATGTCCAACCAGCCTCATAGAGACATGGTGATACTGGACAAGAAGAATAAATATAATATTCTAGACACAAATCAAAGAAAAGAAGAACTTTGTCAAGTAAGTGACAGTAAAAGAAGAGAACAGACAGAGAAAAGATTTGGTTCAAGTTCGCTTTTCTTTGCTTATGTCGGCAGTGCCAAACAAAGCCACACATTATTACAATTTTCTCATTTTCGTCTATATCACAGCCGTACTGACTAGCATTGACGATGATGACCGGTCCTTCTTCTGCAGCTTTCCGCAGGTCAGAAAACAGCGGGGGTAGGAGAAACCGAGAAAAGGCAGACATCATGCGGATGCGGGAGACGACATCATCCCATTGCATGGTCAGCTGCTGGATGTCTAGGGACTGGTCTTCGGTGGATTTATCGAATGCGCTGCAAAGGCGAAAACTTAGCTGCTGTAACTCTTTCGCCAGGGCTGCGCCCGTGTCACTAGACAGTGAAAGTTCGTCGAGTGGTAAGCGTAAGCGTGTCAGCCAGGTCCAAAATACTGCACGGCCTTGCTCCACCAGTTCGACAGCAGTTGTCAGTGCGCCACGACGAACACTGCACGAGAAAGCGTCTGTGGCAACCGAGGAAGTAGCCATCCTGACGATATCGAAATGGCGTAAAGAAGGTGATAACAGAGTCACATGCTGATCTAGGAATTTCAATGCAGTTTGACAGGCAACCAATACGGAGTCGTAGTTCGTCTCTTCGGCAAAGGTGGCCCAGACGAGACAGATGTGATGACAATAATGGCCAGGGGAACAACTCAGCAAGGCCACTCAACACTTTTCCACGCTGTCTGCCATGCTATTTCGCCAAATCAAGTTACCTAAGGACTGTTGAGAATGGAGGGATGGGGAGCACAACTGGGCAAGGACTTGGACGATGTTGTCATGTTATTTGCTTCGTCATCAGTACAAAATACAAGATGATCAGTTTGAATATTGATGCGCACGCACATAGTATACCGAAAAGTGTAATGGTAACATACACCAGCGGTTTGAGAATTTTGCCTCAGGGAAGACTCGTGAAATGCCGCCTGTGTCAGCTAAAACCTTGCTTGTCGCTAGGCAGAGCCTGAGGCCTGAATAGTTACTTAGTGGGAGTCAAAGTAGAATTCTGGACTGGCTAGAATGCTCGGTAAAAACCTGACTGAGTAATTTTACATCAATTTTGTTGCTTTTGGTTCTTGAGAGCAATTGGAACTCGGAATCTTTCTCACGCAATTCAATTCTCGAATTTTTGTCCAGAGCGGCCCTTCATAAGTACTGTAAGAGAAACAATCCCTATATATACACACATAGTCAACCGTAGTTGACATAACATTAAGCGGCCAAGTCGGCGCCACTGCAACTGGTCTGAAATTGATTGTGGCTTGAATTTATATTGCTGACACCTTGGTCCAGTCTCTTAATCCCAGAGCAATACCTGACAATACCATATTTGTCAAGTACATCCTGGTCTCAGGCCCTAGTATAATGTCTTGCCGGGTGTTAGTTGTGTTGGATCCTCAGTTCTCCCGTGCTTCTGTACAGGATTCTTATGGGTGCATGGACTGGGTGACCCACGATTATCCCGCCTTGTTGGCTGCCGACCTCCTGCGCAGTCCTACACTTCATGGATTTGTCTTCCGTGGAAAAACTAGCCAATTGATTTCACAGCGACCAGGCTTTGTTCCAGTCCGGCTTCAAGAAAAGGTTCGGATGTTTAACGCTGTTGATGATTCCGGACTGATCCCTGGAACCAATAAGTTACTATTGTGGCTTAGAATCCAACACAGAGGAATGGATGTGGAGTTCATGAAGTTTGAAGATTTTCATGATATATTAATCTCAACAAACTCCGACTTCAGGCAAAGATTTCGGCGATATCACTCCATATGGGGCGGCATAGACCTCATGGTAGATCCAAGGCAGGTGACCAGCGTCTGGTTCCTTAAATCACATGTTGACAGTCGGAAGAAGTGAGCGAGCCAGTGGAATGGACAGCCCAATCCAGCTGCAGCAATACCTACGTGGGCTGCAGATACTGGAGTCCATCATGCCAGTATGGCCCCCATCCAGGGAGGTGCTACGTGCCTCAAGAAAATTCAATGTAATCATGGACCTGGACCAAATTGCTACTAGGATGGTCAACTCCCCCAGACCCCTGACCACAATCCTTTCCCATACCAACGTGTCGCAATCCTTTGAAGGCTTCATTCTAAAGCGTGAAGGCAGTGACTGCACACGTCATGTTTTGTTACCGGACAGGGTGGATCCACTGAATCTGCCCCCTGACCTTGGTCACTTCAGGTGGTTAAAACAGTCATATGTACCTACCCTTCAACAGCTTGGAGAGTGGCGGATGATCTTGGTAGACTGCAAGCCATTGTATGTTATACACACAGCTCCTGGAAATAGAGAGCAGGAGTGGGTCTTCTTGCATCGGGATGCCGGTCTGTCCCTGGCGGAAATGAGGTGAGTGCTTCAACCGACCATCCATCATCATCTAACAAATCTTAACCTGGGGATTGGCACAGCCTGCTTATGAGGGAACCGTATGTCTTTGATGATATCATGGATCCAGTAGGGGGCACACTTGCTGAACGACGCCTAGCTGATCTAGAACTGGAGTCCTTTGTGACAGCCGCATTAAGTCAACTTGTATGCATTGAGGAAGAGTTTCTGGGTACATCCAGCTCCTTGAGGCTAATGGCCAGAGTGGATGTCAGTGTCATGCATGGTCCCAATGGCCAATTAGGGTATTTCATCAACGAGGTGGAACGTGGTGTAGGTATCGGGCTATTCAGCACCGGAAATCCAAGATGGACCTTACGGCTGGCCGATGAATTTGCATGCATGTTCTCCAGGTGGATGACTGACACCTGCATAACTATGGGACGCCTAGTGGACCCAGAGATGTAGTTTCAATAGTCACATGTCATACACATGCAAACTTTATTATCTGGTTCAACTGCTATCATGTGGTGGCTTGACCCATGAAATATGCACAGATAAATATGATTACACCTCTATAGATCTTTAAACAAGTAGACTGATGTTTGGTAGCAGGTATTGTGACTGTACAGGTATAATATGGTTGTTGCACCTAGGGATAGTCACTCCGGAGTGCTGAATACTGTTGTTAAATCGAGCACAGATGACCGGTGTGCGGTCAACTTAGACGGATCACTCAAATATCTCGGTGACACAGAACCAAAGTATTCTCCAACACAAAAATGTTCCGCTATAACTCTCATTTCTCTCCCATCAACTTCACCAGCTAGTTTTGCCCCTGCGGCACTAACACGGAAACAGACTTGGGTAACGCCACTATACACAGTCCAAGCAAATTCCAAAACCTCCTAGAGGGCTTATCATAATGGGAAAAGTTGAGGGGAACAGAAGGGCAACAGAATTGGGGCGCTTAAAATTGAATAATAATTAACAACGGTTGATTGACCGCATTATCATGTAACAGGGCTATGGATTGTTTCAGCTGTTGGTTGCACTACATTGCACCTGATGCTCATGATATTATGAAATCATACTAATACTATGTTGGGAACATTTTTCAGGGCATCGGATGACGGAATGAGCTCGAGTACTAGTGTCACAAAATATTAATTAGGAGTCGTCAAAGTTCCCAGGGCCAACTTGAAACCCGGTATAAACGGATACCTACCATAGATCGCACCACACCCAGGACTCCAATGCAAACTCAGCTGAACATAGCACCCAGTCATCCAGATTCTCGCGTTTTCTCCGGTTTGATGTGGGTTTCACCCAATGCCTCACTGGACAGGCTGGACTTCAATGCACTAGAACGTTGGACTGGTCCCAGGGCTGAAAACCCAGTTGTGCCGTTTGACAGCCTTCAGTATCCCGACTGGTATGCCCAGAAGAAGCATTGGCATCCATGGGTACCACACAAACAGGATGGATTGTGGTGGCACCAAATCATGCCTGACAGCACATTTTTACCCCTGGATGATGAAGCCAGAGCCAAAGAAGACCTTTTGGGCATGGTCAAAATCCTGGGTGTTGTATATCGTCATATCCGACCCGAGGGCCCAAGACCTGATAATGCATATGGCATTGACAATATTAATCTCAGCCTCCCTCATTCAAGAGACCATGCATGTAGATTCATGCTTTCTGCCAGCGGTTATATCCGTTGGCTGAAAGCTCATCGTCCGGATGATATGGCTAGATACTTGACATCCCAGGATGTGGAGCTTATGCAGGCTTGGAGATTAGACCAGTCAGGAGGATTGGGTGTCATTTTGGACCTGACGCGGGATAAAAGAGAAATGAACATCGGGCTGTACCTGCAATACAACATTCCGGTTTACTATCCTTGGACCTTATCTGCGGCCGCTGATGGCGCCTTCTACCATCTATCCCCCTCCTACTTGCTATCTCTGGATAATTACCAGGAAGCATTCTCAATCCCACCCACGAATTTTGATTTCTTTTTCCAGCCAATGTTGCCAGGTCAAAGGGGCTTGGCCGTGATGGCCCAAGAACTGCCTCCCTTGACACACCAGGTGTTGGACTTCCAAGGTTGGATACCCAGATCCATCTCTGGCAAGGCAGCACGCCGTTGTTTCCAGTTATTTTATTTCGAGGAACGCGTAGTAGATGTGGGTGTGGCTCGGTCATATCTTCGCATCTATCATAGATTTAGACCCAATGTCACCCTAAACCCAGCACGCCTCACCCTGAACTCCTCAGATGTCTGTATCCGGGAGAGATGGAAGTTCAATCATGCCCCCCATGCTGGTCAATTTTACGACACAGCCACTCAGCAACTGAAGACTGCTGAACCCACCCCCATGCAAGTGCCATTACCCATTAATCCTTCATGGGGCTTGATGGTCCCCCCATTGGCCCACATACACACCGGCTGTCAGGTTCCTGCCCAATCTGAAGTGGGAGATTTGGCAGACTCAGATCCTGAGCAATTTTTGCAAGAGATTATTGTTCAGGTAGACTTTGGGACTCATAGTGGCCTAGATTCACAGATACAGAATTTTGTTTTGAGGTTTCCAAACCACTTAAGCGTTCCATACGATGGTGGTTTGTGGAGGGCTTGTCTAGATACATCTACCAGAACACACACTTAGGTGTTCTGTTGTGGCCAGTCTATTATATGCAGACAGGGCTTAGAATTATTTCACTCTTCAACATGCGGTCACGCTTCTCAGATGACCATCTCTCTCTTGGCCTGAACTACATGGAGGAATTCTCTGCGTCAGGGATCAAATTCATGATCATATTGACCGAGGGGATGAATTAGAAAAATTCAGCTATCTCTAATTCTTCCTAAATACCTACAATAGTGTGACGTCGTAATTACAGATAGTATGCGCTGAAACGCGGATCCTTCTTCAATACACAAAAAAAGATGGAACAAGTATAAATACATGTCCCATACAAAGAAGATATTGGCCATGTTCATGTCTTTTGAGCAGGCTGAAGGACATGAGACAATGCCACATGTTCCAGGTCAATGGTTTCCTCGAGCAAACGACATTGAGCGCTACGAACTATATTGTGCTTCAATGCTCGCTCTTCTCAAACCATGGCACAATATCATAAAAATCAAAAACTCCTCCGATTCGTTCTCGACCACCTTCAACGACGTTGTCGTGCACGCACCAGAAACCATTGCCCGAATCCTTACAAATATTCAATACTTCCACGACTGTTCCAATAAAGCTTACAATTATCGAGAGAAAGAATTGCCTTGCAGTTTCGCGACTATGGACACGGGAGAACGTCTAGATGACGATGCAGACGAAATATTATAATACACATGCCTGGAATGCAGGGCATTGCGATGTTCTCCATAGAGGTGCAAAAAGGTAAAATAGAAAATAAAGTAGACGATGTACCCTATGTACTCAGTTCAATACCGTGGTCTGGGGTCGTGGATCGCGTGGACCAATCCAGCATTCGAAGGGACGCGCAAACTCTAGTGCATATCTGCGGATGGTGTTGGCGTCGACCGAGCCGTACAGCATCATACCTGGGCCTCGCGAGATACCAGTTACGAAGTACTGGAGCTTCCGGCTTTCAGGATTTGTAATGACTGAGAGATCTAGCCGTGCAGAAACTCTCAAGGATGACTGCCGCAACCTGTCCTTGATGCCATATCGAAATAACCTTGTTTCTTCTCCAGCAATGAAGGCTTCCAGCGTAAGCACCAAGAACTGCTGTATTTCTGCATGAGCCTTGAAAACTTCCGCCCGTGTGCCGCCTTCGCGAATCATGAAGTGACATTGATCTGGGTTGCTTTCCCTGATCCTGAACAATGATGTCAATGCAACAAACAATGATTTTTGACGCGAACTCCTACAGGCCCAATTCCTCCAAACTCCAACCGTCCTCTCTCAGGCTATGCGCTGAGACAGGGGAATGATGTTGGGACAACGTGTAAGATCCAGGATGAATAAAGATACAGAATAGGGCTCTGTCGATCAAGAGACAACGCCACTGGCCTACCTGGTCCCATTCTGGGACATATGGTTGCATCAACAGTTGATATCCCTCCTGGTCAGCGGGCATCTCTTCATTCCAGGGATATTTGATGTGCTGACTTGAGGCGCTGGCTTCACGTTTCACAACCACATGTTGACAAGCACGTGCAGCAGGCTTTGATTCTGGAGTGATTAGCTGTGTAGTGGGGCGATGAGATTTGGTGACGTCCCGGGCTATGGAATCCAACAAGCTAATGGCGTTGCGATCATGGGATGCAGCCCGGCACTCTAAGGTGCCAGGCCACACTGGAAGCACGTCTTCCAACCTGTGCAATGCCCACATGTATTTTTCAAATGTGCACCGTAAACCTGAATACGCCAAAATCCTAGAAGAATTAGAACGGCGGAAAGAAACCGGACCCTCTCTGTCTTCCACCATGGTCTGAGGTCAGCCGGTCCTGTTCCGTTATAAGTGATGGATTCACCTGTGATTTTTGGTCAAATCCAAACCTCCCCATACAGCGGCGAAGTTGGCCATTGCTTTCTGGAGCCTATCCAGGCTCATAAAGATGATTTCACTGAAAGTTCTGAAATTCATGTAGCGTGCCTGCAGGCAGTTCTTAGTCGATGTATCAATCGTGTGCCACATCAACAACTACAGATTAGAATTTAGGTCAGGCTCACAATGCCTGTCATGAATACTGCTACAGCTTACCACTTCATTGATATGCACCACCCTGTGTCCTTTAGGAACCTCTTTGCTACTCAGCCGCTGGGATGTAGCCACAAAGATCAGACCATCAAGGTCCGTGATACCCAATAGGTACTCAACCTCCTGGTGAGGTAGAGAGGTCAGGACCCAATCGGTATAGGTATGTTCTTGCAGTTGCAGCCAAGTCTTCTTCCGCCCTGGGTCCGGTACGACCAGAATTGTTTTTATCATTATGTAAGATCTATGGACATGCTAGTCTGCATTTCAGCCTGACACTATATACAAAATCAAATGCTTACGATCTGCCAAGGTGCAAGTTGTGATATTGGACGTACGTACAATGTGAGAAGTCTGCAAACCCTTTCAGACCTGTGGGTGACAGTCACAATATGACTGCACCATTTCATTCAATTCGCCACCTCCATGTGACTGTGACGTGTGACATGGCTGAAATTTCGACATTTGAAAACAAATGAGTGGACAGTCTGTGCTGTTCATTACTTGGGCACATTCAACATGAGTAGAACAAAGTCTCCTCGCTATTTGCACCCATCCTTTGAACCTCCCGAAGGAGTCCTGTCACAACTTCTACCTGATAGACAACTTTTGGTCCTCCAATTCTTAGCCTTCAAGTTTCCTACAATCGCAACAGTAAAAAACACATTCAACCCAGAGGACTTTTTCTGCTCAGATCAACCATCAGTCCATGACGCAAGAGACATACATGACATGCCTATTCCTCCCCCCCCCCAAAACACTTCAGATGCTTATCGAGTCGAGCATCCACTCATTACACGAAGGGGCACAATCTTTGAAGTGTCCCCATCTTATGGGTGCCATTGAAGCACGACTTCCATGCTGGGTTCTCACCTACTGGTATGAAGTCATTGCTATTCAAGCCAGCTACCTTGAACCATGGGCCCATGCTGAAGAAAACTTGGAGAAGAGGAATCAGTAATGGAAAGATAAAAATAAAGATGAAACTCGAACCTTGATTGCAAAGATATATCATGCTTTCAGCTGCATCTCATGGTGTGGTAATATCAGGGGCTTAACGCATGCATTAAGCGCATGCTTGATTTTGTACGTGTTGACGAGTAAGTTCAGAGATGCCAGCAGGAAAATCAAAAGGAGACGCACTTCTGTGCACCAGGGAATGCTGGCTTACACGGAATTTGACGGTAACGACAACTTACTCTGATTCGAGCCTGCTGCGTTTCGAAAGCTTTGATGTTGCTGCTGATGGACTGAGAGGGGAAGTTCAAAAAGGTTTGCTATGTCTTGTAGTAACACGTCAGATATAAATATTACGAAAGAGTAGACCATAAGACTTACCCACTTAGTTTGAGCTGACCGTCACGAACACCGCGCTGAGAATATGTTCCGACCCAGTAGTGCGACTGGTCGTCTTGTTATTCAATAAAGGAGAACTCGATTTCAAGCGTTAGTTCCAATAGGTTAGGACAGTGCTTGAGGAAGCATAAGAGCCCGATTGGGGACATCGACGAAGGGAGAGGAGTTTCCAGAAATTTGTTCAGCACGATATTTGGCCATGCCTGTGCCATTTCTGAGGCGGCAACATCGTCCAAAGAGATCTCACACCCTATATCAAGATGTACGTGCGTCGATCGGTTGAGTGACAGAAGCGGGTGGAGGTCTTCCAGCTTTAAAACAGAGAATAAGTCATGTGAAGGACGTTCTGCAACCATAATTTGGAGGCGGCGAAGCGAGTAGTGACTGACGGAAGTGGAGAGGCAACAAAATAATTGTGCCAAGACAGATGCTCCTGTACGGTCATCGCTGAAGATAGAGAGGTTCGTAAGCTTGTTCCGCATTCTGCTCACGAGGTCGGTCAACAGCGGATGGGATATCTTGTGCATGCATGTCAAGTACTCGAAGCTGCTCAAATAAAAGCTCGTTCTGGAATTGGACATTTGGTTGGAGAGCAAGTTTAAGCTCTAGTAAAGATGGCAGACGTGATAGATGGTTCAGAACCTCGGCATCGAGGTTTCCACAGTGAATTGTAGTGAGATGATGCAGATGGCAAAATTTTTCAGAAACGGAGTGGCGAAGATGACTTGATAGGGCCACTGAATGCACGGTCAATTTTCGCAAAGAGGGGCACGTAGGAGCAATGATCGAGGAGATGAACTGTAGCAGGTCAGCCACTGGTGAGATGGCCCAGACTTCAAGGAATAAGGACGTGAGAGACTCACTGGCAGTGGTCATGATTCGACGGATCAGCCTCAAGTCTCTCTCGTCATAGATAATCCACTCGAGGGGCGTGAGATTTGGCAGGAGCGGCTGAGTGGCATCCATTATGGAGGCGAGACAAGCGAGTAATATAATTCATCGTCAATATCAACCATCAATTTTTTTCCGCGGCGGACGTCCTGGGTGGCAAGACTGAGGTGACGGATGCGTAAAGCATACCTGCGGAATATATCATTCCAGTCATCTTTGGTCAAGTGCCTATGAAGTTTCTGACAAATTTCACGAGCAAACGACGTCAGCAATTGAAACAAAGCGATCAGAAGATCCTCTTACTAAACTTTGAACAGATACAACCTGACTCAGACAAATCATGAGGCATGCACTGGATCGCTCTTGCGATAGTGCCAAATTGTTGCCAGAGGATATCTAAAGCTATATGATGAAAAGCACTTCAAGTCCTTGCGAGTGAGTGGGTCACCGTAAGACTAACTCGAATGTCACATACGGTGAAAGAGAGTACTAACCAAGTATGTTCAAACCGCGGTGAGGTACTCCAAAAATAGTGAGCAAGCTGAAAGTAACATTCAAGTACTTCTGGTAGGTTCAAGACAATTTCAGCAGAAGTCGGTGCGTCGAACACAGGACGACTTGGTTGTCCGTCATGTACATGCATCGTTCCCACGTAAGGTCAAATATGCATGTGTACTAATACCCACCGCCATGATTGCGGTCGTTGCTGTAATTGTTATCAATATATGGTCTAATATGATATTTTAATATGTTCATCCGTTCACTGATGATACGAACTGAAACTACAGCAGCCGCTGTGTAGCACCGGGCCAGTTATGGGGGGAAAGGAACACTAGCGCTTGGTGGGCCAAAAATACTTGAATCGGACACATGGTTAGACTCGTGACCAGTCCGTCTATGAGGCAACTGTAGATTTGAACATAGACTGGTGACCAGCCCGTCTATGAGGCAAACCCGCCTCAATCATGCATCAACGTTTCAGCCCGACAATGAGCCCAAGTTCACCAAAAGCGGACTCAGTTAGTACACTCATATTCTCTGGGGGCGAAATCAAAGGCGAATACTCCTACGAAACCAAAATATGTGAAGGTGAGCACCTGGGAGAGCTCTGCAACTTGAACCACGATCGGGAGACAGGAGACGCATCTGACAAGAAGATCAATGTATATGTCCGACTTTTTCAAGGTGTGTCATGTATCAAGATTTCATTTTTAAGCATGTTAAATACACGCATACTCAGATATGCTCGGGACTTTGATAGAGACCGAGGCACATTTATATGACCTTCCAGAACTTGATCACTTCCAGAGATATGACAGATTTTTCGCGTATGTTTACTTTCCATAACCTCATGAGCTAAACTCAGTGATCAATAGCAAATGCAAAGTTTCTTATGGCGAAGCTTCTTTTGCGAAAATTCAATGCATGGCACCGTCTAGACTCCCTCAAATATGAAGCTGAAATAGGTAGCAAGGAAGGCCTTATCCAAGCTATCAACGAGATATGCTTTGTACCAGGTCAAGTCAAAGTAGACACTATAGATGAAGAGGCCGTCAAGATGAGCGTAGAGGAGAGGGACATAATAGACCTCACAGATGCACCACGTTCCCTGCCTTCACGCATTCTGCAACCTCAGGAAATACTTGCACCGCACTTGTATCAAGCCACACCACTTACACCTCTTATTATCAAGACCGAGGAAGACCCAATACATTTAGATGCAACACTCTCTGCTGCAAATGCTCTTGCTGGTCCCTCTTCTATAAAACTCGAAGACCTCCCTATGGCTGACACCAAACTTATGAACCACGTCGAAACACTCCCAGAACTCGGAGTCATTCTAGCAGAGGATGAGTCTCAAATGGACCTTCCTACCCTCCTCGAGTGCCTCAGAGTCGACGAACTACGTTGCATTGCAAAGCAGATGCGTGTCAAAGCTAGTTCAAAAGTGTGTCCTCAAGTCCTTGTCACGTCTAGCCTGATCTTCTGAATCTCCGCAAATACAGTCCGAAATGATACACGCTCTTTTAAGAGGTTCTTGCACGCCGTCGACACTAATATCATCATTCGCCTGTGCTATGACGACGTCCAAGATCCGGTCAACATCCAAAATTCCTACAACTTTTACACCATCACCAGCCATTTTCCGACAAACTACACTCCCTTTTGGTCGCGAGACAGCCCAGAAACGACTGCGCGATATCGTTCTTGGTACACTCGGCAAGTGTGTGCGTGTACATGAGAGCTTTCATCGGTTCGTGAGGCGGGCAAACATAATATATATAAGCCACTATACATTATAGCAATGCTCCCATACAAGCACAACAGATATATAGCCTAACGGTATACACCTCAAACTCCAGAGTGAAACTTGACGCTATGTACCAAAGTGAGGACTTTTGTGTTAAGTGTTCGCGGGCGAAATGCAACATTAATATGCTAAACAAGACTGTCAGAATACATCTTGCAATTTCACGTTTGTGAGCAAATTTCAGACTTGTGGATGCGGGTTTGAGATGCTGCTTCTGGCTAGTGGGCCTATGGGCTTACAAATCTGAACTGCCAAACAAATCCCGCAACTGGGATTAATTCACTACCATACATTGGCGTATATACTGTGATAAAAACAATCAGTGTCTGCCTGGCTTCGACGGAGGACAAATCCCTCACCTTCAGAACATTACTAATCTTGGTGTGTCCACCTGCTTATGGGGAGGGAAAATGCCAGGGTGGCAATGACAGAAATAATTCTCGCTCTGGGCAATCTTCATCTTCATTTGCATACCTTGAGATCAGCATTGTGTTGCTATTGGAGTCAATGACAGCCTCCTGATAAGCCACCTCCACTATACTGGCAAAAAAATTCTGGAGATCCAATTCCAGGCAAACCTGAAATAGGCCCAGCATTTCTGGCCTTTCTGGAGCAGGGGCTTCTGAGTTGATCAGAATAGATGTAAGTTTTCTATCCCTGGCTCTGGACTGGACTGCTTGGGACAACTGAGCGATAAAGCCGCTGAGGTTGTCATGAGTGTCTTGCCGGACACCTACAGCCAACAAGACGTCTACCAGTTTCTCATCTTCAGAAAGGACCAGTTCAAGGGTTGGCTGCTTCTGGTCAGAGACAACAACATTTGGGCGCCAGATGCCCCGGTGTCTAGAAGTGGTGTGAGATGTGCATCTAACACATACAGGAAACCCGTCCTGGGCGAGTTCATCCAGAAAAGCAGAAGATGGCACCACAGTGTGGCAGAGGGTGCATGTCATCTGATCCAAGCGTCCCAACAATGGAACACATCTTGGACAATCAGGATGGCCTAAGCGATCTGTATCTGGAACTCCATATGACAGCATGCCTGCAGTCTTTTCCATGGCATCGATATTTTGAGTGTACACCCGCAAAAGATGGCCACGTCGGTCTAAAGCATGTATCGCCTGATAAAACTTATTTCCAATGGACTTTTTATTCAGGTGATGCACCCAGATCTGAAATACTGATTGCGATTTTGCTGGATCCTACAGAGGTTAAAATGCCTAAGACGTTAAAGTAATAAATTGATCCTGGAAAACGCACCTGCCAAATAACTGGTCGTAGTAATCCAAGCTGATCATCTGGAGTCGAACCAGGGAAATCTGGAGGTACAGATACACCTGGACCTGAGAACCACGAGTAGCATGCAAAGAATGTGGGGGTGAGGTTGTCAAGCATTCAAAATTAAGACTCTGACGCACCACAAAAAATAATCAATCGTTTGGCATTAAAAATTATGTCTGTGATTTTCTGGACCTCCAGATTCCTGGAGGGTTGGGAGCCAAGATGTCCTGTAGTGCCTCTAGACAGAGATAAAGATTCCACCAAACTTAATGGTAGTGCAGTGATCGGGTTATGTTTACCAGATATCGCGTGGTGTTTTTTAGTAATCCGTGAGTCTGGAATCTTCCTGGCACCCTTAAGTGAGCACACTAGTTGCAGATCACACCCAGACGGAATGAATTACTTAACATCCTGTATGGCTTTCAGAGCAGATGATTTCACAGCCTGCAGGCCATCGCGGCGTATATGGGAAAAATCTATATCTGAGAGTCCTTTCATGGCCATCATCACAAAAAGACCACAAGACCAGCTATCTGTTTGTGTTTGATTGACTGGCGGACTGTAGTACTTGAAACTCCAATCTGCGAATCTAGATTTCAAAGATTTGATGTCGGGGCGTTTGTTGTGTTTCAACCAGTACTCCAAGCCAGCAGCAGCAGCACACAAATCCTGTGAGGCAAACAGTGACATGAGCTGATGACCTACAAACTATAGATTGAACATTTCTGCAGACATTTTTGGCCCATGGCGGCGGATGATTGCCCAGGCTGTCAAAGACACCCATTTCATGGCTTGACCAGTCAACCCAACCCAAAACCCAATGAGGGGGAGCCCCTCCACACAGTGGAAAAGCCCAGCACCTGGATGCCAGCATCTCACTTTTGGTCGTCTGAGCGTTGTGTGGGTATGACTTTAAGTTTGACAATCCTGACTTTGACAGATGCACTTACCACTGAGACAATGTTTTCCAGGGTGTTGCCGCATGAAGTTTCGCCGCGCATCAGGTTGGGGACAACTGAACTAAGAACGATACATCCCGCTGAGGTTAATGTCCTGTCCTTATCAGGTACAAGTCGGACGTAAGCATTCATAATAGTTCCAGTGATCCGACGAGATGGATTCTGGAGGCAATTCAGGTCATCATCGTCAATTTCAACTCCTGCAACATAGCGCCGTGGGCGCCGTGAGACATTGGGCAGAGGATGTTGGTCAAGTGCGCCTGGGGCCAGTGACGCGTCTTTTCTGGATTCCAGCTTCAAGATGCCCTGATTTAAAGGAGGGTTAGGTCGCAGGTGTGGAGCTGAATGTGCTGATCCTCTTGAGCAACACAACATGAGATCTGCAGAGAATGCAGCTTGGGCCATGTGTATGAGTATCGGACAAGTTCGTGTGTATGATATCCACAGGTTCCCAGGTGTATTGTTGATCGATGCTTGGAGTGTTAGTGGCCGGAACACCAGGTAGCCTTCTACGCAGTTGGCCTCGGTTACACAATTTGTCACAATTCACTACAAAATGTCCAAACTCGGCAGGGAGTTTTTCGCAGAACACTAATCGGCATGAAATATCTTTCCGCACTTCTATCCCAATTCAGTTGCCGTTTCTGTCACCGCTTTCCAATTTCGGTCTCCGCTTCTCTTTTGTCGCCACTTTGGTCCCAATTTCTGTATCAGCTTCTGTCGCCTTTTTTTCTGTTGCCTTTTTCTGTTGCCACCTCTGTCCTAGGATTTCCCTGTTTCCGACTTTGCCGTATAAATCAGAAAAAAAATAGTCACTGAATATTTCAGAGTGAATCCCACATTTATCTGATTGTAACTTATATGTGAACTCATTTCTGATGCTGCAGGGTAATTTATCTGCGCAGCATCTGGAGTCTACAACAACAGGCTCACCACATTGCTTAGAATGCCGCGTATCCTCCCTGAAAAGAAAAAAGAGTACAACCAAAGATATGAGGCCAAACTCTCACCCGAGGCTAAAAAAAGGCGGAGAGACGCCCAAGCCGCCAGCAGGCGAAGATTGCGGCAGACAAGCAAACAGGTAGAGCCACAACTTACAGGGGGAAACTCGTCAGAGGGCCATGGATTTCTACCAGAAATTTCTTCTTCCCACCAATTCACCCCAGGTTCTTCCAATAATTCTACATCACCTAATGATTCCATGCGTGTTCCGGAACAGTCAATGGCCCCACTAGATGATGCACGACATGATCTGGCCTCCTGTATGCTGGGAACACAGGTTCCCCGGGAAGCAGAGACTGTGAAGTGGGCTGATGGTCACATTACAGTACTTCCTACTCTGATACGCGATGGACGAAACGTATTGGTCAATGATGAGCAACTTGTCAGAAAAATGGCCGCACTTCCTGCTTCTAAACCTGGTTCTACATTGGTGACACATCTAAACTCAGCCATGCCAGAGGACGTTCTGCTATCAGAAATACGGAACAGTCTCCGGGATGGAAAGGCTGTGGTTGTTCGCGCTGCAGCAAAGCCTGGCCCCCCCAACATAACCTTTGACTTTCTGAAACGCTACGGTATATATTCCACCACAGTGGTGGATATGCATGGTACTTGTCCTGACTGACTCTTGCATTCATACTGAAACACTAACACATTATTTGCTAGATATGGAGCTGCGTGCCAAAGAATCTCATCGTCCTCATGTGGAAGGCACAGTGAATGATTTGATCTCGGGTATCAACAACCCAGATGAGATACGATGCATCCTGGATTGCAATGTATATGAAGGCTTGCCTCCTGATCTGGCGTAAGTTTCACCACAGTCCATAATCCCTGCTTATCAGCATTCAGTTCACTAGATGACGGTCAAACAGCCTGGAACCGGACCACGAAGGACTGTCCCTTGCTGAACAAATTTGTTCACCCCGATAACTTCTGTGGGCTGAGGTTTTGCCTCATACACCAAGGCGCAGTAGTGACACCCCCACACCATGACTCAGAAGGCCAAAACACATTTGTAACTGGAAAGATCGGTCTCAAAATGTGGGTACTCTTGCGACATGTGAATGGGGACAATCTTGAAGAATTGGCTCGGGATGCTATATCTCTATGCGGCGACCATGATATGACAAAATTCGAGGCCGAAACAGTGACTATTGCACCTGGAGATATGTTGTAAGTGTTTCCACCAAGATGTCCACCCCAATATTTTCTTCTCACAGCTATCTTTTCAGAATCCAGCCGCCTAGCATGTTTCACATGGTTTACACCCCAATCCCAAGTTTAACACTTGGAGGTCATTTCTTCCTGTGGGATGCGCTTCATGAGACACTAGTGTCTAGAGCCCTAGATCGCCTCAACGGCATGCTTTTCACAAACCAGGACCATGAACATACAGATGAGACTCTTTGGCGAATGGCCGCCATGCTTCCTAGGTTACCCCAAGAGGAAATTGCTAGTAAGTACATTTGAGCAAAAGACCTGTGGTGCATTCACGTTGACCCGTCTGTGTTATCAGAGTTGCGCACCCGACCTTTGTTGGCACTTTGCATCATGGTTTTATCACCCAGCCAGTATGTAGCTCAGGGCTCGGCATCAAAGAGCCATCAGAAAAAGCAACCCAAAGCAATTCAATCATCCAGTCGCAGTAGAGCTCAGGCGATCATCCAGACAATTATCAGTCATCTCGGCATTCTCAAAAAAGATCTGTACAAAGTCTTCATAGATTCTCTGTCTCTTGTGGATGCTGGAGATGTTGTGGATCTAGGAGATTGTCTGGCGGAATTCTCACATTCATCATAGGAGCCTCCCACATTGTTTACCATATCATACGTAGATTACCTGTGTGAGCTCGTTTCTTTCCTTTGAAAGGCATGTCAGATGAAGGGCCAGCACCAAGTTTGCGTTGTTTCAGTGGACTAGAAGACATGTTTGACGGCGGTCGTAACACGATCATCTCGCGAAGAACAGAGTGAAAGATGTGACACTTAGAACTTCTAATGTGATGGTGAAAAAATGCGAAGTGGACTTCCAATACGGCACCACGTAATTTACTCTCATATTGAGCTGGTGGGATCGGTTTGCGGTCATGGCCGTATGCTGGGAGAGGATCGATATTGTGCGTTTTTATGAAGTCTGTGAGTTGGGATCTGCAGCGTTCTGCAACTGGCCAGTTCGACATCTTGAAGTCTGGAGAAAGACTTGTAGCAGTATCAGGTAGTGGGTATTGTCAGTGTACATTAATGGCTGGGACAAGGATATTTAGTTTACCGGTCGAAGTGTCGTCATCTTCTAGATAAACGGCGAGTTGATCATCTGAGTTCTCAGATGAGTTCAACTAGTTATGAAGTGTTGGGTATATTGAGATGGAGATGGTGACAAGAGTGAGAGAATAGTAGCTTACCGGCGTGAATAAATGGTGAACAAGTCTGATGGAATCAACACCTGAAGCTGTATGAATGGTCCTTAAAAATTCAGCATCACGTTCTCGTCGAATCATTTTCTCAAATGCCCGCAAGTTGTCGACAATAGTGAGGAAATCATCCGAAGAGAAGCCAAAGTCGTTGTGGCGAGTAGCAGTCAAATGGCACGATAATTTGACATCTGCGAACCTGCCGTTGAAAATGTTCGCAGGATCGAATTTTCCTTCGCGGGTGAAGTAGAAGTCTGCGCGACTTATTTGAAAAACTCCACGCAATGTGAGTTCGTCAACACTGGATGTGTGTTTTGGTATTAAAACATCACGAGACCGTCGAACTTCTCTTGTCTGAGCTTTCCTCGCTCCTTCTGCGAGCCACGGCCATATTTATTCGACTTGTGGTACCTGAGCCACTGCTTGTCTAGTACGGTCCCAAAAGCAGCGAGCAAGCTCGTGGACAAGCTTGCGTATGCGATGATTTAGATCCGTATCATTGACGTGGGTGGCGACCACGTAGATGCTGGTGCTGCAGAGCCTGCTGCAGTGAGGTTTCCGAGTCCGATTTGTTCGAGTTGTGTGAGCAGGAGATTCGTAGTGTCGCTGGGGGATTGGGCTCCATCGCCACGATAAAAGATGTGCTGACAGCGGAAAAAAGACCAGACTAGTCAAATATCAATCTCAAAACGAGTCAGAGATGGCCATGCGAAACGTACGAAGACCAACACGATATCAAGTCGCCGTTGCATAGCTCGAAGAACATGACATCGTATTCCACCTAAACTCTTTTGTACACCCCCCAGAAACAAGAGCGATGGTCCTTGACACTCTTCGAAACAATTGCCGAATCCTGGAGGACATCTAATACTTGCTCCACATAGGATGTCATCATCTGCGATCGTTTGGCTTATTCTTCGCTCACAATTCACTTAGGTTTGGCTGGTCCTTCTGAACCGCAACGTTTTCCGCCTCGCTGTAATAATTCTATGTTTGAGTTGTTTGACATCGTCATTGATAGGGACTTACGAAGCTAAGCCACCATCTGGTGAATCATTGAAATTACTTTCCTGTTTGTGAGGTTCTGATGACTGAGAAGGCCCAGCGTTCAATCTGTCATGTTTTGTTGAGTAACTTAAAAGCATCAGGGCAAAAAGTGCTTACATCGCTGATGACAGCTTCACCGACGAAGATCCACAATCTTCCTTCTCCCTGTCTTGCTATTATATAAGTGACGCATTCCAGAAAGCTGGAACTTACTCTAAATCCTTGGTGGGTCCAACGGTATCCTGTTCCGGGGGAGGCTGCTCGTCGTTATGGGCGCGCCTATCCTCGACGCCATAGGTATTTGATGCTTCTGACATGGGGAAGTCAAAACTGCACATATTTGCATCCAAAACAAGGGCCAGTAGAACTTGGAAGAGTATGAGGCTCTGAGCAGACGGAGATAAGCGATGGTGGTATAAAATTAGGAAGAGTCTGATGAGACTCTGAGCGGACAAAGATAAGCAGTGATCGGATACACAGCAAACTGATTGGGCGCCTGCAACTATCATGAACACGTGCAGGACATTGTTGACGCTGAGGGTGTTTGTGAGCACTCCCTAGATCAGTGCACTGTGAGACAAGTTTTTACTTATAGTCTGGCCGACAAACATTCTAGCTAGTAGCTCGCAAGACATCGATATGCGTTGACCTGCCTCAACAGAAAGGATGTAACGGTCAGATCAGCGAGTAGGCCATAGTGATAATTAGGAATGACATACCTTACTTAGAGTTGCAAATACCGAGCGAGAGCAGAGATTACCTATAGAAGGGTCGACACTTGAACCCACGGAAATTAGCAGAATCCACAACCTAATAAGGCAACTTTTGGTTGCGCATGGAATATTGAATGACAGACGGCCTAGACACTTATTTTCTACAGAACATTGGTGGATGTTGGGGAAACTTTTGTAGCTACTCAACGAATCACATTCTCTTCCAAAGTTTGCACCACCATATACTCCTAGGCTAAGATTCCGCTCATTGATGGTTAAAGCCTCTATGTCGTTGCTTGCTCGGATTCAACCTTGATTGCATTTGAGGGCCACCGTGACTAAGAGGAGGAATCTTCTAACAATGTGATGCCATCATGCAAATCATTCATACTTGTTTATGCATTAAATGGTTGTTCACTAGACCGGATACAAGCTCTTCAAACTCAAATGGATAAGTCACTTCAAGCTCGTAGTTGATCTCTGCCTCCGGGATCCCAAATAGGAGAGAAGTGCTTTAAGATGTATATTTGGTTCCCTAGGTGAAATGTGGTTTTGAGCCTATGTTCAACTCAGTCTAAAGTCAGGGACACGTAAATCTAGCGATTCTTTTATATCAGCGGAGGATCCAGTGAACTCAAAAAGTCTCACCTTGTATAGACGTGCACGGAGTTGTATCAGGATTGCGTAACTGTATAAGGCATGTATCAAAGCGAGCACCTTTGACAACACGACCTTTGTTGTTTCACTGCCGAGGTGTTCTCTCGCGTGCTTTATAAACTGATCCACCTCCTACCATATCTCGAAGAACTGTTAAATATCTGCTCTGTATGTGCTCCCATTGCTACTTATCTCCACAGGTACATCTCATCGCTTGCAGAACACAGCATCTCCCAAAGCTTTCCTATTCGATACATCCAGTAAAATCCACGTTGCAACAGATGCATGTTGATTGTCCCCAACGCTAGCACCAACGCCACCACCTATAGCCACGACATCAACTCCCACCTCTGGCACCACTCTCGCCGGAACACGAACAGCTTCTGCGCTAGAGTTGATAGACAAACGAGATGTGATATCATTGAGAAACCCTGAGGCTAACGAAAGATTAACAGTCCGCTGGTTGGAAGTTCAAACGTTTAGGCGCCATGATCCATGACCAATCTATAAATTTCGCACACTCGATGTTAGCAGCTAGCATATTTGACCTTACGTGGGAACGATGCATGTACATGACGGACAACCAAGTCGTCCTGTGTTCGACGCACCGACTTCTGCTGAAATTGTCTTGAACCTACCAGAAGTACTTGAATGTTACTTTCAGCTTGCTCACTATTTTTGGAGTACCTCACCGCGGTTTGAACATACTTGGTTAGTACTCTCTTTCACCGTATGTGACATTCGAGTTAGTCTTACGGTGACCCACTCACTCGCAAGGACTTGAAGTGCTTTTCATCATATAGCTTTAGATATCCTCTGGCAACAATTTGGCACTATCGCAAGAGCGATCCAGTGCATGCCTCATGATTTGTCTGAGTCAGGTTGTATCTGTTCAAAGTTTAGTAAGAGGATCTTCTGATCGCTTTGTTTCAATTGCTGACGTCGTTTGCTCGTGAAATTTGTCAGAAACTTCATAGGCACTTGACCAAAGATGACTGGAATGATATATTCCGCAGGTATGCTTTACGCATCCGTCACCTCAGTCTTGCCACCCAGGACGTCCGCCGCGGAAAAAAATTGATGGTTGATATTGACGATGAATTATATTACTCGCTTGTCTCGCCTCCATAATGGATGCCACTCAGCCGCTCCTGCCAAATCTCACGCCCCTCGAGTGGATTATCTATGACGAGAGAGACTTGAGGCTGATCCGTCGAATCATGACCACTGCCAGTGAGTCTCTCACGTCCTTATTCCTTGAAGTCTGGGCCATCTCACCAGTGGCTGACCTGCTACAGTTCATCTCCTCGATCATTGCTCCTACGTGCCCCTCTTTGCGAAAATTGACCGTGCATTCAGTGGCCCTATCAAGTCATCTTCGCCACTCCGTTTCTGAAAAATTTTGCCATCTGCATCATCTCACTACAATTCACTGTGGAAACCTCGATGCCGAGGTTCTGAACCATCTATCACGTCTGCCATCTTTACTAGAGCTTAAACTTGCTCTCCAACCAAATGTCCAATTCCAGAACGAGCTTTTATTTGAGCAGCTTCGAGTACTTGACATGCATGCACAAGATATCCCATCCGCTGTTGACCGACCTCGTGAGCAGAATGCGGAACAAGCTTACGAACCTCTCTATCTTCAGCGATGACCGTACAGGAGCATCTGTCTTGGCACAATTATTTTGTTGCCTCTCCACTTCCGTCAGTCACTACTCGCTTCGCCGCCTCCAAATTATGGTTGCAGAACGTCCTTCACATGACTTATTCTCTGTTTTAAAGCTGGAAGACCTCCACCCGCTTCTGTCACTCAACCGATCGACGCACGTACATCTTGATATAGGGTGTGAGATCTCTTTGGACGATGTTGCCGCCTCAGAAATGGCACAGGCATGGCCAAATATCGTGCTGAACAAATTTCTGGAAACTCCTCTCCCTTCGTCGATGTCCCCAATCGGGCTCTTATGCTTCCTCAAGCACTGTCCTAACCTATTGGAACTAACGCTTGAAATCGAGTTCTCCTTTATTGAATAACAAGACGACCAGTCGCACTACTGGGTCGGAACATATTCTCAGCGCGGTGTTCGTGACGGTCAGCTCAAACTAAGTGGGTAAGTCTTATGGTCTACTCTTTCGTAATATTTATATCTGACGTGTTACTACAAGACATAGCAAACCTTTTTGAACTTCCCCTCTCAGTCCATCAGCAGCAACATCAAAGCTTTCGAAACGCAGCAGGCTCGAATCAGAGTAAGTTGTCGTTACCGTCAAATTCCGTGTAAGCCAGCATTCCCTGGTGCACAGAAGTGCGTCTCCTTTTGATTTTCCTGCTGGCATCTCTGAACTTACTCGTCAACACGTACAAAATCAAGCATGCGCTTAATAAATGAGATGGGCTGATTCAAGGATCAAGATTTTGAACAACCTGGTGGCTCCTACTTTCGTTTTACTGTCTGAGTTGCGAAGGGTCATCAAGTTACACCCTAGTATTGTGCCGAAGCTTATTTCTGGCCAACTGGTTTCTCGCTTAAGCCATAGGTCTTTGGCTGCTTTCCAGATTACTCTTGATGCTAACGATTTGCCGCAATCTAGGAGAATATGCTCCATTGATTCAGGTATGCGGCAAAGTCCACATTGTCCTATATGTTCAAACTGAGGTATTTTATCCCAGAATTGTCCTATCTTGTAGGCGCCGTGTAGGCTTTTCCAAAGGAAACCTCGTATGTTTTTAGGGATGTCCTTGTTTCTAATGGATAGCCAGACTTGATCGCTTATAGGGGTTGTATCGTTTACTTCGCCGACTGCGTGCAGAGTTCTTGCCATATTCATGTTAGTTTCTCTCCTTTGCTTGCTTTTGCTCTGTATGTTCCTAATGTTCTTAAAGAAGAGGCGTTGGGTGCCTATGCACAGTTTTACTCCGAATAGTTCATCTGGTGCGTCGACCTTAATCATGATATCGTCGTGCTTATCCTTGATCATGCCGTTTTTCGCTAGATCAATAGCGTGTTTGTAGCTTGCTTTATCTGTCGATTTGCCAACGTCCGTCAGCGTGGTAAGTGCGCATCGTTTTCTTAGTTTGGCAACTAAAGATTTCATCAGTGTCTTGTTGGGGTGGTCCAACCAGTCAATGTCCTCGAGGTTCGCGAGGTTAGTGGTGAGGCTTTTCCGGAGGACGGATAATTTGATCATTAGTTGTAAGGAAACGTTAATGGGAAGAGTTGATATTACTGAGAGTATGGCAACTATTTCTCCGGCGCCAGGTGCTGCGAGGTGCTCCGGCACTTTGATGGACTTATTGCGAGGATCGTTCGTCCCAAACCATGCTCCGCCTCCTGAGATGTGGAAGCCATCCTTATCCACTTTGTGAGTATCGGCGATGGTTATAATGGACAGTTGTGGTTGTTCACCGGGTGGTTTAGGTGCTTGGCTTGCTGGTGTGTTGCACGGCGTGTTAGAAGACACAAAGACTCTGAACCCGGAGGACAGCGAGTCTGGGGATGGGTAAGTAGGGTCAAATACCATTGTGTTTTGGTCGTTTTCATCTGTTTCGTCAGTGATTTGCTCAGGTGCTATGTTGAGCGAGTAGGACGGGGAGCTCGTCAGTGGATGCCACTTTGGTAAGATGCACCGGAGGATACTTTGTGCTAATTTAGTGCATTTGTAGGGTTTTTCACACCTCGACTCTGTTCGGTCTTGTGCGCAGTGGTTACACGTGCAGTTTTTATTTTGTCTATGGAGCGGTGAGTTCCTGTTAGCTATTGCTTCAATATGGCCCACGGAGGTGGCGAGATGATTGTCTCTTAAGCATGCCGCGTATAGGTGGTTGTTCAACTTATTTAGGTCCGCCGAAGCGCCAATGTGAAACCACACTGGTAGTTCCCTTGCGATGGAAGGATTGATGGTGATGGCCTCCCAACGGGTGCCGTATTTCTTTGCGGTTTGGATGATTCGACGGAGGTGGGAGGGTAGCCTCTTTTGGGACGGGGACCAAGTCTGGAGGAATGGGTTGATCTTGGCGCTATGTTTAACTATGGGTGAGTTTAGTGCTGCTTTCGCTAGAATGGCATTCGCGAAGAATGCCCACTGAGGTCTTGTTTCTATTGGGGCGAGTAGGCATTTCAGCCATTTGAGCTTGATGGCTTCATTATGGCTCTTGAGGTGAAGTACATTCTTTCCTCCTTTCGCTATAGGAGCACATAGCGTCTCCATGCTTACTGTGTTCTTTCCTTCATTGTCCCAGACAAACTTACTTGACTTGGCTGAGAGGATGTCTTCCACCTCTTTTGGCATGCCTTGTGCGGTAGCTAAGTATTGGGTCATACTTCCAATCGTTCTTTCGACGATGATTTTGCGTCCTTCTATGGAGGGATGCCATTTTTCCCAGCGTTGTAGGGCTTTTTCTATTTTTTCTAGGATCGGGGACCATATGGCTTGTTCTTCTATGCCATTGCCAACCCCAAGAGTTCTTATGGCTTTTCCTTCCTCCCGCGATATTGATACTAGGAGGCAGCGGGTCTTGTGTAGGGCTTATTTTTCTCGAGGATATCACATTATCACGATATTCTCGTGAGCCGATTGGTATGATTTCCGTTTTAGATGAGTTTAAACGTGCTCCTGACGCTTTGCACCAGCAGGATAAGATATCATTTAGGGTCTTAAAGCTGTCTTTTTCCGATAGGTATACGGTTGTATCATCAGCAAACATAGTTACTACAATGCGGTAAGCCATGTCCTTGGCTTTAAAACCGGTAAGTTCTGATTTCCGTAGCATTTCGGCTAAGGGTTCAATGGCTAGGTCAAATAGTAAGCATGATAGGGGGTCACCTTGGCGCACTCCCCTTGTTATATTGAACTTTGAGCTGATCTCGCCATTTATCATTACAGATGTTTCTGCGCCGTTATACAAGGCTTTTACTGTGTTCGTGAAGTTGTCCGGTAAGTCGAATTTATCTAAGACTTTCCACATGTAATCATGCGAGATCTTATCATACGCCTTTTCTTGGTCTAGCGCTACTATGACGCCGTTTTCCTCTTCCACCTCCGCGTACTCCATAACCATTTGCGTGAGGCGTATTTGGTCGGTAATACTTCTACCAGGTACGAAACCGGCTTGATTCTCATGTATTATTGATGGTACTGAGCGGGCTATTTTAAGCGCCAGGGCCTTAGTGAAGGTCTTGTAGTGCCCGTTTAGTAGGGTTATAGGTCTGTAGTTTGCGATTTCTCTCCTGTCGTTTTTCTTATACAGCGGATGCAGTAGGCCTTCCGAGAAGCCTGAGTCCTTCACGACTCCATGTGTTTCGATATCGTTGAAGACTGCCGTCAGACATTCAGTTAGGTCAAAAGGTGGATCTTCTCCTCTCTTCCTCGGAATTGTTTTTGATTTTTCCTGGAGCCATTTCCAGAACCTGTATGGTATACCGTCGATTCCGGGAGCTTTTCCGTTTGGTAGGAGTTTTAGAACTTCCTCAACATTCGCTTTGGTGAGTGATTTAGCAAGTTCCTGTTTGTTCAGGGGGGATAGTTTAATCATGATTGCATTCAGAGTGGATTCCAGCGCTTCTTCTCTCTCGTTTGTTGGTGATATGCCTTCCCTTTGGAGTGAGTCATAGTAGTCTCTTGACAGCTCTGACATTTTGTCTGAACGCTGTATATAGATTGGGGCCTCTGGTGGTGAGTCTAACGTTTTTAGTTCAATGATGGTGTCTCTCGATTTCTGATCTTTGCCTGACTTAGCCCAGAGTTTACTTGCTGGGGACTCGTTTTCGAGTCGCATTCTCGCCGTAAGATTGTCTCTTGTTTTATCATGTTTAATTATTTATAATTGGTTAAGTTGATCCTGCAGTACGATACTGACGATGCGTTTATCCTCGTCCGGTAGGTTCGGGTCATTGTTGGTTGCGCGGAGCTGTGACAAGAGCTTTTGTTTCTTCATTGGTATCAGTCTCTTGGCTGTTGAGCGGCACAGTTGAATTGCTTTACTCTTGAAGCGGCAGAATGCCGCTTGAGGGTTATCTATGTCAGTGCGTGTTTCACTGGAGGACTTTATCTCCTGCTGAAGGATTTTCCCAAGTTCAATCATTTCCTCTTCGAGTTTCTTATTGTTAAGTATGAATAACGGTAGGGACCATCTACCTGTACCGACGAAGGGCATCTTCTTGCTCGAAGAGCATTGAGTGATGCAACGTGGATTCCCTGTATCAGTGATTGCTGGTCCATTGATTTTGCAGCATGAGGACGCGTCGCGTCAATTTAGTGACAATGTTATCGTTTATTTCAATACTTGTTGAAAAAACCTAGTTTTTTTATTGGCTAGAGGTCACGTTATCCTGAGAATCTGCTCTTGATCCATACAAACCCACTTCTACCAGTCCGTCTATCGACGGTTTGCCTCATAGATGGGCTGGTCACCAGTCTACATTGCGATGTTCTCCATAGAAGTGCAAAAAGGTAAAATAGAAAATAAAGTAGACGATGTACCCTATGTACTCAGTTCAATATCGTGGTCTGGGGTCGTGGATAGCGTGGACCAATCCAGCATTCGAAGGAACGCGCAAACTCGAGTGCATATCTGCGGATGGTGTTGGCGTTCACACTTGCTGCATGGGAAACAGGGCTGTATTATTTGACATATGGAAGGGGGCAGCAAATGCGCAACATTATCTAAAACATGAACATATGAATGCCCCAGGGCACTCAACATGAATGAGGAGTACGGCTGGGGCACAAACGGATGTAATCCTCCTGCTCTACAGTGAGTGGAAAGTTATGAGAAAACAAACAATCATGGGGAGAGAATTGATGAAGCCAGCCAGGTTTGGGTTTGTAACCACCGGAATCCCAGCCACAGCGGTTGCACCGGAACTTCACGAAGTTGGCGCCTTGTCGAGGCGACCGTTTGGCTCGGATGTCCCCGGGCCCTGGATTGCATAAATGATTGCCACACCGGGGGGGAAGGCCCCACACACAACCAGAAGGAGTGGACGCTATGTATCTCCGGCTAATCAGCTGCCTTTGTTGATTCCAACAGACTAACACCACAGGGGTATGGGACAGCAAAGTCCAGCTGACAATCTCCTGCTCCAGGGCTAGCTCAACAGGCATTTGATGAATGTAGACCTGTATGATCACCCTCAGCATGAAGGGCATGACCACAGAGGGTTGAACCGAATGAGCAGTGAAGCCGATTATGAACAACAGGCGGTTGCTGAATTCACTAATGTCATCAAAAAGACCCTGGGGCAAGGGAAATCATACCTGGAGACCAATGACTTGATCGTCTCAAAATGTGAGCGCATCGTGAACGCTGGACCACAGGCCAGCAGGATCATTCCTTTCGTGCCAGTCATGTCCAGGGACCGCTTCCACAATTCTGGGCCCAAGTAATGGCGGAGCACCTGAGATCCGGGTCAACAAAAGAAAACAGGAAGAGTCAGCCTGGGCCCACCTCCGAGGCGTCCTGAGTCCAGGCATTTCCATGTTTGTCAACACTGTGCACCAACTCACCGTTCCCATAATCTGAGTGTGTGTCTAACAGAACCAACAAATCAGTCTCTCTTCTGGCCTTCACAAAGGCCAGGGCATTGCGGACACAGGCACGGACGTTAGGCAGGCAGGCAGCTCCAGTGACCAGTTCAATGTTGGTGCACTGCAACTGACACATATTTGATGTCAGTCATACATCAGCTCAGGTTAATTGAAATAATACTCACCATATTTTTGCAAGGTGAAAATTCTTCCTCCAACTGACAGCGCAACAAAAGCTCCGGGTATCCGCCAAGTTTCAAGGCGATGGTGTGAAACACCAGTGGGCGATGGGTGTGACTTCGGCCAGTGAGGTAGGCACCTTGTGCAACCACTGAGTACTGTCAACAAATCGGGGTCACCCGCAAGTCCAGGATTTAGTTGTGACTGACTCACCGGTAGTGGACTGGAGCGCCTGCGGCTCCAACATGGGGGGCACCAAAATTCACCCGGGCCTAGATTGCTGACACAGGGGTGCAAATTTGACTTCTTGAAGCACAGGGCATGAGGACAACCTGGACGGGCACATTTCTTCAACTCTCCAAAATCAGAGCAGCAGCTGCATTTAGTCATGGTGCCATCATCTTGCATCAGTGAAGACGCCTCCAGCGCCAGCGCCTCAGACCTGGAATCAGCTGTCCACAAGCTGGGAGGTCAGACTGCGGCCAACTAGATCTTTCCAGGTAAACCAGACACCCACCAGGCAACCCCTCTGCCCACCATTGGATCAGCATACGGGGGAACAACCAGAATATGACAATGTCAAGACCTACCTCCAGTGTCAATGGCCTGACTTTGGCCATGAACAACGCGCTGATTCCATGGAGACACAAGATCATCCATGTCAATATCTGATGAGGAAGCATTAGCCGCAGGTGTAGTCAAGTCAAATCATTCTCTGCTGCCTACCCATCGCATCATCAGTATCTAGGAGAAAAGAGTTGGGGAGTATTCATGGTATTCACAGCAATCTGGACTGACCACACAATATTGGGCGTGACCTGCCTTTCAAAGCCCGGCCCAGGGCCTCAGGTATTTGTTCTGTGGCGCTTCCTCTAGCACCTCCTCTAGCACCTCCTCTAGCACCCCCTCTTCCTCCTCTTCCTCCTCTTCCTCCTCTTCCTCCTCTCCTGCCCCTCCCGCCTTGTGCGACAGCGGACGTTGCAGCTGCAGTGCTGCCACTGTGCCCCCCTGCTCTCCCGCTGTCGTCCTCGTCATCATCACCTTCTTCTTCTTCTTCTTCTTCTTCATCATCATCATCATCTTCTTCCTCCTCCTCGTCACGGTCTTCGCCATTGTGATTATGGTCACCAGCTCCGCCGCCATCTCCGTTATCGTTGTCATCGTCCTCCTCCTGATCCTGGGCCTGGTCATTGACTGCATTTCGGACACGGGCAGAGCTGGATCGTGTGACACGGGAAGTGGCTGGACTGGGACCACTGGGACCTGCGTTGGCACTTGGACCTGCGTTGGCACTTGGACCTGCATTGTTGAATGCTGCGCCTATGTTGATCCTATGACCATCTCCAGCATTAGTGCCAGGTGCAGGCTGCCATTCCATCAGATCCGCCATGGTACTAAACTTCTGTGGGATGATCAGGGTAATACTACTGAGGTTCACTTACGCGCTATTTGTAACGGTTATGGTTAAAATGAAGGCACCCAGTGGTCTAGGTGATTTTTGAAATATTTAAGTTCCAAGTTCTCAAAAGTGCAAGCAATAAAATTATAATTATTTTCAACAACTGAATGTAGCAGATTTCTTCGATGTTGTTGTTTTGAAAACTTCGCCATCATTCCATCGAGAATCATGACGCTGCTCAGATCTACACAGCAAGACAGTTGGATGCACCTGTATGAAGGGCCGCGCTGGACAAAATACGAAAATCGATTTTCACAAAACCAGTGAGAAAGATCAATTGCGAGTTTCTCTTATTTCAAAATAATGAATCGAACAAAATCAGTTGTCAATTTTGTGATTTCGAAGTCTCTTGTTCAACTCTTGTTTACATTTGGCTGCATTGGGAAACGGATGACCGTAGATACAGTCGCTGCGCACACATGTACAATTTCAACCATTGTTGGGCATGGACGAACCTGGAGTCAGCAAATTCCACTACCTCTCGAGACCATACAGCAAGGTTATAATGAGCTTGGTCACCACACTCACATTGTTCTTCGAACTCAACTTGGTGATAGCGCAAGGCTTAATGCTGCCAAGCGAGTGTTTGCGGTTTATTAGCATAGTAGAAGAGGTGCTATGCATCACTCTTTGCTGTTGCGACGGCTGAGATGCCGACAAATTTAATGAAGCATGCCGATGTAGGCCGGTGTGCACTAAGAAGAAGATTAAGCTTTTGTTGCTTTTGCCTGTGAATTCAAGCCCGAGAGCGACCATTATGCACGTCATAAATCAGAAATACAAGAACACTGTAGCCAAGGATTTGTCAAGCGTAAAACGGTCTTGATTCTAGCATTCCGATCCGCATCAATGGTCATCTGCGCCCGGCTACCCCATTTAATAAGCCGAGTCGCTCCGTCATGCCACGACTGTACTCTGCGGTTAGCTAGTGTGGACGTAGTAGAACCACGAGTGCTAACGAAGGTTCCATTCGACTGAATGATAGCGTCGAAGAGCACCGGGTGCCTGGTAACAGCCACAACTTTTAGCGTCAGAATGAAATATGACATCTAAGCGGCTCACCATTTTCTATGTATCACCTCCGTCTGCTCTGCTGCATAATCTACCCACATCCACCCCAACGCCCTAACATCTGACCATCACTCCGGGTCCCTTTCATCGCTCATTATGATAGCCTCAATCCCTTTTCGTGTGCGAAGCTATTCTTGCACCTTAGACACCCTGCATGCAATGACAGACAACGGGGCAAAGCACTGACCCACTGGGAACTCCTCGCATTGCTGGCTGAAGTCACCGTACCGTATGTGGATCGATATATACTGAAGTTAGATCTGTAGAGCAACCTAAACCGAAAGCTTTCACTCACGGGAAGAGTTGGCTTGTATGATGGGCGCTTATGTAGTAAAGGAAATCGAAGGATAATACGTGATTGTCCAGAGGAAGGGAAACCTAGTGCTAAGGAGAAGGACGATTCGTTAATGATAATTCCAGGCTTTTCGAGCGAGTTTCTAGAAACCCGAGCGATGCGAGAGACCAAAAGAGTGCGTGATTGTGGTGTACACTAGGAGATATCAGCTCGAACCAAGCTGGGGTTCGTGTCCATGAGACATCTGTGACGGCCACACGTTTAATCATCGAAGAGGGATGTTCGAATTTGTCTCACCGAGTTTGAGCAGGTTCAGGGGGGGGGAATTCGTCGTGGTGTTTAGTTGGAGTTGGCATGCTCCATCCTGCTGAAGTCTACGATGTAATGTACTTCGTGTCATTGCAAAGGTTATCTGAGACCAATGTTATGGTGAGACCCAAGCCTTGGACGTTCTCACTGAATACTGACCTCGAAAGCATTGGGTGGGTGGGCCTTGGACATACAATTGCGAGTTGAAGATAGTATATTGCGCAGGAGTACTTCCAGGCTATAACTTGAGAGCTTAGGCAAAATATTTCCCAAGCCGATATCTGGGAGAGAAGAACTAATGAGACTGTAGCAATACAGAATGGCCCAGTATCGGGAGTTGAGGACGGACTGTGAGGTAGGCTGCCACATAGCATGCTTAGTCAGTGCACCAATGAGAATTTGAAGTTTTAATTGAATTTGTCGTTTGTGTTTTGCTTTTGGTTCTTTGCATTTCACTTTTCTGTTATCAAAGAACTTGGAGATCAGAATCTTTCTCACTGGTTTTGTGAAAATCGATTTTCGTATTTTGTCCAGCGCGGCCCTTCATACGCGGCCCTTCATACGTGTAAGTTTATTTTGGTGGATTTGTGCAACTTTGTCAAATCACGCGTTAAACGCAGTGAATACACATTATAATATTGTTGCCGCTGTTCTGTTGCCGCTTCTGCTGCCGTTTCTGTTGCCGTTTCTGTTGCCGCTTCTATCACTTATCAAAATCAACCAGCTAACACAATCACAGAACCCTAGCCATCAGTCTGGCCATTTTTAGAATTACACTCAGCCTTTCTGCTTCGTTGCGTCGCGTTGAATTTCCTTCCAAGCACGATGGAGGTATTTCGGTCTGTCACTTTGATGGATCTCGGCATCTACTGGGCCAGGGCCGGCACCGTGCCTCCAGATTGGCGTCCGATACTTTATCACTGCGGGGCTTATGATCCAACGCGCGACTGTTTTCCTGTCTTGCGCGGTCATCATCACATACTGTATATACCAGCCATGTCAAAACCTGTCTTTAGATTTGCACAGCACGCGATGTATGGGCTCTGGTACATGTCACTGTGCCAACGATTCGGCGAAGGCACGAGAGGAAAATTTCTCAGAGGATCTGTATATATGCACCACATACGCGAAGGCTTTTTTCGAGGAAGTCCGGAGCAAATTCTACCCTCCCCCAGATAATAGCGGGCGCCAGGTCCTACCCACATCTAATAAAATGACAAGACAGTGGTTCTCCGACGTCCTATTTTCCTGGGCGCTGGTTACTTATCATAACAGAAAGATAAGTCCTCCAGGTCCTGGCTGGTTGCCTCCAGATGATTGGGAACCGTCGATCAAATTTGGCAAGTGTCCCATTTTTTCTGGCTTTCTGCGTTATAAACTAGATCACAGATTGGGCCACTTGGTCTTCAAGGCCTGACATTGATCCTGTCATCCGATCACTTTACGGTTCTTTACCGGATCAGACAACTGACATTCTGGATTATGCAACAATGGAGCTGGAGGCCAAACTCAGCGGAAACGATTGTGCTCCGATGGTGGAGACTGATGAGGACAGTTGGCGCAACTGCCTGAGGGTTGCCCTGGAAATTTTTGAGGCCAATGTCAAAAAGGCCCAGCTTGAAGCCAATGCTAAGGCTGAAGCTGCTACAAAAGCCGCAGCTGAGACTGCTCTGCCTACACCCACGCCTCGCAATGTGCCTGTTCCTGGATCATCATCCAAGCGTCCAGCTGTATGTTTCTCATCAGAATACCCAGTATGTGGCTAATTGATTGAACAGTCCTCTGCACCTGTTGGAGTTAGGAAAATAAAGAAGGCAAAAACGCTAAAGGTTGGTCCATTGATGTCATAGTCCCACCTTCTCATCAGTATGTTGGATGCAGCCTGTTCCCAAAGATGCCGGCTCCAAGCAGCCCCCTACTCGAATTTCCAGCCGGGACAAGGGCAAGGGCAAGGCCACAGAGTCTGCCATGCCATCAGGATCTGCGTCTCAGGCGAGCAATATTATTCAAATATTTTATTTCTGCTCAACTCACACCTGGGGATGTTAGCATTCAATCCAAAACGCCTTGGGCCAGATGAGCATTTCACCATCCACACCTGGTGAGGTGACTCCATTATTCAAATTAAACTGGAATGATGTGTTAACCTCTGACTCTATGTATGGTTGGACCTTAGCAGAACAGGGTGCTATAATAGATGAGGAAGAGATGATTCAGGGAGAACACAGTTGGGCAGGATTTGTGAGCAGGGCGCCAACCAGGCCCTCTTAATGACTCTCCATTAGTTTACCCAGCGGCAGCAGTGTTTGCATGCCTAATGTGACAAATGCTTCATAATATCTCATCTCAGTGGTTACTATAGGACGGAACCTTAGGACTTAGTGAAAATCAGTGAAATGGACCTCACATCACAGAACATAATCAAAACACCCAATTAAAGACCTCACGGAGGTGCTCTCCCCAGGAATGGTCCCACCGGTCTTATAATGACACAGTGACATGGACCTCACATCACAGAACACAATCAAGTCCCCCAAGAAAAGAACTCATGGAGGCTCTCTCCCCAGGAATCGTTTCACCGGTCCTATAAGGACGCATTGATCAATATAGTGTTGTGTAGCAAATGCCTGATGCGTAGTCAGCCAATTAAAGATCGTTTATCGTTTTTCCGTAATGAGCCCTTTGGCAGATCTTGTATTAAGTATGCGACTTTCCTAGCAAATATTGATATTACAAGTTGAATGACGTGCGTATGGATAGATCTCATTAAGCCTGGGTTGATCTGGGCCCAATTCCTAACATATTCTCCGGTCCAACTCCTAAATTCCATGCCACACCTTATTTAAGTAGTTGCACATTGCTGGATATCAAAAGCTTGACCGGGGCTGGCAGTCTCTGATGAACTGTGAAGGGCTGAGTAGTGACATATCTGTAAGAGGTTGTCTCCAGATGGGAAGCATCTAATCCAGTAAGCTAAGTCAGCGTGGAATGAGTTCCACACCACATAAACTCGTAAGACCACCTTACATGGGAAGCTCGGCTGAGGTACCAACTGTGGATGCAGGCTGGTACGAGGTTCTGACTGCAGGTGTAGTCGATGAGGCTGGCAGCTGGGTACGGGCCCATGAAACAATACGACCCAAGTCCAGGAAGCCTATATGCCGGAGTTGCCGAAGGTCATGCAAAATTTTTAAACCAACCCTGCGCCAACAGTCAGAAAAATCTCAGCCTTACATTGATATCCAGTGGAACTCGGGATCACCTGGATCGAACTTGCCAATTATCCCGTATAGGTCCAAGTGCATAGGACCGCAATTCATCTTCCTGTGAATCCCCATCTTCAGTGGAGATATCTACGAACTCTCGGGCAATTCCATCCATCAAGGACACCACAGCATCCTGGATGACCCTCAGATAGATAAAAGGGTGACTTCCTGCTACCGAACTTTTTGACCGACACACTGGGCATCTCTCAAAGCCTTGGTGCAAGGCCGATTGCATTAAGCAATATATACAGGCAGCATGCCCTTCCGGGCAGTAAGTCGCTGGGGCCACACTAAGCAAGAATTAGCTGAATGGAAAGATTATATTGTCATCATGCTGACAGGACATCCCAGCATCTGGGCTTGATATGAATTTGGCAATTCGAGATATGTTGTAAACCACTTACATTGGGCACATGAAGTTTGCTTGAATTAATTGCAGAAGGTTTTCAGCTTGCGCATTAACTTCATGTACGCCCTGTTCTGTTGGTGGGGAAGGTGGTTCGGTCTGTACTTCTTGTTGAGCCCAAAATTGTGGCTGAGAGTCCATTACAGGCAACTGGAACACTTTCACAACCCGAGCTTCTGCAATGCAAAAATTTTCGGCGATAAGCTTAGATGGTCCTGTACAAACCTACCGTGATCCACCACAGGCATTGAGACCATAGCTAGCTAATAGCGATGTTTGATGAGTGTTAGAAGCAGACCTTATCTATCCCACCTTTGCTGAAATTCTGTCAGATCAATGTGACTTCTGAGGCACTAATTTGGAATGTACAGGTGCCGTGTAACGCAGCTTGTCGGAGTATCCCGGCACCACACTTCCAGCTGAGCGGAAGCTTCATTCGTGTTTCTATCTTCGTCCGAATCGAGTTGGGCATATACTGAGCATCCTCACTCGCCCTTAAAATTTTTGTCTGGACCCACCCACCACTCCCTTTTAATCCGTGTTTTACACCCGTAATTTGATTTTCCGTTATTCCATCGTCTCGAGTCTTTAAGCATTTTTTTTGAGTCAAGGAGTCATGGCATGATAGAACTCGTAAGCAGGTTTTCCCGCCCTCCCAACGGCTCCACCTGCTTGCGTCCCACCCCGAGCTAACGCTCGGTTCAGCCCAACTTAGCAGATAATGTCACTCAGCCTTTCTCGCGCCAGAGGAGGCTGGAATGTATTTCTAGTGATAAGTTAACATGTGGCGTATGACATTATTTGACTCTATATTTGACTTTATGAAGTACCACCCGGTTATTAGTTTTCTGATTTATCCTCGCAATAGAGGTGGTGACAGAAAAAGTGACAGAAGTGGAAATTGGAACGGTGACATAATTGAGACAGAAGTGGTGACAGAAACGGTGACAGAAGTGTTGACAGAAATGGTGACAGAAACTGGTGACAGAAATGGTGACAGAAACGGTGACAGAAATGGTGACAGATAGCACTACTTATATAAGCGAACCTGCGAGTTGAATCTTTTCTCTTTCAAATTTCACTGTTTCTTTCATTGACACTTACACCATCGTTGTCTTCTTTGATTGCTGTCCAGTGTATCCTGTCCTTTTGGGGCTCTGCTAGGCCCTTTTTGTGTATTTGAATTTGTTCTTCTTTCATGCCCATCATAACTGTGCCTTCCTGGGTGTTTGAACTAGAGTTTTGGATATGTCAGATACATGGTTTGCCAAACTGAATACAACCGTTTGAATCTTCCTTCGCAGTGCACGACGGACCGTTGATTATCAAGGAGATCATCCGAGTAGTTGTATTTTTGTCCAGTGCGGACCTCCATAAGTACTTGTGTTGCACGTCAAATTTTTGCCAGCTCGGCGTTTATAAATTAATTCGTAATAACCAAATGTGTCACGTTTGGTCACATTGCAAATGAAATCTCGGTATCTGGCCTAGAATAAAAGTTGCGCAATAGACGCATAATTTGATGAACAATCCAAAGGAGCCCTCTGAGTACACTGGTTTGTTCCGTAGTCCAAGTCTTAGGCCTGATTCATTCAACCCAAACAAAGTAAAATTTAGCGGTTACATATGTCTGTATGCCGCAATTGTCATAAATGCCATGTTGCCCTCAACAACTCATTCCTCTTTTACTGGTTTCCCTTCTTCTGAAACCTTTCCCAATCTGCTCATCAAACTGAATTATGCTGTTTTATGTGCCACCCTTGTGCTCCATCCTGTCAAGGCCTGGCCGTGAGTATCCTGTTTTTGAACATTCAAAATAATCGCATTGCCACTGACAAGTTACCAGGAAATTAGAAAATTGGAATCAGGGACTCAAGGTGGCACCAGAAAAAGGTGACAGAAGTGGAAACAGAAATTCAGACAGAAGTAGGGACAGAAACATTCAGAAACGGTGACAGAAACAGTAACAGAATTGAGACGGGTTGACAGAAACGGTGACAGAATTGGGACGGGTTGACATAAACGGTGACAGAAACAGTAGCAATAATTGGGACAAAAACGGCGACAGGAATTGGCACATAAGTAGCGACAGAAACAACCACAAATATGGCAACAGACAAATATAGGCCATGACTCTTGTAATCTACATGATGTTTTGCACTCAAATTCTCTGAGTGCAGAGCCTCCATGAAGTGAATCACATTGCCCAATATCATAGACTCCAGGCTATGCCACCTAAGATTCACATGTCAATGTTCAACCTGTGTTGACCATGATATCTTATTCTGATGGGTATCAGTGATAACACGCCCCAAATCCTGATTGCGCTCTGGGGCCTGCAACACTCAGTTTTATCATATCTGCGGACCATCCAAAATATTTGCATTCAAGTAATACAGAGGTTGTAGTCAAGTACACCCCAGTGTAAACATCTTTCCCAATATCAGACACTCCTGGCTACTCCACCTAAGATTCACATGATCGCCAACCTGTGGGGACCATGATATCTGACAGTGCTATCATCCAAGGGAGTGTCATATCCAAAGCCCAAGTGTAAACATCTTTCCCAATATCATACACTCCGGGCTACCCCACCTAAGATTCACATGATCGCCATCTTGTGGGGACCATGCTATCTGACAGTGCTATCACCCAAGGGAGTGTCATATCCAAAGCCCAAGTGTAAACATCTTGCCCAATATCAGACACTCCGGGCTACCCCACCTAAGATTCACATGATCGCCATCTTGTGGGGACCATGCTATCTGACAGTGCTATCACCCAAGGGAGTGTCATATCCAAAGCCCAAGTGTAAACATCTTTCCCAATATCAGACACTCCGGGCTACCCCACCTAAGATTCACATGATCGCCATCTTGTGGGGACCATGCTATCTGACAGTGCTATCACCCAAGGGAGTGTTATATCCAAAACTCTAGCTCAAACACCCATCCATACACCCAATATCTGCCCATATTGCCCAACATGAGATACTCCAGGCCACCCCACTGGAGAATTATTCAAAGCCATGGTTTAAATACCCAACATTAGATATATCACATTCAACATACCCCAGAAAAGGCCTCATAGAGGCACCATCCCAGGAGGAGTCCAACCAGCCTCATAGAGGCACAGTACAGTGGACAGGAAGACACAGTCAAGCTAACAATACCCCAGGACAGGCCTCATGGAGGCACCATCCCAGGAGGAGTCCAACCAGCCTCATAGAGGCGCAGTTCAGTAGACAGGAAGACAGAGCCAGATCAACAATACCCCAGGACAGGCCTCATAGAGGCACCATCCTAAGAGGAGTCCAACCAGCCTCATAGAGGCGCAGTTCAGTGGACAGGGAGACAGAGCCAGACCAACAATACCCCAGGACAGGCCTCATAGAGGCACCATCCCAGGAGGAGTCCAACCAGCCTCATAGAGGCACAGTACTAGTGGACAGGAAGACACAGTCAAGCTAACAATACCCCAGGACAGGCCTCATAAAGGCACCATCCCAGGAGGAGTCCAACCAGCCTCATAGAGGCGCAGTTCAGTGGACAGGGAGACAGAGCCAGACCAACAATACCCCAGGACAGGCCTCATAGAGGCACCATCCCAGGAGGAGTCCAACCAGCCTCATAGAGGCGCAGTTCAGTGGACAGGGAGACAGAGCCAGACCAACAATACCCCAGGACAGGCCTCATAGAGGCACCATCCCAGGAGGAGTCCAACCAGCCTCATAGAGGCGCAGTTCAGTGGACAGGGAGACAGAGCCATACCAACAATACCCCAGGACAGGCCTCATAGAGGCACCATCCCAGGAGGAGTCCAACCAGCCTCATAGAGGCGCAGTTCAGTGGACAGGGAGACAGAGCCAGACCAACAATACCCCAGGACAGGCCTCATAGAGGCACCATCCCAGGAGGAGTCCAACCAGCCTCATAGAGACATAGTTATACTGGACAAGAAAGGGAAGAAGAAGACCACATCCAAGGTCCCAGGCCAGGCCTCATAGAGACACCAACACAGGGAAGTCCAACCAGCCTCATAGAGACATGGTGATACTGCACAAGAAAAATAATTATAATATTCTAGACACAAATCAAAGAAAGAAAGAACTTTGTCAGGTAAGTGACAGTAAAAGAAGAGAACAAACATAGAAAAGATTTGGTTCAAGTTCGCTTTTTTTGCTTATGTCAGCAGTGCCAAACAAAGCCACACATTATTACAATTTTCGCATTTTTGTCTATATCACAGGTAACACACCACAGCTTATCATTGAATCATATATAGCATAACAACCATAGAATATAAGAGCTTTGTATGTGACAGTAGTAACAGAGCAGATGATAGACACAGAAAAGATCAGGTTCAATTTCGCATTTTTGCTGATATCAACAGGGCCAAATAAAGCCCCATTTGAACATAGCACAATTTTCGCATTTTTGCGTATCTGAATACTGACATAACACAGCTTACAAGATAATGACAGCGATAGCAAAGATGAAAAGAAGAGAAAAGATCTGGTTCAGGTCCGCATTTTGGCTTATATCAGCAGTGCCAAAAAACAGCCACATGTGACCCATTTTCAATGGAAGAATTTTCGCATTGTCGTCTATATAAATACTTACAAACAACACCCTATCATAGGCACAAAAATCTCAAATTTGCAGTTACTACACTTTCCTGTACACAACTTCAAAGTTGCGGACACTAGCACTGTACAGTGTACACTGTTATATGCAAAAATCTCAAAATCACATTTTCTAATCATTGAAGTGTCAATCACTACACTTCAGGCTGTGCGTCTCTTCTCCCCCTGCACCTTCTTGTGCCTTTTCGTTTCTCTATACCACAGTCTAACTTATCATATAGAACTCAATCCTCCCAAGCTCTTCTTCTCCCCTCCTTACTCTCATGATTTAAGAAGCGCTCCTACGCAAACATAGCCTCCACACGTACGAAGGACATCTGGCCTACATGTGATGCCCTTCTCGCTTACGAACAAGCGCTTGAGCAGGAAGAAATTGTAGATGTCATGTTCGCCGGGAACTTTGCAGCAGTGGGAGCTGAGAGGGAATTTAAGACTCCAGCCGCGGATGAGCTTCGATTCAAGACACCAGTAACACCAAGTGCTGCACCTGGAGCACCACAGACATCAATTTCTACGAAGACTGTGCAGACATCTGTATCAAACACCTTTGCAACACCTGCTTCAAGTAGCAAGGGCAGGCCACAATCCAGATCTGGTGTGTCTGGCAACACTGAGAAATCAGACTCCGTGCGCGTGCGTGGGGCGCGACTAGTGAAGGAGATTTTCGAGGAGGTGTATCCGCACTGGCAGGCCCTGGTAAAGATGAAGAATGAAGGTGGTCTTGAGGGGAAAGAGAGAGGCTATGGATTAGAGAGGTTTGAGAGTGGTGTGTATATTCCATCCACCACATGCACCCACTTGCTTAACTTTTTTGTAGGGCACGTTCTAACTCGTCTCGTCTGTAAAGGCGCACATGCGCTCGGTATTCTCGGGGAACACGAATATGAACTCAATGTTCTCGAGTCCCTGCTTGCGCAGAGGTGGTGGCGTCGTGGACGACGGGGGAGGTGGTACGAGCGCTGGGCACTGATCCTAGAGAAACATGTAGTCAGATATGATGACGCTCTTTTGGCATGCCTCGATGCTCTTAAAGATGATGATACACATATTGGTGGATTGGGATCCTGATGCTAATGTTTGTTGCGTCCTGACTAATTACCGGATAGTATTTCGTCCCAAACTTGACCGCCGCTTGACAGCTCTTGAAAAAAAGCTCAAAGTTGAGCCTGCAGATCGGCATACGAGCGAATGGAACCTCCAACCCCTTGTGTTAGTCTCCTTGGAAGGAGTACGCGTGCGCCACCGTGCAGCGAGTTTAAAACTCGACCGTTCGGGGAGGAATATCAATGATAGTGCCAAATCAAAAGTTTCTATCACTCAAGCGGGAGACATTACTAAATTTTTGTCACCAAAAAAGCCTGGCGTGACAAAAGTGGATGCGACGCCTGTATCGATCAAAGCCGAGGTAAGTTGTCGCATTCTGGATGAGAAACCAAATATTGACCTCTTCCTAGGTAAGTGAACGGAAAGAGGAGAAAGGAAAGTTCATCTGGGTTGGACAAGATGGACTAGAAGTGAATGTCGAGACACTAGCACTTCAATGGTACGAAGACCAAGGGTTCAAAGGGTATGTCTATCTTTCGCCTTTCTCGCCTTCCACCCTTATGATCGCTCAATTCCGCGGCATACACTCGGAAACTAGAATCATCACTACCTATCCTCTTCTGGGATATCATCTTCCTCCCCATTCCCGGTGCCTTCGAGACCCCTTTCCAGACTGCACCGTTGGATATCGCAGAAGAAGCATTCTATCATGCTCGACGAGATCCCATCGAAACAAGGCTCAAGGAACTCGAGGATGGACAAGGAGAGGAGATTGTGAACCGAGTAGAAGCAGAGCATAGAGCACGCAAGATGTGGTGCATAGGTGTAGATTGGGAACTGGTAGAGGAAGGTGAGATTGTAAAGATAGTTCGTGTGAGTGTAAATTCCGTTATGGGAAGGCCGGTAATTGATGCAGTCATAGCGTCTTGGCGGAACAGCGTTGTCTGTGATATGTCACATTGTTTGTGAAGACTATGCTGGGCGCTGCTCTGGCGGTCCAGATCTCTTTATGTGGAATGCGGATACAGGAAAATGCAAGTTCGTCGAGGTTAAGGGCCCAGGTAATAGTCTTCAGGAAAATCAAAAGGTCATTATCAGCGAGTCGTCGGGCACGTATCTCAGCTGACAATAAACGCTAAAGCTCTGGATCGACGTCCTTCTCCGAGCCGGGACAGCTGTGGAGTTGTGTTCAGTTCACCAACAAGGTAAAGGGGATGAAAACAAGACGGGGAAGAAGGGGAAGCCAAAGGGAAGCACTAAGAAGCGGCGAGGCAAAGCCAAGGATATGGTTGAATCCGACGATGAAGAAGATGAGGTGCAGCGCATGTACGAATCTGAGGATGACGCTGATGCTTTGCCCGTTGCACCAATCCCCATATACATGGACGACGAGTTTCTGTGGGCGAGATCGGACAAGGAGTACTATGTCTCGCTGTCCAGGTACGTGTCTTTGGCACACACTGGCAATTCGCTATCTTTCCCAGTCTAACGACAAAAGCAGAAAAGATTACAAACTGCATCGGCTGTTAAACCTAGTATTTCCAATCCACCAGCAAACTCCTCTCCTGTACGTGCTCGTGCCAGAGTAGCCTCAAATGTTCGTTCTCCCCTCCGACCTGTGACGGCTGCTGTACCGAGAAAGAATGGGATATCATCAATAAAATCACCCATTTCTGGGACATCTAAGAAGCAAAATTCTCTCGAGACCAGTACGCCAACTAGGCGTGTCTCAAATTGAGGTGCTTTCTCACCGTTGAGGAATCCTATATCACCGCATGGTGGCAGGAGCACCGAAAGTTCTAGTGAGTTACCTTTTATGCAGTATACATGTAGAGAACGCTAACTTGCCTCTCAAAAACTAGTAACTAGTGCACTACGCAGTAGTGTGTCCACATCGCGAGAAAACATCTTTGATGATGCAAGTGGTATCCCAGTGCGATTGAATACACGGGCCGCATCTTCCCAAAAGTCTAGGCTTTTGGATATCCATGCACACCCTGCTGAGTCGATCTCCACTAGACTGGCTTTGATGCGCACAGACAAAACGAGAGAGACGAGGGTTGCTTTTGGATCATCCACTCGTTCTGAGATTACAAGGACGTCGTCGAATTTAACTGTTGGTACGAGAACCAAAGGGTCTTCGCTAAAGCGCGCCCCGTCGACAATATCGATCTCTTCATCGAAGACGAGAGAAAGCGCTCGCTCAAAGACGCCTGCCAATGAAGACGAGGACGCACGCACAGAAATCTTGTCTCCGGATTTACCCATAGACCCTGTAACCCCCGTGACCGACATGAAGAGACAGTCAACAAAAATAGTTGTTGAAGCCCAGAAACCAAAGGTAAGAACAAATGCAGGGAGGACGAGGACAGAGACGGGCAGCACAGGCCTTAATGCTATCGGTACCGCAAAGTCCAGGGGAAGTAAGGATAAGGGAAAGGGCAACGAAGTTCATGTGGATGCGGAAGATGCTGGCAAGTATGAGGAATTAAACGCCGTGGAAGAAGACGAAGAAGAGGCGCAAGTGACTCACGAGCGCGAGCTCTCGATGCAAGTTTCCCCTCGCCGACCCGTGGAACAGACCTGGGTTCCATCACCGCTCCGGCAAAACTCAGGCACATTCCCTATGCAATCTGGAGCAAGTGGTGCGTACGAGCTCTTCCGGGGGCTCATTGCGGACATGCAGACCAAGAACCACGCAGACGTAAAAGCGCTGCACGTTGATATGCTGCGAATGGGGCGCGGGCTTCGGCAGGAGATGTAGGGGTGGGGTGGGGAGGTGAAAAAGCTGAGGGAGGAGAATCAGAGGTTGCGGGAAGAAAATGATAGGTTGAGGAGAGGATACTGAGCGTCCCTCGAGTTATTTTTTGGGGGTAGACCGATGTATTGGTTTGTATGATACCCTTTCGCAATACACTAGTGTAGCCAGTAGGATGTTGTATGATCCTTTCCGGTGCTCCGCTTCTCTCCAACAATACGATGTACTCCAATCGGATCATTCTGTACGTCTCAAGGAATCAATTGACAATGTATAAGCCAACGCATGATGGAGGGATTGGCATTGTATTTACATAACCGACGAATTTCAGTGACTGCCAACACGATCACAAACTCAATACTACATTGAGCTGTTAACTCCCCATTTCATTGAGACACGGCCCCCAACAACCAAAACCTCACAATAGAGCTCCACTGAGTACGCCACTCGCCAAGTTGAACCATTGCCCCACCGTTTCATTTACGAGGAAATCTTCAGAGCTGCCAGTGCATGAGGTCCTCGTGATCAAACGGTGGACCTTGTCCTCTGGCGCGTGGTGAGGCATACCGGAGTGCAATCTGTGGAGAAGGGCACAGGCAAACTCTCCATCAGGGATCCGAATCCTGCATGCACGCGAGTGGCTTATACAACAATGAGATGTAGCCTTCAGTCCAGATACTAACGAGTATTGTCCAATGGTGTCGGCAGGACAATGTGATAGATCCGTAGCTGGACGACATGCTCGATGTCAAGGAAATACTTCAGCGCAAATATCCACTGCTTGATTGACTAATATCAATCAGAATATTCTATAACCTAGAACAAGTGAGGCTTGAGAGTCTCATCTGACAAAATTGGGAGGATAGTGCACACACGGTGAGCCTGCATCCTTACAACAACGTTGTTGATGAGTGCATCCTTCAGCTTCGGAAATATGGGCCTGGACAACATTAATGAGATCGAATGCGTAGTGAATACAAGACAAACCTTTCCCCAGACTAAGACCGTAGAATAAGTTGAACTTGAAGACTTCTCGGTCCGCAGCCAGCGTTCTCTGTTCAGTGGTGGGATGCCTCTTCCATCGGACGCTCTACTCATAATTCACCACCCACCCGGAGACTCTGCAACATACTTTAAATAGTTCGACGCCTGCTATATCGATAGCAGTTTGTATGCTTAGCCTCGCGCGTATATGGGCCAGTTCAGCATCTCTCACACCATGTCCGCATGCGATCAGACTTGTAATCGCGGAATAAATTGGCTTGCAGTGCTCAGGAGAAACTATGCAATGGAGCAAAGCTGCCACTTTCAAGAACCAACGATGCTGGCAGGAACGAACATCTCATTCTCCCTCAGCCTGACCTGGACAGTGCTGTTACCACAGCCAATCAATATCAAGCGATTAATTCATTACATTCATGTTATCACTTATCAGTACAATATACATGCAGGAAGAGATCTCAGGTGAACTGAGTTGAACGTGGCCGGGAAATCATGACAGGTAGAAACACAGTAAAAGCGGCCATGGCGCCTGCTGACGAAAGCTCCTGGAAGAAGCGCTGAAGATGATCTGTATGCAGGACACCACGTGTCTACAGCAAAGGGTTCAGGGTCAGTATCTTACATAAGATGCAACATCACCAAAATCTCCCATTCCAGAGATGTTAATCTAAGGTCGCATCAGCCCTTAGAAGGCCTCTAAGGGACGGCAGGCGTATCAGGTCCCAGGGTCCGCTTATCTGGTCATACCTTTCAGTGTCTCGGTTAGCAAGAGTACTGAATACTGAGGGAACAGCAATCACTTACATGCGCTATAGTGAGTAGTCGCTAAGTTGAACTTAACGACTACTCACTTCAACTTAACAGCTACTCACTATAGCGCATGTAAGTGATTGCTGTTCCCTCAGTATTCAGTACTCCTGCTACCGAGACACTGAACAAGATTGAATGGCGGTTACCACCCACAAAGCATCCACAAAAGCGCCCGCCCAGCCTGTTGAACTGACACTCAAGGGTCATGAGGAAGCTGTGCAAGAAGTAGCTTTCATCCTTGGTACCTGTCTCCTCGTCACTGGCTCGGCCGACAAGAGTCTTCGGGTGTGGGATCTGGACACAGGGAAACAAGTGGAAGAGCCCTTATTGGGACACGATGGCAGAGTCCGCATGGTCTCGGCATCCTCTGATGGACGTTCGATTGTGAGTGGAAGCAGGAATGGGAGCATTCTGGTCTGGGAAGTTGTGACAAACAAGAGAGAGCTCAAAATAGTGCCCGTCTCGTTTAAGGGCCATGAAGATGAGGTTCATGGCATCATATTTGCACCGGAAAACAAGACATTTGCAAGTGCATCATGGGACAAAACAGTATGCGTGTGGAAGAGGGAGACAGGAAAAATAGTCCTCGGACCACTCAAAGTGGGCAATGATGCAAACTCGGTGTCGTACTCCCCGGATGGGACGAAACTAGCAGCAGGCACAGATGAGCACATCATCATTTGGAATTCAGCAAGTGGAGAAGAGTTGCTGAAAATGGAACGGCGGGCATACAGAGTCGCATTCACTCCAGATGGTCTCCATCTTGTCAGTGGAAACTGGAAAGACATCCAAATATCAAATGCTACCACCGGAGACATCATCAAACAGTTCGACGCACACACAGACCGCAACTTTTCCTCACTAGCCATTGCTCCCAATGGCACCAAATTTGGCACCACGTCATACGACAAGACGACACGGTTTTTTGACCTGATTACTTTCGAACCCATCGGCGAGCCACTCGAGCACCCTGATGCCGTCACGTGTGTGGCATTTTCTGAGGACAGCAAACTCATCGCAACTGGCTGTTGGGACGGACATGTTCGCACATGGGCAGCTCCTCTCAGCGGTGGGTCCGGGAAGGAGCTCCAACAGGTGAGCAAATAATCTCATCGTATCATACTTCACGCCTGCTGACCTGTCATATAGTCCACTCAGAAAATTCTTAATGTACGCTGCTTTCACGCTCGTTGTTTTATGCAATCCCTAATTTCAGTCCTGCAGAAACCCATCCCAGACCCATGGTCTCGCCCAAAACGCGCTCCAATACCGACTAATAGATTCTTCGATGATGTAAGTCCATATGATACAGTAGATTTGATGCACGTCTCACCATCCTTTGACAGTTTGATCCAACTGGAGGCAACAATCGCGCCGGCACTACACGCAACATCAAAGGTCCCAAGATCAAAAACATGATAGATCGTATCTTTTCTCGCTCCTCCGCTTCCCAGGACCAAACTCCTTGTCCACTCGGGGCTCCCCTTGTGGACGTCTTTGCAACACGAGGCAAATATGTAAGGTTTCCTGACTTTTCGACATCCATGTAGTGACATTGATATTGTCTCGCAGCGCACCGCTAACCCCCACAGTGGAAAAAGGGATAAGTTGTTGAAGGCACAACGTCCTCCTCGCAACTGGCAAGCACATGCCGGTGCCTCAAACAGCAGCACACCACCAGTGGAGACATCCATTGTAGTCAATGAAACTGCGCCAGAAACGTTGCAAACTGGAAGTACCAGACCCTCTTCCCCACTAGACGTCGCACATGCCCCACACAGCAGCTGCTTTGCAGTCAAACCCAGTTTTACCAGTCCGTCTATCGACGGTTTGACTCATAGAAGGGCTGGTTACCAGTCTAATCACAATGCCCTGCATTCCAGGCATGTGTATTATAATATTTTGTCTGCATCGTCATCTAGACGTTCTCCCGTGTCCATAGTAAGTGAAACTGCAAGGCAATTCTTTCTCTCGATAATTGTAAGCTTTATTGGAACAGTCGTGGAAGTATTGAATATTTGTAAGGATTCGGGAAATGGTTTCTGGTGCGTGCACGACAACGTCGTCGAAGGTGGTCGAGAACGAATCGGAGAGGTTTTGATTTCTATGATATTGTGCCATGGTTTGAGAAGAGCTAGCATTGAAGCACAATATAGTTCGTAGTGCTCAATGTCGTTTGCTGGAGGAAACCACTGACCTGGAACATGTGGCATTGTCTCATGTCCTTCAGCCTGCTCGAAGGACACGAACATGGCCAATATCTTCTTTGTATGGGACATGTATTTATACTTGTTCCATCTTTTTTTGTGTATTGAAGAAGGATCCGCGTTTCAGCGCATACTATCTGTAATTACGACGTCACACTATTGTAGGTATTTAGGAAGAATTAGAGATAGCTAAATTTTTCTAGTTCATCCCCTCGGTCAATATGATTATGAATTTGATCCCTGACGCAGAGAATTCCTCCATGCAGTTCAGGCCAAGAGAGAGATGGTCATCTGAGAAGCGTGACCGCATGTTGAAGAGTAAAATAACTTTAGTTCTGTTGAGATCCTACTAGCATATGTGATTTGCTTACCTATGTTCCTGAAGGATAGGAAAACAACGTTTCAGCAGACTGACGACTGAATTCCAACAAATAGTTTGACAAGTGATGCGAAACATATCGATCATTCCAGCCCGTCAGGTATGGCACAACTTCAGGTGCACTAAATTCTTGCTCTTGACTCAGAGCGTTCGCACATCGTTGAATTGGATGCTTATCAACTTGATGAAGGTCTGCACTTTGTCTCTCATTGTCTCGATAAACACGCCTGATGTCATTCTCTGCTGAAACAATTTTCTTTATCGCATTAATATTGCTACTTTCCTTAGGCCAAACAAGTCACAGCTTAGCTTGTGGTCGGTCATATGATTTTTATTGGCACCCGGCAGTCTTCACACAACAACCTTACATTTGTCCCATGTCATCCCTATGACAGCAAACCGTCCATGCTATAAGTATGTTTGTTTGATGCCCGTCCAGGTATTTGTGTCTTCACTGTTCTCATCCATCACATTGTTTACTATCAATTCTTGTAATGGGGATCCTAGTTATCTATGTGCTACCGCAGTCAGTGATGATCCTGCATGGTTTTTCTTTCCTGATGACCATTATTACATGTACCTTGCTGACTTTCCCGCAATGTGGTCATACAGGCGGCTTTCCAACTTCCTATTGTCTTTGTCCGGAATAAGCATACCTGCCGCATCAGTTGCACTTCTGATGCTTACGCGCAAAGTTGGGTGCACCACCTAAAGAGGCTATGTTTGCTGGTTATCTGCCTTTTGATCGATGCCATGTGCCCTCTGTTTGTGTCCTGCAGATATATCATCAGACTTTATCCACGGTGAAAAGGCGCGAATAATTGGGACACAAACAGTATGAATTCTGGAGTACGAAATTTATTCCTCATATTTGTATTATTGTACGGACATGTTACGTGACTGCTGCCCAATCAAAAGTCTATTAACGATACAACAAAATTTGAAGTTACCTTATGTGGATAAGTTCCCATGTTCACGTGCATACAAAGTATGGGAAATTTGACCTAGGGGGAAGGGGTTGTTGCTGTTGTTCAGGTGCTGAAAAGATCAGAAATTTACGCACCTCAGGCAGCAGTTTTTGGAGGCAAAAGGTAGGCTTTCAGGCCAGGTTCCTATGTTATGGGAAACCAGCCTGAAAGGCCCATGATTCTCCAATGTAATTTAGGATCTGTTCTAAAAATAATATCATACCTCGTTGCCCTCCCGCTGGGCTGCTCGCGTGCTTCACCTCCAGGACCTGGATACCTCACGCTGCTCTTGAGCCCCAAAGACCCCCCCACCTCAATGTGGATTTTTGCATACTATGTATTTTAATTAAAAAGTAGAAATGTGCAAGTTATTTCCTACCTTCATTTCTATGGCTCCGCGCTCAGATACTCGTGCAGTGCAGTTCACTACGTCTGGGCTGGGTGTTCAGTTTGTCAGTCCACAGAAACCAAGAGACAAACACAGAGCCCAGACATTAGTTGAACTCCCTGGGGACTCGCATTGATCGCAAAGGTCATGGACAACTAATTTAGCACTGCACCTTCCCGCTACTTTATACCTTCTGTGGTGCCCAGCGTTCACTAGCACCGTTTTCGCTATGAGTCCCGTGATGTAACAGGCAGGTGTTGTACCTCTGGCGCATCCTTTCATACATCTGCACATCCGAGTCCTCTTGGACCTCCAGCACATCCTCTCGGACCTCCAGCACGTCCCTCTCAAAGCACCATCCCACACCTACAGGATTCCCTCTCATTCCTGCACACCATCTTGTGCCTTCAGCACCCATCTACCAGGTTTCGAGCTCGTTGCCAAAGCTGGTGATAGGTGCATGTTGACAAAATGTCGAAGGCCGAGATGGCCGTGTGAGTAAGGACAATTTTTATTTGAAACATTGATACTTCTACCTTACCTTCCTCGTCCTACACAATTTGTGGTAGCTCTTGGTAGCAGATCGAAGGGCGAACGAACAGCATATGCAACCATGCTATGGTGTGTATAAAGGGCGGTGGGCATTGAGTTTGGAGTCGAGGAAGTCGTAAGAGTCGAGACGTTGGAATGCAAGTACTTGTTTTATTTTTTTATCTTCAACTTGCGCTAACATTACTTATTGTACCCTCAGTTGTCGTGAGAATGGTATTCCCATACTGAAGCTTGGAACAGCAAGATTTAAAGGAATGAAGGTAAGGGTCATGGTGTTAATTTTAGCGACCCTGCAAGTTACCCAGGGGCGAATGAGTAGCGACTCGTTCGCCGTTAATCTATTCTCCTATGCTCAGCGCTGGTGTGTACCCCTAGCATTGTTCATATGAACTTCTAATATCTGCATGACATGGCTGACGGCGAGCAACTTCATTCGCTCCTCTTCAATTTGGATCCCTGGACACAAGTATACGAGATCATTTTATTCTGGCAGCTCTGTCACTCTATGCCTTCTTGGTGACTCATGGGCATGATAGTGAGTCTTGGTGTTAGGCTCGTATCTCACCTCTTCGGCGGTGTGGAGTTCAACAGGAACACCGACCTCAATTGCGGGGCCGTATCATTGTGCCGTGCTCCTTTTCAAAGGGAGGAGATTATTGTGGTATGAGACAGCAGGAAGCATTGTTGGGACATGGACAACAGCATATGAAAATTTGAATGCAGCCCTTTCCAGTGCATGCTAGAATGCACGAATGAAATAGTAACATGTGCCTCAATTGATCATTAATGTACCAACACAATCTATAGCACAGTCATACATGACAGACATGGTACTGATCGATCATGAGTGCTTTATCAGATATGAGAGAGCAAAGTCGAAGCACGTCGAGTTATGAGGGTGAATACTTTGAGTTTTGGTCCGACCCCGTGACCGTCTTACTACTCGTTTTAGTGTTGGTTTCAGTCTTTTACCTTACAATAATACCTTAATGGTGATCTTGTGCTGTGCAGCGACTGCCATGTTGCTACTTTGGACCATTCAGGATACTGCTATCACCTGCACTCAGTCCACAATCGAGTTTTTATGTTTTTGGAGGAGTTTTGTTCGTCTTTTGATTGGCTACTGTAAGCCTCTCAAGAGCCTCTCAGATCTCAGGAGTCAGAGGTACCTCCTGCCTTCTCAAGATGATCTACGGACTGATTCGCATCCCTCCAGAGCCGAGCTCTGGCGTCGCGTCGCGTCACATCACATGATCTTGTATACTGAACTGTCTTTTCATTGTCATTGACTGAATCCTTCTTCCCATAGTTGCAGCCGGTACTTTGAGTCAGTGACCTGCCGCCATCAATTGAGGGGCTCGAGGCCAGTTCTTCCTCCAGGTGTTCAGACATCCGGCGAAACTGGCGAGCGCTCGTTTACTGGGATAAGGCTGAGATCGTGCGCAAGCGCTCGAACTTGAAGGATTCAGGCAGCTCCGGGATGGTTGATTGTGAAGGTGTTTCATCGACTCTGGGTGTTGGGGTAGGTCACTCTTCAGTTCCCACTCTGTCTGTCTAACTTCTGGTGGTTGCGCAGTTCCAGATGCTCCCTCTGGTGTGGGACAAGGTGCTAATCCCCAGTCGGCACTATGAAACCACTCTGGGGACCTGTGAGATTTGGAGTATCCGCCGCCCAAAATGGACAAGCGAATCTCAAGGCCAGGACACATATCTTCAACCCCTCAGGATATTTGACAGTGTTATGGAGAGGCTCACGGATATATGGGCCATTCCTCGGGTTGGAACCGAACTAATCCTGTTCCGTAGGTACATCCATATGCAAAGATTTCATTGGGCGTGTTGTCTCGCACATTAAAAGTACGTTCGGTTCCTCTCTCGTTTCTATCTTCCGCTTAGCAGTCATCAGCGTAGATGGTCATCGGCCAATCGGATCGCGACCATGCAGTATATTGTCTTGTCGACAAGTTGGATCAAGTTTACCGTTTCATGATACGAGACGAGACGCTTGGCCAGATTTCATCAATGCACGGTATCCTTGGACAGATCTCTCAGCAGACCCTTGAATGTGCCTGCTTTATCAGAGATTATTTTCAGACAAAGTGCTTCTGTGAGTCTTGGAAAAGCTGTTGCGCTTGACAGATACTAGATCTTCTACCATTCTCACTGAAACAGATAATGCAATCCAACTGTACAGCGATACATTGGATGCGCTCACGCAAAACTTCCGGGACCAACTTACTCGTGACATGGCTATCTATGTCCACCGTACAGGTGAGGATTGTACGTGCTTCTGACTCGACACCTCTTCAGGACAACTAGACCTTAGCGGTATAATGTATGCAGCAAACGCAGGACTGGATACGATGAAATAATGCCTCCAAGGAACGCACACGGAAATCCTCTCCCGGATCACAGCACCGGGGACAGCGTTCTACGTGTGCTGTGGCTATCTGGCCCTGCAGGCAAGGGCAAATCAGCATCGCTCACACGATCGCCAATCGGTTCAAAGATGCGGGAGGGCTTGGTTCATGTTATTGCTCTTACGTTCTCAATTTTGAGATCATTCATCTCACGCATCTGTTTCTTGTTTTCTTGGAGTGCTGCGCTCATGATCTGTCTCTCCATGTCCTGTATTCGTGTATCCTCATACTTGTAGTGTCAAATACAAAGTTTTCGCTGTGTTCCATGTTGTGGTCTTTCGAAGTCCAGGAATCGTTCACGGATTGAAGAACGACATACGAAACACGAAACACAACGAGAGACGGTTCGCGAGGTCGAAGAACCGCTTGCGAGGTTGGATCACAACAAACACAAGACATGACAAGAGACACGACATCGTGACACCAACGGGAGTAGAGGATCTATGCTTGAATAAGCTCCTCGCTGGAGGCTCTGTGTCAACTCTTCACTCCTCCTCGCTCCTCTTCTGAGTCCTCGCTGGAGGCTCTATGACAGTCCCGAACAGGATCTAAGGGGAGGCCTCCCTGTGGAGGTGGGCTTTCAGGCAGGTTACTACCTACAACGAAACCTACCCTGAAAGGCCTTCGGTACCTTTTCCAAGTGGTGCCAAGGGTGAAATTGACCTTGAAAGAGTTGCGCCATAAGAGCAAAAATGTTTGTCACATGACTCAAAGGTATCGCAAATTGAATTCAAGTTGATGCAATTGTTGCACTATCGTGTCGAGTCTTCAACGTTGCAACTCTCATTGAAGTGCAGAATTGGGCTCGCCCTAATCCTCACTGCAGAGCCTTGCATCACATGATCATCATAACCAGACAATCGGCAATTCATCACTACCTTGCCAAGTTGTGAGGATGGGATGCAAATTAGGCAGGACCAGCAATACATCAAATAATCACCATAAATCATAGGGAGGGTGCAGGCGCAGAATACAGAAAATTACATTCCTCCAAAAAAGATCTTGTTCTGATCAACTATCTACAAATACATGACTTGAATTTTTGGGAACTGATAATCTGGCGAAACAACATGTCCAGGGATTCCTAGAGGGTTGCAGGTGCATCATCTCATGTCAGATGTAAATCCTTCATATCCACACCCAAAGTAACGGCACATTCAAGCAACTCCGGGCAATGGAATGCGCCAGGACACACATGGCCAAGCTCAGATGCCCCAAAATCCAGTATGATCACATTGGATTTGTTGATTGCAACATTGGCAGCCACCATGTCATTGTGCTTCACTCCCAGCTGGTGAATAGCAAGTAGTGACCTGAGAAGATGATGTCTGCAAATAAAAATCAAATGCATGGGTGGGCCAATGAGGATTCTTGAGATGAACACACCTCTGATCAATTTCCAGGTCCAGGAAAGAATTCGGTGACACCCCTACATCATCTGTCAGAAGGAACAAGGCGCCTGACCCAGAATACAATCCTAGACATGTAGGAACCACTGATCCTTGAATGGTCTGCAGGGCCTGATAAATCTCGGCTTCAAGCAACAGCTCTTCACATAGATCATCCTCAGCCATTTTCATCACCACTGCAGAATCACCCATGTGCCCACTAAAGACTGCCAGCCGGTTGTTTGATATCCGCCTGTCCAGGACCACTGGGGTAGAAAAGTGAGAGGGTGGATTGAATTGGTCCACATCAGATAATGCAATGGGGACTGACGAACACCCAGATGTGGTGAAGATGAGTTGAGGGGAATCCATATTGGATGGTGAGACCTCTGATCTTATAGTAGCCTTTCCAGGTCTGCACATCTGGAGTGGTAAGCATGTGCTCCACCATGAAATCACCCAGTTCAAAACACGTGATCCCAGGTTGTTCTGGAGTCAAAAATCTCAGATAAACACATCTGCAAGATGTGGGAATACCTACCATCATGATACTTCCCCCTGACACACCTGGAGTCGCTGGAGTGCCAGGCTGTGGTAAATTGTGACTGTGACTGTCTGGATTATCCAGAGGCATGCCCAATGATGTGACAAACGGACCGGGCAACTGAGTAGTGCCACTGTTACCCGGTCTAGCCACCAAGGAATGGGCTATGAAAAAGCTCAGATCTGACAGTGTGGCCGCCAGTGCATCGTTATCGTCTGGCTGGTATTGGTATGAGGGGGATATGTGTAGGTTGTTCCCAGAGCGATGAACCAGCAAGAACATGTGTTGATTAGAGATGATACCGTGGTTACATTCTCGGGTTGAAAGCTGATGCCAAACCTGAACAACAGTTGAGCCATCATGAAACACTTCAAGTAAAGTAGATCACACCTGGTATATTGTACCAAGCACCTTGGATTGCCAGGTGCCCCCTGTCACCTCCTCCAGCTGAGATGAGCCTGTAGTACTGGCTTCTGTCTTCCACTTCTTTTCTCGCTGTATCTGAACCAGGATTTGGTACGCCGGAGCTAAATGTACCACCTGGTCTACACGCATTGTGGGGGACCACTCACTCCAGCAATCTCCCAGCTTTTGCAGCATATCTGCTGTTGCATTATTCACACCGGTGGCCTTCTGTGTTTTGACCTCCACTGTAACACAAGTCTCGAAATCCCAAATAAATTCTGCATCCGGCCTTCCAGACGGCCCGCTCATGGATTTAGTTTGGATGGCACACCCTTTTAGGGAGGATGGAAAACCCAATGGGTCATCGCCGGGTCGACATGATATTTGGAACAAGCAGGTTGCCCCACATCCCACCGGCCCCATAAAAGCGGACTTGAGGTACTCGACGACATTGAACTCGTCATATATCCTGACGGGCATTGCTGACAAACGCCCAATTGCTTCTGGGGTCCAGGAGGTGCCATTCAAGACTGGACCATGGTGACTTAGTGTGTCCCTGGCCCACTGCCGTGTATGCTCCTTCTGGGCCAGATGGAGAGTATCCAGGTCCAGGCTGCAAAGCCCATGAAGAGACGATCCACTGGAATGCAGCTCCTCTGTGGAAATTTCCTTCAGACGACTACTGCGGACAAAATCGGGTGGCGCTGCGACACGAAGTTGACGGAATGCCTGTATGAAATCAAGTTCAGAGGATGTGGAATTGAGCAATGCAGGCCCCGGTATGTGTTTCCATTGTTCCATGTTTATGTAATGTGCGATAGTCTTGACAAGAATGTTGATGATTACCTTGTACAGTTCACTATCATTAATTGTGGCTGTGTGAGAATTCACGCTGGTTTTCAACGTTCCCAGTCTCGGTCTGGTTAGACATGTGTGAATCTACGATAGCCTTAGTAACAAATTTGTAATCGTGGACAATCAGCGCTTGATTTGATGTCGCTGATATGTATGCTCGGAAACACTTCTTCATATCTTCTTCTGATGGTAATCCAAGATACTTCATATGGTCATGGTTGTTGACACTGTCATTACGCTCTTCAACATCAGCTTCTTCTATCATACTTCTCTGTGCTTCACATTGAAGCTTCCTAGCAATTCTTTTCCTCTCAGCTTTGTTCTCATGCTCCTTCTCATGCTCCTCATCTTTCTGCTCTGTAGCTCGGTGTATCATATCCAAAATATGGTCAGGTAGTTCGTGTATGATATCCATGATATGTGGCCATGTGAGATTTTGAACTTTTGTCCTGAACATATTTTCAGGAAATACAGCGACCAGTTCAGCTTTCGTTATAATGACAATAAGTAAACCTCATACCATCCCGGTTCCATTCTCTTCGTTCAAATGTTATCATATCACCTCATCCTTCCACTTAGGCAATTCACGATCCATGCTGATTGACACAGATTGAAACCTTGGGTTTCCTAATGACATACTTTTCAGGATTAGACCGGGACACTGGATGATATCAAGGGACTCGAGTGAATCCTTTTCAAGGATGATTATTCAAAACTCCTCATCGCTGCTCCAACTCGGAGATTCCAAGGTTTTTTCTCGGGTGATAGAACTAGATCCTCTTTGGACCTTGGTGGACACAAATTGTCATATAAACTTGGGCATTACCTGATTTCTGCTTGTCACCCCAGATCCCCAATCATGGTCCAGCATAAATCAAAGGCAACCATGTCCAAAGATACACCTTCTCCCTCTGACTCTTCTATTCCAACTAAACCTGTAATGCCCAAACTTGCATCTGCCACTAGTGTCCTTGAAAAGCTCTGATGCCAAGATGAGGGCTTTTATGTTGGTACACAGAACCTTGCTCCCCAAGTTGAATATTTTTGAAGATGACCTGCTATGACTGGCAATCCTGTAAGATACTAAATTTACAACGGCGAACATGATGTTATGTATAAGGGTCTGGTGCCTTGGGCTTCTGTTCTGTTTTCACCTGTAGAGTACACAGTAACTGTATGCAAAAGTACAACTGTTAAACCCTGACCAAACCAACGTATTGGTTGTAGTGTCACAGGCTGATCGCCGTCCCAGAGATAAGGTTGATACAAACTTCTGATTTCCTCAATTGGGCTGTGTTTCTCACCATGTCTTGGAAATAGAATTACTCAGAGAACTCCTCTGAGATCTTATCTTGCCCTCAGTGCTGTATTTTGTACAATGGTCTGGACAAGCTACTTGGCATCCAGGGCTGTGCTACAACCATGCTTCACCGAAATAGAAGCCGCTTTGTGGGAAGATGACACCATGTCCGTGCTTCTACACCAGGATCCAAGAGTAAGTTCCTGTCATGCCTCAGTCTAACCTGTATAATGTTCTCTTCTCATATCATAGATGCTTGGACCAATGGCCTGGTATCAAGAACATTGTCAATTACATTGGACTAAGATGCCCGATGAATCAATATGCCGAGCCTACATTCAGTTCAGTTTGATGCAAATGTGTCATCAACAGGAGGCTATGAATGTTCTACTACAAGGAGTAGCTGAGGGCTTTGTCTTAAAAGGCCTGTTGGTGAGTGGTCCCAGAAGCTTTGCCCCCTCCCCTGTCTGCTGCCAAAATAATGTTAAACGCACCTCAGCTGAACACACAGGACCAGCTATTTGAAGATATCATGCCCCTGGAACTCGTTGATGATGAAAATGCAATCTCTTATTGGTCTTGTGAGGCTGAGGAGAACTGTCTTAGATGGAGAATTGCATTTACCAACTTCTTCTCCCAAGGAACCCAGGTAGGCAGGCTTCAGACACTTCCTTAGAAAAATCATCTGGAAGCATATCAGGAGCTGGAGGCTCCAGCCATAACCGCACTGCAGGAGATGAGAAAATGGACTCGCAACCCAAGTATTGCCCACAAGTCTAGGATGGAATTTGCTATCTTGGTAAACATCATATGTTTCACATTCATTTGTCATGGTCTTTAACGCTAATCTCAGCGCTCCGGTCTTGGTCATGAAATCCTACGGATTGCCAACCCACAGGTGGGTTTGGAAAACAGGACCCCTTATCTGTCCCTCAGCTTCCAGCGATATCGTTGGAAAGAGAGCCTACTTAGTTGTATGCTTGGATGGGTTGATCGAGTCTTGCCTCCTAGAATTGAGACCAGCCAGTCTACAAATGCAAACGCCAAAGAATTCCTGCAACTCCTGTCCCGGCATAATGTGTGCCCATTTCGGTCCAATTACTCTTCAGTATTTGCATTTTCATCTGAGAGATGCTTCCTGGCTGAAGCTGTTCGATGGATGTTACCAACTCTGGCTGCCAAGACCCCATCTACCACATGGGTGTGTCCACTCCTTTATTCATACTGACAAGCACATCAATCTAGCTTGTTTGACAGGTACACAAAACCTCATTGAATCACCTATTCCGTTTGATCTGCGGTTTCTCAATCATTGATCTGGATGCCCTGCATTTGGATGAAGAATTGCTTTTGGTTCTGAAGTTGTCTACTGAGCTGAGGAGCCTACGACAAGAATTACTCAAAGGTTTTCATACAAAGTTCCACAATAATGTGGATCCAGATACCCAAGGTTGTCGCACATGCTATGATCAACCTGAGGATTCCAAGTGTGTCAGGTATTGGACGGTTGAGCCTGGTCATCACTTTGAATTCCATGGAAAGGTCATCACACCCTATCAGGCCAATGATCCAGATCGACTTCCTTCCATAGGCAAGGTAAGTATCTTGATGTTGATGTTTTATGTCTGCCTTTAACTCTTTCATATGTAGGGCTGTGCATCCCAAACCAACTATGTTCCTCTAATGGACCTGGGTCTGAGAAAGATCTCACGCCGTGCAGATGTACTGGAACGTTGTGGTCGGGACGTGACCCTGTTGGTTGATATCAGCTCACCCAGTACCATATTGGCGGGAGTTTCTTTTGACACATTTTCTCATGTGGACCTTCAGAAGATCCGTTGCGATGCCTCTGCTGCAAAGGAAACCAAATCCATCAAACGTGGCAGCCAGTTCAGCCGATTTGAATGGGGTAGGATGCATCCAGTTGGTTCCAGGAAGCCCGCTGGGGGAAGACCTGGAGACACCTATACGAGCTATGCCGGTATGGAGGTTACAGATACAGCCCATATTAAGTTGCTCTTTGCTCATGCCACTGTATGTTCTTAATGTCTTTCAATCTTTATTCCCAAATGACCCCTGAAATCCTAGGATGTAGAAAGGATGGTGGCTGCAATCACACCGTTACATCCTCATGCAGCCAAGGAGCTTCGAGAGTTGTCTTCTGAAGTCAATTCTTTGGGGGGCATAGGCGCAACTGCATATTACTGTTGGAACTTTGTGGCACCGCAGCATATGGACCGTGATGCCACTTGGACCATATCCCTGCAGACCTGCAAAGAGGCACCAGCAGATGAGTTCAACTTCATCATGATGGACCTTGGCTGCTATGTGGAAACAGCTGAAAATGCCCTGTGGTAAGTAAGTCCAGACAGCTGGAGTTGAGTTACTACTCAAGAACATCAGGTGGTTTCAAGGTTATCACACACATGGCACAGTAATTCCCCGGTTATCATCCATGTTATCCAACAGAAATTTATCACAAGGAATAGGAGTTACTTTACCCAGAACTTCATTGCAGGCTGCCCAAAAACAAAGCTTGGCACGTGCCGCATTTGAAGCCTTGGCTCAAAAATGGCATGTAGATAATTGAAACACTTCATCATTACTGTACAACAACACACAATGGCTGTATGATTTTACTTTGGTCTTATAAGGAGGTCATAAGCTTTGTCTGCCATCAAATATGAAGTGGATTTATCGATAAATCTAGTGATAAGTTAACATGTGGCGTATGACATTATTTGACTCTATATTTGACTTTATGAAGTACCACCCTGTTATTAGTTTTCTGATTTATCCTCGCAATAGAGGTGATGACAGAAAAAGTAACAGAAGTGGAAATTGGAACGGTGACATAATTGAGACATAAGTGGCAGCAGAAACGTTGACAGAAGTGGTGACAGAAACGGTGACAGAAACGGTGACAGAAATGGTGACAGATAGCACTACTTATATAAGCGAACCTGCGAGTTGAATCTTTTCTCTTTCAAATTTCACTGTTTCTTTCATTGACACTTACACCATCGTTGTCTTCTTTGATTGCTGTCCAGTGTATCCTGTCCTTTTGGGGCTCTGCTAGGCCCTTTTTGTGTATTTGAATTTGTTCTTCTTTCATGCCCATCATAACTGTGCCTTCCTGGGTGTTTGAACTAGAGTTTTGGATATGTCAGATACATGGTTTGCCAAACTGAATACAACCGTTTGAATCTTCCTTCGCAGTGCACGACGGACCGTTGATTATCAAGGAGATCATCCGAGTAGTTGTATTTTTGTCCAGTGCGGACCTCCATAAGTACTTGTGTTGCACGTCAAATTTTTGCCAGCTCGGCGTTTATAAATTAATTCGTAATAACCAAATGTGTCACGTTTGGTCACATTGCAAATGAAATCTCGGTATCTGGCCTAGAATAAAAGTTGCGCAATAGACGCATAATTTGATGAACAATCCAAAGGAGCCCTCTGAGTACACTGGTTTGTTCCGTAGTCCAAGTCTTAGGCCTGATTCATTCAACCCAAACAAAGTAAAATTTAGCAGTTACTGCGCTCTGGGGCCTGCAACACTCAGTTTTATCATATCTGCGGACCATCCAAAATATTTGCATTCAAGTAATACAGAGGTTGTAGTCAAGTACACCCCAGTGTAAACATCTTTCCCAATATCATACACTCCTGGCTACTCCACCTAAGATTCACATGATCGCCATCTTGTGGGGACCATAATATCTGACAGTGCTATCCACCAAGGGAGTGTCATATCCAAAACCCAAGTTTAAACATCTTTCCCAATGAGATACTCCAGGCTACCCCACCTAAGATTCACATGATCGCCATCTTGTGGGGACCATGCTATCTGACAGTGCTATTGCCCAAGGGAGTGTCATATCCAAAGCCCAAGTGTAAACATCTTTCCCAATATCAGACACTCCAGGCTACCCCACCTAAGATTCACATGATCGCCATCTTGTGGGGACCATGATATCTGACAGTGCTATCACCCAAGGGAGTGTTATATCCAAAACTCTAGCTCAAACACCCATCCATACACCCAATATCTGCCCATATTGCCCAACATGAGATACTCCAGGCCACCCCACTGGAGAATTACTCAAAGCCATATTTTAAATACCCAACATTAGATATATCACATTCAACATACCCCAGGAAAGGCCTCATAGAGGAGACAGAGCCAAACTAACAATACCCCAGGACAGGCCTCATAGAGGCACCATCCCAGGAGGAGTCCAGCCAGCCTCATAGAGGCACAGTACAGTGGACAGGAAGACACAGTCAAGCTAACAATACCCCAGGACAGGCCTCATGGAGGCACCATCCCAGGAGGAGTCCAACCAGCCTCATAGAGGCGCAGTTCAGTAGACAGGAAGACAGAGCCAGATCAACAATACCCCAGAACAGGCCTCATAGAGGCACCATCCTAAGAGGAGTCCAACCAGCCTCATAGAGGCGCAGTTCAGTGGACAGGGAGACAGAGCCAGACCAACAATACCCCAGGACAGGCCTCATAGAGGCACCATCCCAGGAGGAGTCCAACCAGCCTCATAGAGGCGCAGTTCAGTGGACAGGGAGACAGAGCCAGACCAACAATACCCCAGGACAGGCCTCATAGAGGCACCATCCCAGGAGGAGTCCAACCAGCCTCATAGAGGCACAGTTCATTGGACAGGGAGATAGAGCCAAACTAACAATACCCCAGGACAGGCCTCATAGAGGCACCATCCCAGGAGGAGTCCAACCAGCCTCATAGAAGCGCAGTTCAGTGGACAGGGAGACAGAGCCAGACCAACAATACCCCAGGACAGGCCTCATAGAGGCACCATCCCAGGAGGAGTCCAACCAGCCTCATAGAGGCACAGTTCATTGGACAGGGAGATAGAGCCAAACTAACAATACCCCAGGACAGGCCTCATAGAGGCACCATCCCAGGAGGAGTCCAACCAGCCTCATAGAGGCGCAGTTCAGTGGACAGGGAGACAGAGCCATGCCAACAATACCCCAGGACAGGCCTCATAGAGGCGCCATCCCAAGAGGAGTCCAACCAGCCTCATAGAGACATAGTTATACTGGACAAGAAAGGGAAGAAGAAGACCACATCCAAGGTCCCAGGCCAGGCCTCATAGAGACACCAACACAGGGAAGTCCAACCAGCCTCATAGAGACATGGTGATACTGGACAAGAAGAATAGATATAATATTCTAGACACAAATCAGAGAAAAGAAGAACTTTGTCAAGTAAGTGAAAGTAAAAGAAGAGAACGGACAGAGAAAAGATTTGGTTCAAGTTCGCTTTTCTTTGCTTATGTCGGCAGTGCCAAACAAAGCCACACATTATTACAATTTTCTCATTTTCGTCTATATCAATGGTGACAAACCACAGCTCATACTCCCAAAAACTGAATCTTTGACTTACTAAACATGCGCAGCGACTGTAAACACAGATCAATGAATTCATGGATGAATCAAGGAGAGAAAAAATCGCACCATTGCGAGATGTTCAAAGTGATCCAAGCCAAGACCAAGACCAAATTCCCAAACACGAATCCTTCGACCAACTCTCGATAAAGGTGCCCTTTCCACGTTGTCGAGTCTTCCGCTCCAACCGCACGATCTTTTTGTTAGTGTCCGCTCTGTGTTCTGCACAGAGTCGCTTCAGGATGATGTCCCAACTCAATCCGGGACATCCGATCATGAGTTTGAGCATGTACTACTCCCCCATAGCTTCAATACCACAATCAGCAGTCTGCATCATGACCATACCGCAGTTGATCCGGAAGATCGTTTTTGTTCCTGGACTAAGGCAAACTGTCAAAGCCGTAGCGATTTGCTTCTTTGTAGACCATGGGAATACATCTTTTCCAATCATGATTGCATAACCTGAGACAGACCATCCATGGTCGGGTGAACTCACGAAGTCAGAATCGCAATGTGCGAAAAAGACCGGAGAGTCAAGCTTTCCGCCAACAGTGAGGACAAAGTCTCGAGTGCCTTTGAGGTAACATAGAATGCATTTAACAATTGGGCAACATTTTGGACTGCGAGTGAGATATCCGGACGAGTCATGACGGCGCAGTAGTTGAGTGCACTGATGGCATTCTGATATGGCACCTTCAGCATATATTGTGTTTCCTCAAAAGATGTTGGGCAGTCTGCGAGACGAAGATTGACACCGGACACAGCAGGAGTACGAACAGAGTTTGCATGCTCGAGACTGTAAATGTAAATGTTGAGCATGGAGTCAATGTAGCGACGGTGTGAGAAGGAGATTGTACGAGCAGAGCGATCGCGGATGACCTCGATACCAAGGATGTGAGAAATCTCCCCCTGGTCCTTGAACGAGACGTGTTAACTAACTTCATCTTTCAGAGAGTGAAGTTCTGAGATGGACGAGCAGTATATGTCAGGATCCTCAACATGGGAAGCAATGATGGAGATGCCAGTTGACCGGGAGCGATAGAAGAAACATGGATTGGCAAGGCTTACTTGAACACCAAGCTGGGTTAGGATGGACTTCAGCATTCAGAGGACAACTTGGAGACTTGGGTCTGCGTGATATCAATTGGAACATGGATGGAATCTTGGGCACTTGAGACAATCAAAGCGTCACAGCCGTACTGACTAGCATTGACGATGATGACCGGTCCTTCTCTGCAGCTTTTCGCAGGTCAGAAAACAGCGGGGGTAGGAGAAACCGAGAAAAGGCAGACATCATGCAGATGCGGGAGACGACATCATCCCATTGCATGGTCAGCTGCTGGATGTCTAGGGACTGGTCTTCGGTGGATTTATCGAATGCGCTGCAAAGGCGAAAACTTAGCTGCTGTAACTCTTTCGCCAGGGCTGCGCCCGTGTCACTAGACAGTGAAAGTTCGTCGAGTGGTAAGCGTAAGCGTGTCAGCCGGGTCCGAAATACTGCACGGCCTTGCTCCACCAGTTCGACAGCAGTCGTCAGTGCACCGCGACGAACACTGCACGAGAAAGCGTCTGTGGCAACCGAGGAAGTAGCCATCCTGACGATATCGAAATGGCGTAAAGAAGGTGATAACAGAGTCACATGCTGATCTAGGAATTTCAATGCAGTTTGACAGGCAACCAATACGGAGTCATAGTTCGTCTCTTCGGCAAAGGTGGCCCAGACGAGACAGATGTGGTGACAATAATGACCAGGGGGACAACTCCGCAAGGCCACTCGACACTTTTCCACGCTGTCTGCCATGCTATTTCGCCAAATCAAGTTACCTAAGGACTGTTGAGAATGGAGGGATGGGGAGCACAACTGGGCAAGGACTTGGACGATGTTGTCATGTTATTTGCTTCGTCATCAGTACCAAATACAAGACGATCAGTTTGAATATTGATGCGCACGCACATAGTATACCGAAAACATACCTTGGCAGATCTAAAATCTGTACGAGAGGCTGGATGTGATAGGTAGGGTAGTTGCTCAAACAGCCTAAATGATTCCTCCAGGTCAGACAGGACACCACGTTGCTTGAATCTGTCTCGAAGGCTGATGGCAAGAGTAGTGAGAGACGCTGATCGCTAAGAATGACTGGGGGAGCGAAGAAGTAATGCAGCCCGAAGGAGCTCGATGGTCTCATCAAGGTCAGATGAGATACCCCGCTGCTTGAATCTGTCTTTAGAGCTGGGTGCAAGATTGTTGAGAGATGATGATCTGTCGGAATGACCAGGGGGACGAAAGAGCAATGCAACCCATTGGAGCTTGATGGCCTCATCGAGGTCAGACGGGACGCCCCGTTGCTCGAATCTGTGATGAAGGGTGGCGGCAAGATTGCCGAGAGACATTGCCTGATCAGAATGACCGGGTGGATGGAGGAGTAGTGCATCCCGGTGGAGCCCGATGGCTTCATTGAGGTCAGACGGGATGCTCCGCTGCTCAAATCTGACTTGAAGAATAATGGAAAGATTGTTGAGAGGTTTGCTTTGATCCAAATGTCCAAGAGGATAGAGGGGTAGTGCATCCCGCTGGAGCTCAATGACCTCATCAAGGTCAGACGGGACGTCCCGCTGTCGAAATCTAATTGTAAGGCTGATGGCAAGAGCATTGAGCAACCCGGATCGATTAGAATGATGGGTGGGGTGAAGGAGTAACACAGCCCGAAGACGCTCAATGGCCTCATCACGATCAGATGTAATGCCTCGCTGCTCGAATCTCTGTTGCATGCAGCTGGCAAGATCGTTGAGATACATTGATTGATCGGAATGACCGGGAGGGCGAAGGAGTATTACATCCCGAAGAAGCTTGATGGCCTCATCCAGATCAGACAGAACGCCCCGCTGCTTGAATCTATTCATGAGGCTTCCAGCAAGATTTTTGAGAGGCCTGCAGCGATTAAAATGACCAGGGGAAGGAAGGCTAGTACATCCCAAAGGAGCTCGATGGCCTCATCAAGGTCAGATTGGATGCTCTGCTGCTTGAATCTGCATATAAGGCTGATGGCAAGATCACTTGGAGACCTTGCTCGAATAGAATGACTGGGGGGATGAGGAGTAGTGCAGCCCGATGAAGCTCGATGGCTTCATCAAGATCAGATGGGACGCCCTGCTGCTTAAATCTGTGATAAAGGCTGCCTGCAAGATTGTTGAGAGACGTTGATCAAAGAGGATGACCGAGAGGACGAAGGAGTAGTGCATCCCAAAGGAGCGCGATGGACTCATCAAGGTCAGACAGATTGCCCTGCTGCTGGAATCTATCCCCATTGTCATTGACAGTGACAAGTCACCCATCTTTTTGCACCAATATCAGTGGCACTCATGGACCCTCACTTATGATCACTTATGACTAGCACACACCCGTTGTGCCTTCGGCACAGGTCGCAAAAAAAGAGCGCGAAGCGCTCTTTTTAAGCTCCCTGGCCTCAGCTTCCTCCCAATAATTCAGAAGGCTCCTGATGAGCATTGTTCCTTTGTCACAGGAAGCCAAGGAGGGCACAGCCCTCCTTTGGCTTCCTGGCCTCAGGCTCCATTCTAATAAACTGTGCATCTTGAATAATTTTGAAAATACATTTATGAGCATTTCAAAACAAAACTAAAAGTAAAATCTACCACACCATGTGAAAGTACATAGTACATAAGATCAGTCAGTTCTACATTCTTTGAGCAGGATTTTGACAAAAGTAAAATTACAAAATATGTAACAGTGTTATTGAATGCATTTATTTTCCCATTTTCCCTGCTTCCCATCTCCGATTGTGTCCTGTGTCCCATGCTCCCGTCTCCTGTCTCCTGTCTCCTGTCTCCTGTCTCCTGTCTCCTGTCTCCTGTCTCCTGTCTCCTGTCTCCTGTCTCCTGTCTCCTGTCTCCTGTCTCCTGTCTCCTGTCTCCTGTCTCCTCCTGTCTCCCGTCTCCCGTCTCCTGTCTCCTGTCTCCTGTCTCCCGTCTCCCGTCTCCCGTCTCCCGTCTCCCGTCTCCCGTCTCCCGTCTCCCGTCTCCCGTCTCCCGTCTCCCAGTATCCCATTTTTCCATCCTCCCTTCCTCCCATCTCCTGTTCTCCCATTTCCCATTCTCCCTGTTTCCTGTTCCCAATTTTCTGTCCTCCCATTCTTCAGTTTTTGAGTTTCTATTTGAGTTTCTATATTATCAATGTTTCCTTTTGATTTATTTTTTCACAACCTTTTGTCATTCATTTCCTGTCACCACATGTATTTGTTGTTCCATTTTAGTTTTATTATTTACTGTATGTATGTACCCTAAACAATTACAATAGGGAGAATCCTGCGTAGTGTGCTGCTGTAATGAGCAACGGCAGTTCAGTCGGCGCTCGAAAACACGTGACAAAGCCACGCGAGTTTCCAAAAAGAGCTTTAAGCGAGGTAAGCGAAAGCCATGTGGCCTTAAGCGAATCTAAGCGAATCTAAGCGTATCTAGGCGAAAACCACATGGCCCTACGCGAAAACCACGCGAGCGCCCGTGCGTTCCCGAAAACCGTTCTCCCTTTCTTCTTAAGATTGCCAAAGCAACTGGAATGACGGCATATTGATCCATGGGTATGCATTATTTCAAAGTGCCGCACATCAGTAAAAGGACACGTTACTTAATCAACTTGGCTGACTTTGCCAGAAATTGTTTACTCTCTCCTGCTGCCTGCATCATCCACTTGGGATATCTTATTTTTTTTAGTGCGAACCACAACAAAATATGTATATAAGACTAGCTCAACAATTTTTTGTGAACATGTTAAAGTTGAAATTTTGACCAAGTAGATTGACTTAGCCAAAGTCACTTAAGTGGGTTTTAAGTCTGTTTAAGGCAGCTTAAGTAACGTGTTTTTTTACTGATGCAGAAGTCCGCACAGGAAGTAAACCCTAAACTGCCGGATTTCCTCCGCTATAACTGCCACCAGCCTGAAACTACTCAAACCTCACCCAACGCAGCACGACCAGCTCACAAGATTGGCATGACGCGCGCGGTGTCTCCAGAGCGCAAGAGAGAGTACAACCGTAGATATGAGCGCAAACTGCCACCCGAGGCCAAACAGAAACGTCGAGATGCCCAAGCTGCTTGCAAACGAAAATTACGTCAGCACAGGAGCACTGCCCGGGCACTGGCAGAACCACCCCAGCCGGCAAATACTTTGGCCGCAACTGGAATACTCTCACCTGCATTTTCCTGGACACCTCCAGTCCAGGATAAAACAGCAGATGGGATCCATTCACAAACCCACAATTTTCCCCAGCATGCAGTGGCATCAGCAAATGATCCAGGAATGAGGGGACTCGATCTGGCCTCAGGTATGCTGGGCACACAGGTTCCCCTGGAGACGGAGGTAGTGACATGGGATGATGGTCATATCACCATATTGCCCACTATAATGCGAGATGGACAAAATGTATTGATCGAAGACCTTCGCCTCACAAAGAAACTTGCGGCAGTTCCTGCCTCCAAACCAGGGTCCAAATTTGTGACCCATCTAAATGGGGCCATTACAGAAAATGAGTTATTATTAATAGAAATTCGGTCTAGTCTTGCAGCAGGAAAGTGCGTTATTGTGCACGAGGCAGTGAGGCCTGGGCCCCTAAACCTTACAATGGAGTATCTGGAAAAGCGTTATGGAATTCATGCCACTATGCCTGTGGATATACATGGTAATGTTTTAGACCTTCAATATTCTAATGTGATCATTGCTCATCATTGATACTCAGACATGGAGCTTCAGGCCAAACATCCTGCTCAACCTCATGTCCCTGGGGTGATGAGAGATTTGATTTTGGGCATAAATAATCAAAATGAGCACAGATATGTTCTGGATTGTCCTATAGCAGTAGGTCTGCCCCCTGAACTGGTGTAAGTTCCATTCAGTCTTCTCTGCATTTGCTGCTCATCCACACTCAGTCCCCTAGATGAGGGTCAGATGGCCTGGCACAGGACCATCAAGGATTGTCCATGGCCATGGCCATGGCCAGGTATACATCTCAGTACCCCATGTGCCTCAGTGTCCCAGGGTGGGGTACTGATTCCTCCATGCCATGACTCTAAGGGGCAGAATGCCTATTTCTTTCCAGTCATTGGCATCCAACTCCGGACACTTCTTTTTCCAAAGATCCCCCACGATGGTAAAGTGCCTTTTGAAGCAACAAAATTTCTCTGCAGCCCTCATGACCTGGATAATTATGATGCGGAGACTGTGACTGTATATCCTGGAGATTTGCTGTAAGCCTATGAATGGATGGTGTCCAGGATGGTTACCTCACAATTTACCCCCTTTGTAGAATCCAGCCACCAGGCCAACTACATGCAGAATACAATCCCAATCCTGTTTTGGCACATGGGGGTCATTTTTTCACATATGGAACACTCTATCACACGCACAGCTCAAGATCTCTGGAAGTCACTCCAGGCAACAACAGTCGAGCTCAAGAATGCACAGATGAGACCTTATGGCGGATGGCTGCTCTCATTCCATGGCTGCCACCAGACAAACTGTTAGGCAAGTGTATCTACAATAACACTTGCTCACTGCCATTAAATCTCTTGATTAAAAAGGCTTGCATGCCAAACCACTATTGGCGCTTTGTTCTATGGTTCTCAAGCCCAGAAAATATATGGGACAGAGCTTAGTAACAACATCCCGCAAGAAAAAACAACCCATAGCCTTACGATCATCCAGCTACACCCGTGCCTGTGCAGTTGTTACAAAGATTCTACAACACCTGGACATTTGTCCACAAGATTTGCCTGCTATGCTGAAAGACCTCACTTCATTTGAGGATATGGGAGAAGTCATTGATCTTAGCAGATGTCTCTCAGAATTTACCCATACAGTGTAACAGTAGGTAGCAGTGCAAATTCTGGTTGGAAACCATTTGGACAATAGGTCTGTCGGTTCCCACTTTTTCACCAAGCCAACTGCACCATCGACGCATGCGCGTGCAGTTACCGCAGCTCCTTCATTCTTGTTTAGTATCATGCCACGCATAGCTTCTGTTCACCGCACCTGCTTCCACACCGACTAATCCCCTCTGCCGGTATCAAGCACGGAAACCAGCAAGCTGGTACCATTCTCTTTCGCAAAATACAGTGTGCTACCTTCCTCTACACCAATACCTACAATGGCACCAGCTAACCCACCGTAGATATCACCCTGAAGCCGCAAGTTACCATCTCTGCACATACAATGAGGCAGATGGCTCGACCGTAGCTAGCGCGACTGATGTGCACTTTTGCCAAGGCACAATGGGAGGCCATGCCTCGGACGATCGCATCGCCATCTTCCTGCGTGCCAGTGCAGAGCTCGTTAGCGGCAAGTACTGTCACAAATTGGTGGCAGTTACTACGCTTGGTCAAGGGAAGTGCTTGGCAGGCTGAGATTGATGCTGTCGCTGAGGTGTGTAATGTGGGATCATCTTGGTGACAGTTGATTAATGAAACTTTCGTAGCTCTTCGACTTCTTCCAGTTGATCTCTGGGTCACCTTCAGAATTTGTCACATAGGCGATATCGCACCCCAGCTTTGCAGCATCCCACTTCACAGGCAGCAGCTTCATATTCCAAAAGCTATGGAAAGACATTGCCGCAAACCTAGACAAGTACAAAGCTATCCGAGAATCATCGGCGATACAGGAGGGAGGAACTTCCACGTCGTCCACAAATTCGCAGATATCCGAAATGCAGTTTTGCGGGCATTCGAGGCTTTGAGTATCAAGGTTCGCATATTATGAGTGATACGCAAGATTGATGGACATGTGCAGGACAACCGTGTTCCGCGTTGTCGCAGCTATACGTTTCCTCTTCGATCTGGTCATTTGGATTCAAAGACCCGCTCCTGTCTGAGGTTGCGAAGATCGAAGTCGGGCCATC